ACGTTCCAGTTTGTCAGTGTCCTTTTTGAACTGTGGTGCCCAGAACTGGACACAGTACTCCAGGTGAGGTCTGACCAGAGCAGAATACAGTGGCACTATTACTTCCCTTGATCTAGATGCTATACTCCTATTGATGCAGCCCAGAATTGCATTGGCTTTTTAGCTGCCACGTCACACTGTTGGCTCATGTCAAGTTTGTGGTCAACCAAGACTCCTAGATCCTTTTCACATGTACTGCTCTCAAGCCAGGTGTCACCCATCTTGTATTTGTGCCTCTCATTTTTTTTGCCCAAGTGCAATACTTTACATTTCTCCCTGTTAAAATTCATCCTGTTTGTTTTTGCCCAGTTCTTTAATCCGTCAAGGTCGTTTTGAAGTGTGATCCTGTCCTCTGGGGTGTTAGCCACCCCTCCCAGTTTGGTGTCATCTGCAAATTTGATCAGGATGCCCTTGAGTCCATCATTCAAGTCGTTGATAAAGATGTTGAATAAGACCGGGCCCAAGACAGAACCCTGTGGCACCCCACTAGTCACTCTTCTCCAGGATGAAGAGGAACCATTGATGAGCACCCTTTGGGTTCGGTCAGTCAGCCAGTTACAAATCCACTGAGTGGTAGCATAGTCAAGACCGCATTTTACCAGCTTCTTTACAAGAATATCATGGGGCACCTTGTCAAATGCCTTGCTGAAATCAAGGTAGGCTACATCCACTGCATTCCCTTCATCTACCAGGCTTGTAATTCTGTCAAAAAACGAGATCAGGTTAGTCTGACATGACTTATTTTTCAGAAATCCATGCTGACTATTGGTGATCACAGCATTCCTTTCTAGGTGCTCACAGACTGTTTGCTTAATGATCTGCTCCAGAATCTTCCCTGGTATTGATGTCAGACTGACTGGGCGGTAATTATTTGGGTCCTCTTTTTTCCCCTTTTTGAAAATAGGGACAACATTTGCCCTCCTCCAGTCTGCCGGGACTTCGCCTGTTCTCCAGGAATTCTCAAAGATGACTGCCAGTGGTTCTGAGATCACATCTGCCAGTTCTTTTAATACTCTTGGATGCAGTTCATCTGGCCCTGGAGACTTGAATACATCTAAACTAGCCAAGTATTCTTGTACTATCTCCTTAGTTATTCTGGGTTGTGTTTCCTCTGCTGAATCATTTGCTCCAAATTCTTCAGGTCGGGCATTGTTTTCTTTATCGGAGAAGACTGAGGCAAAGAAGGCATTGAGGAGTTCAGCCCTTTCTGTGTCCCCTGTTTGCATTTCACCATCTTCTCCTCTGAGTGACCCCACTGTTTCTTTGTTCTTCCTTTTGCTACGAACATACCCATAAAAGCCCTTTTTGTTGCTTTTAACCTCTCTAGCAAGCCTGAGTTCATTCTGTGCTTTAGCTTTTCTGACTTTGTGTCTACACGTGCTGGCTATTTGTTTGAATTCCTCTTTGGTGGTTTCCCCCCTTTTCCATTTTTTGTACACGTCCTTTTTTAATCTTAACTCAGTTAAAAGTTCTTTAGATAGCCACCCTGGCTTCTTTAGGCACCTTCCATGTTTCCGTCTCATTGGTATTGCCTGAAGTTGTGCTTTTACTATCTCCCTCATAACAAACTCCCAGCCATCATGAACTCCCTTTCCTTTTAGTATTACTGTCCATGGGATCTCACCCAGCACTGCCCTAAATTTTATGAAGTCGGCTTTCTTAAAGTCAAGAAATTGAGTCCTAGTATGCTTGGCTGCTCCTTTCCGCTGTATAGTAAACTTCAGAAGAGCATGATCACTCGTGCCTAATGATCCTTCCACTTCTACCCCACTAACCAGGTCATCAACATTGGTTAGGACCAGATCTAAAATGGCTGTTCCTCTTGTTGCTTCTCCCACTTTCTGGACAATGAAGTTGTCTGCAAGGCCAGTGAGGAATCTGTTTGACCTTATGCTCTTGGCTGAGTTTGACATCCAACAAATATCTGGGTAATTGAAGTCCCCCATTACTACTATCTCCCTTCCTTTTGCATGCTTGGCCATCTGTTCCAGGAAGGCATCATCTATGTCCTCCGTTTGGCTTGGGGATCTATAGTAAACTCCCACAATGAGGTCACTGTTATTCTTCTCTCCCTTAATTTTGACCCAAATGCTCTCACTTTGGCTTTGAGGTTCTAAATCTTGGATCTCTTCACAGGTATACACATCCCTGACATATAACGCCACTCCTCCTCCTTTCTTGTCTGGTCTGTTTCTCTAAAATAGATTGTATCCCTCCATTATTACATTCCAGTCGTGGGACTTATCCCACCAGGTTTCAGTGATGCCTATTATGTCATATTTAGTTTGTTGTACCAAGAGCTCAAGCTCATCTTGTTTATTTCCCATGCTTTGTGCATTAGTGTACAGACATTGAAGTCCATTAATCATTCCCCCGTGACTCTTATTTAAGAATTTTTTCCTCCCACCACTAGGTCTGTGTGCTGTTTGCTCCATTTGGTCTATGACATTTGGATGATCATCTTCATCAATTGATAGACTCCTACCTTCAGAAGCACTGTCTCCCTCCCCCACATTAGTCAGTTTAAAGCCCTCCTGATGAGGTTTCTGAGATTTTTGGCAAAAACATTTCTACCAACCGTTTTGAGGTGCAGCCCATCGCTTGCCAGAAGTCCATCTTCAAGAAACTGCAGTCCGTGATCTAAGAATCCAAACCGTTCCTGTTTACACCATTTGCGAAGCCAGCTGTTCACTTCCACTATTTTTCCTCTCTCCCTGGGCCACGTCGTTCAACTGGGAGGACAGATGAGATGACAATTTGTGCATTTAATTGCTTCAATTTCCTGCGCAGAGCCTCGTAGTCTCTTTTGATCTTCTGGAGGCTATTGCTTGCAGTGTCATTGGTTCCCACATGAACCAAGAGGAGGGGGTATTTGTCAGTGGGTTTTATGATTCCTTGCGGTCGTTCAGTTACATCTTGGATCTTAGCCCCGGGGAGACAGCACACTTCCCGAGACATCTTGTCAGGCCCACAGATCACTGCTTCTGTTCCCCTCAGTAGGGAATCCCCTATCACCACTACACGCCTCCTCTTAGGTTTGTTCAGGGTCCTTCCGTGAGCTGTCCGTTCCAAGGTCGCCTGCACATTCCCTGAGGACTGACTTTGCTGCTCGTCTTCATATACCTGATCGACTGTAATGAGGGAGAGATCCTCAAATGAAGTCTGCTCTTCGTCTTCCATGCTAGGGGAGAGGACCTCAAAGCGATTGTGTATTTCTAAACAATCAGAGAGAACCCTGGGCCTCCTACTTCTTTGAGTCACGCTTTTTATGATGGAGGACCGCTGTAGCCACCCCCAACGACACGTTCTCAAGATGGAGGGGGAGGGAACAGCTGCAGTCGCCTGCGGTTCCTGTGCAATGTTTGCCATCTTGCTGAAGGTTGCAGGCAGCTTTACCCGCAGCAATTGCATGTTGATTGCCCTCTTAGAAGACAAAGTCCTTTGAGGTACCAGGGCTGTCCCCTTAGCAAGGAGTTCACTACCTCCTGGTTCCGCCTGTCCAATTCCCCTCATATTGGGTGTTATTAATCATGATGGGCAAGGGCAGCGAGAATGCAGAATTTGCATTTGGATAGTGAGGTTCTCCTGACTGCCCAATTCCAATTTTAGTGGCTTCAAACACCAAGCAGATTTTGTGTTACATGCCACCTATAACAACAATTTAATGGCAAGGATTATATGGGAGATAGAAGCTACTAATTGAACTATACCAAAAATGCTACTTTGGTAAAATATCCCTGTACAGTACTTTGAAAGAGATAAAATACAAAGTGTATGTAACACTGTAGTTAACTTCAGTAACTCCACTATAAACAATTTATGAAAATTGACATGACCTTTTTAGTTGCCTCTGTTAATACTCAAATTGATAAATACGTTATTCTATAAAATTATAGGGTAGGTTAAAACTTGGTTTTATTTTTGTATAGTTTTTTAGTGTATATTAAATTATACATATTAAAGTTAACCCAGTGTCCATTTATTTCTCCTCCTCCTGTGCTTTAATTTGCTTACTCACAAAAACAGCTGCTCATCCCTCCTTTACTACAGTATTTTGCAATTTCCTTTTGGTATACAATTGTGAAATAGTTAAGCTTCCTTGCAGCTTCATGCACATGCAAATTACACGAGATTCCGCAGTGTGGTTTCTGACAATAGCTGTGCCCCCATGGGAAGTTGTGTTCTAATATATGCAATATATTAAAAACATCTTCTCTTATATGAGCACAGAACCTCTGTTTTGTATGACAGTGGCTCTGAGGAGACTCTTGAGAGTCCCATGGACTGAAAGAAGATCAATCCTATCCATTCTTAAGGAAATCAGCCCTGAGTGCTCACTGGAAGGACAGATCCTGAAGCTGAGGCTCCAATACTTTGGCCACCTCATGAGAAGAGAAGACTCCCTGGAAAAGACCCTGATGTTAGGAAAGATGGAGGGCACAAGGAGAAGGGGAAGACAGAGGACGAGATGGTTGGATAGTGTTCTCGAAGCTACCAACTTGAGTTTGACCAAACTGCGGGAGGCAGTAGAAGACAGGAGTGCCTGGCGTGCTCTGGTCCATGGGGGTCACGAAGAGTCGGACACGACTAAACAACAACTGCTATCAGTGTTGACATTCTATTGGCTTTTTCATAGTTCCATCTAAACCTCATAGAAGTTAGTAGACACATCCACTGTTCGTAAATTGGGAGTTCTACATCTAACTCAATTCCAGTTTCCTATGATCATAGATAAAAAGGTATTCTGCATGCCCTACAAGTATTTTCTTGATCATCTTATTAAACACAAAATGAATTTATTGAAGAATATAAAGCAAATAGCAATAGTTTGTGCTTTGAATATACAGCTGACACTGGAAAAAACTAACAGTTTGAAAACAGTTCATACGGGTGTTTATTATTCAACATAAAAAATGCTAAAATTAACAGTGGTAGTCTTTACATGTAGTTTTCCACAATTTCTATACCGTTTTTTTCAGCTCTTCATTCACTTCTTCCCAGATTTTCTTCTCAATTTCTAATGTATCATACTTTTTCAGCATATCAAATTCATTCCAAGGCATTTGCCATTTTTCTACTTTCGCTTTGTGTCTTTCATTAAGATACAAGTCAAAATTAATGCCCTGGATATTGAACTTTGGATGTTCCCAGCGTTTTGACCATGGTTTCGGTTTCATTCGGACTTTCATCTAGCATAATAGAAAGAAATGTATGTCAGATCATATATTTGATATTCAGTGAGTATTTTTCTTTCAGTTATATGTATTCAATGGACCAGGGATGAGGGTGGTGCTGTGGTTTAAACCACCAAGCCTCTTGGGCTTGCTGATCGGAAGGTCGGTGGTTCAAATCCCTGTGACGGGGTGAGCCCCCGTTGCTCTGCCCAGTTCCTGCCAACCTAGCAGTTTGAAAGCATGCCAGTGCAAATAGATAAATAGGTACCACTGCGGTGGGAAGGTAAATGGCATTTCAATGCACTCTGGTTTCCATCACGGTGTTCCATTACACCAGAAGCGGTTTAGTCATGCTGGCCACATGACCGGGAAAGCTGTCTGCAGACAAATGCTGGCTCCATCAGCCTGAAGTGAGATGAGCGCTGCAACCCCATAGTTGCCTTTAACTGGAATTAACTGTCCAGGGGTCCTTTACCTTTTTTACTCTATGGACCTTTAATGACATCCCATTTATACCTGCTTGGCATAGCAATGCTGTATGCACGGATACTTCCAATGATCCCCTGGACTGCCCACTGGGTTTCTTTCTCAGTTTGGTGCCAGTTATGCTCAAATTCTTATGACATTTTAGCACTTAGCAATATTTTTTGGGAACTACGTTTTAGGTACAATTCCCATCTTTGCCCTAGCCATGTCAGTGTACATAAAATAACATCTTCTTTATTTTGCTATGGCCTACTTGAAGACCTGCAGGTGTTTATCATGGTTGCCTTCAATAACGGCTATAGCAGAATGGAGATGTAGAGGACAGAAACTAATTAAGGATAGTAGCAAAGACAGCAACTAAAAATATATATTATAGAACTGCCTACTGATAGCAATTAACCATAGAGCTCAACTGCAATATCCAAGCTTGATGACAAGGAGTTAAGAACCCTATACTTCAACTATTCTGCTGTGTTAGAACGCCAATCAAAATCTAAAGGTAACCATTTCAGACTGCTCAGGAGTTCATTGGAGCTCTAATGTGCCATTGCTTGCTAGCAAGAAGAAAACACATCTTTTCTGCTAGGTTTGAGCTCTAAAGGAGCTAAGCCATCTCAAGTGTAATGTAATGACGAAAGGGCAGAAAGCCATTCCCATGGGGGCCTCTACCACTATCACAACACCAAAACAAATGAATAGTACAATGCGACAACTTCATATTACAAAATGATGTTTCAGAATAACTAGTTGCCAGTCACAAACACCAGTTATTCCTTGCTGCTACCTTGTTGACAGGAACTTCTTCCACAGCTGAAAGTGGGACAGCCTTCATGTTAACATCAACAGTGCTGTACTCTGGAAGGGCATCTCGTAAATACATCAGGTTATCATCCAATCTTTTCTCCAGTTTCAGAACCTTGATCTCTTGGATTAGAGGATTGTATAGTTCATAGCAAATTTCAATACCTTAAATGGAAAATTGATAAATACAGAAAACGACATTATAAAAATAGGTGACAGTACTCTCTTTGTTATGAACCAATTTTTGTTGGCAGAAGAATAAACAATATTTGGAGTTATACAACATTTGGGGGCTGGTAGAATGGAGGGACGTGGGTGGCGCTGTGGGTTAAACCACAGAGCCTAGGACTTGCCAAGCAGAAGGTCAGCGGTTCGAATCCCCGTGATGGGGTGAGCTCCCGTTGTTCGGTCCCTGCTCCTGCCAACCTAGCAGTTCAAAAGCACGTCAAGTGCAAGTAGATAAATAGGTGGGAAGGTAAATGGCGTTTCCGTGCGCTACTCTGGTTCGCCAGAAGCGGCTTAGTCATGCTGGCCACATGACCCGGAAGCTGTACGCCGGCTCCCTCGGCCAATAAAGTGAGATGAGCGCCGCAACCCCAGAGTCGGTCACGACTGGACCTAATGGTCAGGGGTCCCTTTACCTTTACCTTTAGAATGGAGAGTTAACTAGATTGTCAAGAATAAAAAGTGTTCCTAACACTTCAGGTAATAGAATGGATATGCAATACAAAGCAGATTTTTTAACTAAAAAATCCAGTGTTTTCCTGCATGCAACCTCATGCCAACTTAAGTAGTTCTTGGTAACATTATTTTAATTGTTTGAACCTGGCTTAAGGACATCCAACAGTTACCCTATATGGAATATATTTTCATCATATCCACATAATGTTGCTGAAAAGCCACTAAAGCCATTGCTGGGTTTCCAGCACTTCCCTCAGCTGGAAAACAATGAACATTAAAGTATGCACCCACCTTGTCCTTCTATTATATTGCGAAGTATGAAGGTTGCACCAAGTCCTTTTCCTGATCGCTGAATACAAAGTCCTACAAAAGTGCTGCTTTTCCCACTAGCATGGGGATCTGCGGCAGAAACAGAAAGTATACTTCCTGCAAGAAAAGAAACCATTTAAAGCCTAGACACTCAACAACAGAGGCAGAAAGGATAATAAAAACCAAACTTAGTTTTTAGTTCATTAACGAGCATGGCATTTATTATTATTTACCTTGGTACATGATTTGATATTAGGCAATAAAGATTAGTTCCATATAGCTTCTTTTGCATGTTGACTGTTTTTGGCATAATGGAATGGTTGCTTTGTAAACATTCAAATTATTGTTTCAATAGTACACACAATCATACAGCTCTACTGTGATGTGGAATGATGAGTGAGGCAAAGTTTTCTAATTTCTAAAGCTATCCTATAGCTTCCCTTTTCATCTTTTCCCCACTAAAATGTGCTCAGGAAAACAACAGGGACAAATACTCTGCACCATGCCAGGGGAGATGTATGTAATGTAATTAAGGGACCATTAATTATCCCCTTCCGGAAAATTCAAACTGACTGATAGTCTCAATGGCCAAGTACAGAATTCCACAAGACGCAACACTTGTTTTGTTAAAATATTTGGGAATGTCTTTTAAATTGAAGATAAAATGGCATTGGTATTGAATTCATTATTTTTGGTAATATATCCAACACAATATTATGAAAGTTCCACTTTAGACATAACTGACCAACATAGAACTCCGGAATATTCATTACTTTTCTCCTCTGTATCATGTCGCTTCTTTCAAGGTAGAACTTGAAAGGATTTGTTCTCTGCCGAGGAGGGATGAATTCAGGACTCAAGAATCTGTCAGAAACATAAATAATGCAAATGGTAACTTGCTATTATAATACATAACAAATGAGACACAGCTGAACATAAAATTTAAAATTTGTTACCGTGTCTCTGTTGTTTGGGTTTTTGATTCATCAACAATGACTGGCTTGGGAGGTGGCTTAAATTTTGCTGGTTCTCCATCTTTAGACTTGAGGTGTCCAACCGAGAAAGAAAGGTTCCCTTTAACAGACAAATTTGGTTACAACGTGGCTGGAAATAAATCATTCAGCTTCCATGATCCTTTTTGCATTACAGCAAAACAGTCGTGTGCTACATCTGTTGTGCTACACTTTTTTAAAAAGAAAAGATCAATTTGATTGAATGGTGGGAGGAGAAAGCAGATTTGCAGTGTAAAATCAATCCACCTGTTGAGGAGATATCTGTGTTTAATCGCATTTGAGAAACATTTGGACTAGTAGTGATGGAAGGGCACAATGCTGGGTCACAAAACCAATTCACAAGGTTTCGGAAATACTTCAGTACCTACACCATAACAGGCAGAATAAATTATGTTATAGCTACATATGCAATGCTTGCAAGTATCATCCTGTATTTTAAACTGAGGCCTAAGAAGAAAACTCCAGCCATGACACAGAAATAAGATGGGTTGACATGTTGACACTGGACCATGCACGTAATATAACTAGTAGAAGTTGATGTACACTTCAATATATCATGAACAATGATGAAGTTTGTCATCTGTACACATTGCCACTCTGTTCTACATACAGTGGTACCTCTGGATGCGAACGGGATCCATTCCAGAGCCCCGTTCGCATCCTGAGCAGAACGCAACCCGCGTCTGCGTGTGTCGCGATGCACCGCTTCTATGCATGTGCATGACGTCATTTTGAGCGTCTGTGCATGCGGCGAAACCCAGAAGTAACTCATTCCGTTACTTCCGGGTCGCCGCGGGGCACAACCTGAAAACACTCAACCTGAAGTGTCTTTAACCCGAGGTATGACTGTATAAACAACATGCAGAGTTCTAGTGTGCACAATTCAATTAGGGAGCCCTTTCAATCTGTGCTGAGAAATTATGGATACATCCTCAGGTATGACTGTATCTCTAGGATAAATGTTATTCTGAATTCTGTTCCAAAAGCAAATTGTAGCTTTCATTACAAAAAAAGAAAAAGAAAAGATCAATTTGAGTTGTGCTTAAGTTTGCCTGGGATTGCATATAGACGAGGGTCACATTCACACCCTACGCTTAAGCCACCATGATACGCCCCCCCCTCCAGAATTCTGGCAGCTGTAGTTAAGGGGGGGTGAGAGCTGTTAAGAGGCCCCCGTTTTCCTCGCAGAGTCACAACAATTCCCAGTTTCCAAGGGGGGAACTCTCAGCATCCTTAACCAAGTACAGTTCCCAGAATGACCGGCGGCGGCGGGGGAGGCCGAGGTGCTTAAAGCGCCGCTGTCGCCCCCCGAGCCCCCGGGCACGTGGCCGAGGCGTCGGCAGCGGCTCCTTCAGCAACTTCTTTGAAGCGACCCTCGAGAATTTCCTGGCCCCTTCGGGCTTTGTGAGCAGAACCCCCTTTTATCCTCCCCCCCCCGCCACTTACTGCATCGCAGGCCGAGCAGAGGCGGGAGCCTCCCGCGAGCGGCTGCCATGACAGCTGCGGGCAAGCACTTTCGCCAGCAGCAGGAGCGGCGCATGCGCTGCGCGCGGCAACGGCAGCCTCAGAGGGGAAAATCTTGATCCAAACGCGAGCCCCCGCGCGCTGCGCCTGGCCGGCCTTGCTCGGCGCCGAGAGTGAACACAGAGCTATTCGTTCGCGAAGAGACGCGCCTCTGCCGCCTTCGTCCTCGTTGCCGAGTTCGGCTGTCGCGCTTTTCTCTCGGGCGGGACGGAGCATCGCGGCCCGAGGAATCGCCACTGGGAGGGAGCCCAGCAAAACACACTCGGAACAGCGGGCAGCAACTCAGGTCCTTTTTCTCTGCTGTTTTTATGGCGTTTCCTTTATTTGTTACATTTCTGTACCGCCCTCGCCCGAGGAGCACAAGGCGGGTTGCGATAGGAAACACAAAAACGCGCCACCTCCGAACAAACGAAACCGGGCGGCGGAGGGGGGGCCTTTTCGCCCCGCGGGAGCCGGCCTTGCTTAGCTGGGCGCCCCAGTATTTTACCCAAGGCGCCCGCGTCCGGCCCAGCGGGATCAGCCTGCCCCCCCCCGGCAGACCTCCCGCTCCGCCCAGCGGGCAGGGGGGCCTGGAGCAGATCCGCCAGCCTCGCCTGTCGCCCCCTGATCCCAGAGCCACGAAGGACCCGACTATCCGGTTCCACGAAATGGGCCCGTTCCCTCGCCCTGCGCGCACGCGCCCCCGGGGGAGCAGACCGGTCTGAGGCTGTGAGGCGAGGCGGGGGCGGTTCTCGGCGCCGCCGTCTCGGGCCAAGGAGGCTTGCCAGGGCGCAGCCGGGAGAGCTCGGCCTTGGCGGCAGGTGCTTGAGGGGAGCCTTCCGAAGCGGGCTCCGAGCCCCGGCTCCGCCGCCCCCGGCCGGCCCTGGCCAGGCTCCGCTCCCTCCCTCCCTCCCTGGGCCGCCCTCCCGCCATCTTCGGAGTTTTGACGCAGCCCTCACCGCAGCCAGAGGAGGAGCGACCGGGCCAGGAAGGGGAGGCAGGAGGCCGCGCTCTCGCTCGGAGCAGGCGAAGGAGGAAGAGGAGCCACCGAGCGAGCGAGCGAGCGAGCGCAACAGGTAGGCGCCGGCTGCGCGCCCGCCCAGGCCTCTGCCTCTCGCTGGCTGCAGCAGGCCGCCTTTCGGGGCGCCGGCCAAGGGCCCCTCCGAGGGCCGAGCGCCTCCCCGTCTTGCGCGGCCTCCCTTGGCCGCCGGTGCCTTCGCTTGGGCCGCCGCTCTCCGGCCCCCGGGCGCTTGGGGCAGCTGGAAGCCTCGGCCTGGCCCCCGAAGGCCTTTCTCGCGCTTCGTATTGAGATGCCCTTTTCTGTCGTGTTCGAGAGCGGCGCGGCACAAAAGGTACCTCAGTTTAAATGCGGTTAAAATGGGTCGGAGGTCCCTGTGAGATAAAGGACGGGGAACGACGGCAGGAAGAGCATATTCTGGTCGCCCGCTTCCCACATGTGTGGAACCGCGGCCCTGTTCATTCCGGCATCTTTCCTCGGGTGGCAATGAGACGAGGGAACAAGGCAAGGAAACAGGCATTTATATTTTCAAAGAAGCAGTAAGTTTCTTTTATTTATTGAGATTAAGCCTCATTTTAAAAATGTATAGACTGGAAAGTATCGTCGAACATAAAGGGAGGCATGCATAAGGATTCTGATAGTCAATTATTGGAAGTCCTTGCCAAACCAGATCATCAGAATTATATTCTATTTTTTAAAAAATGGAAACCACCATGGTGGTAGTAACAGAAAATGAGATTTGCCAGGAGTAGAATGACTGTATCCTATTGATCATGATGATCAACAGTAGCTGAAGGTGTGGTGTATATTAGGGAAGATCTTTAAGAGTTAAATTTGTATTTTTGCAATCATGGGGATTTTTTTGATGTAGAGCTCACACCTTTTCTACAGGTGATTATGAACAATATGGAGAAGAAGTTGTGGTTCTGAGTTTACACTTGGATATAATGGCTTGTGGTGCACAGAGCCTGTCTTGTCAGTGTTCAGAATGCAATCCAGGGCTTTTTTTTCATCCAGAACTTGCCAGAACTCAGTTCCAGCACCTCTCAGGTGGCCACCATTGTCATTATAAGAAAACTATGGATTTGTTGTGAGTTCCAGCACTACTTTTTCTAGAAAAAGAACACTGGCAATAACATTTTAAAATTGTAAGGAAGCAGAAATACAGTAAAGATGGGGCAAAAAGGTTCTCCCCCCTCCCCAGCTGTCATTTCAGTGTCAGTGATTGGTTATTTCAGTGTCACCTGCAACCAAAAGGTCTGGAAACTTTATTTTTGAAACATGAAAGACAACATTACAGTACTAATATTCAAAGTTCCTTATGACTTGCGTGTCATAGGTTTCCCAACAAAGGGGGAATGTGTCTGTTTCCCTCAAAAATGAATAGTAAATCATTCAAACCCCCCCCCTCCATGAATAGAACAACCTTAACAGGCATAATGAGAATTAGCATTTTGCAAATCTTCCAGATTTTACAGCTGAAACACGATTTGTACTAATCATACAATACTATTTTGGCTTTTGCATTTTGTGTAATCGTACTTAACTGTATTCTTCATATAAGATGCTATTCTTTGATGAGAACAGATATAAAGATCAATAAAAGGTCATATTTAAACATAATAAAATGAAGGAAATGGTGAGGGTGATCTTATGATCTCGCCACATCAGAGTTGTACCTAATAGTAAAGCCAACTGCATAGGCGCTGTAGAAACTATAATTAACCCATCAGCAATCAGCAAACGTCCACAGTATTCCTGGTTACTACAGCACCACCCACCAATCATGGCATGCACACCTGAGCATGCTGCAACAACAATAGCTATGTAACAGAAGCTGCAATCCACGCTCTTTTGTCTCCGGCATGATGGTTGCAGAGTATGAATCCAAAACATGAGTTTTGCCTTGATTCCACATTTTCCCATGGTGGGATTTAAATGAAATCCTATTTCAGTGCTTTTCTATTGACCTACCAAGGAAGACATGGGCTTGTTTCCAATGAGTGTGCAGTTGTGGTACCCCTTGTTGATTCGTTGTCATGGTGTCTTGCTACCCCTGCACAGTGGTGTTATGGGGCTCATAGACCTTGAGGTTGTATTTATCTAATTTTGAGACCTGCTAAGGAACAGATGATTGTTATTATGTCCTGATATGTAAAACCACAGAATTCAAAGAAAGTGTACTTTCTTTTCCCCATGACTGTCTACTCATGGTGGACTCACTGAAATAATCCTGTCCCGTCTATTAATTTCATTGGTTTACTCTGAGTATGACTAACATTGGATAACATGGAAACTAAAAACAGGATAGGAAGAGAGTTCTGCTGTCTAAACTTTCCTGATACAGTACTTTTGAGAGGCAGACCCACATAGAGTATGTTACACTTGGTCAGTTTGAATTGACCAGGGCAGGGGACGGCAAGCTTTACCTTGCCTGGGCCAGTTCACTCCAGCGGAGATCCCTCCACGGGCCGGATTGCTCATGTTCCCGTGATTTCCGGCATCTGCGCATGTGCAGATGCGATTTCCAGCGCCACAGAAGCGAGCCCCCGGACCACGCTGTGCCGGTTTAGCGCAGTGTGTGGGGACTCACCGAGAGGGCAGCTCAGTTCGTGGGCCAGTTAAAACAACCCCCATGAGCTGTTTGTGGCCCATGGGCCTTAGGTTGCCTACCCCTGGACCAGGGCATCTGTGGTAGTGATCAAATCTGCTTTAACAAGCCAAAGTTCTGCTTGCTACAGTTGCCATGTGAGGATCTGGCACCAAGGACAGGCCCACAAGGATTCCTAAGCTGTGGACCTTATCTATCACTCCTCCCTATTCAGCTGTCCTACTGACCAGTCACCTGCCTGTCTTGCCAAAGTTAAGCTTCCATTTTATTAGCTCACATCCAGTCCATTATTGCACTCAAAACACCACTTCAAAACATCCAGAGTTTCCTCAATATGAAATTAAAAAGAGAGAAAGTTGGCTATCATCCACATATTGCTGAAAACTAATTCCCAAAGCTACTCCCCGTAGTTTTAAGAAGCATAACAGAATCATAGAATTGTAGAGCTGAAAGGAATCCCGAAGGTCATCACTTCCAATCCCTTGCACTGCAGAAATTACAGCTAAACATTCAGATGGCCATCCAACCTCTGCTTCAACACCTCCAACGAAGGAGAGGCCATCACATTCCAAAGTAGTCTGTTCAACTGTTAAACAGCTCTTACTGTCAGGAAGTTCTCCCTAATGTTGAGTCGGAATATATTTTCTTGTAACCTGAATCCATTGGTTTGGGTCCTACGGAGAAAACAAGCTTGCTCCATCTTCCATGTTACCGACCTTTAAATCAGGCTTCCTCAAACTCGGCCCTCCAGATGTTTTTTGGCCTACAACTCACATGATCCCTAGCTAGCAGGACCAGTGTTCAGGGATGATGGGAATTGTAGTCTCAAAACATCTGGAGGGCTGAGTTTGAGGAAGCCTGCATTAGATATTGGAAGATGGCTTTCATGTCACCTTTTAGCCTTCTCTTCTCTGGGCTAAATATGCCCAACTCCCCCAACTGAGTCCGATCCTCATAAGGCTTGGTTTCCAGACCCTTGGCCATCATGGTCTAACTCCTCTGTGCACATTCTAGCTTGTCCACATTGTTCTTAAACAGTGGTGCCCTGAACTGGACACAGGACTCCAGGTGGAATTACAGTGGTACCTCAGGTTAAGTACTTGATTCGTTCTGGAGGTCCGTACTTAACCTGAAACTGTTCTTAACCTGAAGCACCATTTTAACTAATGGGGCCTCCCGCTGCCGCCGCACCGCCGGAGCCCGATTTCTGTTCTCATCCTGAAGCAAAGTTCTTAACCTGAAGCACTATTTCTGGGTTAGCGGAGTCTGTAACCTGAAGCGTATGTAACCTGAAGCGTATGTAATCTGAGGTACCACTATATAGGGGTGGTACTATGACTTCCCTTGAGCTGGACACAGTGCTTATGTTGATGCAGCCCAGAAAAACATTGTTGATTTGTGCTATGTCTGCCGGGTGTCGGTAACCTGGGCCAGTTCTTTGGTTACCTCTCCACCAACTGCAACATTGTCCTGGTAGCCCACAAATGGCAATGATGAGAGGATATGTGAAGCCTGTGGTATCTTGTGCCTCTCTTGGCCAGAGAAGCTGTAGTCATTCAGTCAATGAGATAGCTCAGGATGAGAAGCACCACTGAGGGTCTGAAAGATCATGGTGTCGCCATTTAATGTTCCCGTGTGATTCAGTTATTGGTATATTTCTTATGTACATCAATTGGTGTTTTAGTACTGTAGCTTCTATATGTCTCAAGAGATTTGACCCTCTTAATCTATTATTGTTCCAATTGAATTAATCCTTTCAATTTTTCCCTAATAATGTTCTCTTCCGAATCGAGGGGTGTGTGTGTGTAATTTCTTGCCTGTGTGTTCTCTCTTTTAGTAGATGCAAAGCATTATGTTGGATGAAATCAAGTTGCCTCACTTCTTGCAAGTTTCATAAATCACTTTCAAGGGTCAAAAATTTGTTTGCTTGAGAAGTAACCTTCGAACTGATTTCAAAAACTCCTAGGCATCCGCCTTCTCTCGGAATCTGCTCTATCACTTCCAAATAGCATTTCATTAACATAGATTTCTCTTTTCTTTTTTTTTTATAAGATATTTATTAAGGTTTTTTGAAATATTACAGTGAAAATGAAAATGAAAAAGAAAAGAGAAAAATACAAAATAAAAACAGTTAAAAACACACATATTTTCTATTACTTATTTTCCTTTAGCTTGTTTCCCGGACCTCCTGGTACCTCCCTTTTTTGTATTCCACTTCAATTTATTGGTTCAGCAAATCCTTACCATTAGATTTTAACACATGTATAACCCTTTTTCATATTCTCTTAGAGCATTACAGCTGGAAACCGCTTAATTACTATCCAACATCATTCTATCATTCATTAATTTTACAATATTTCTGTAAATAGTCTTTAAATTTCTTCCAATCTTCTTCCACCGGCTCTTCTCACTGGTCTCGGATTCTGCCGCATTAACATAGATTTCTCCCCCTAAATGGCAGCTGCAGAGGCTACAGTGAGGGAGAATGGTGTCTGTGTTCCTTAGCCCTCCTGCCATGGTTCAGTATCTGAGGCTGATGAAAAGGGAAAGGCAGAAATTGCTATTCTGCTTACAGATCAAAGCAGAAAAGCAACAACTGGGTTCTGCTAAATCAGCCACATATGGGAACACCTTGGTTTAGGATTGTAGAATCGTAGAGGTGGGAGGGATCCCAAGGATCATTGTTGGTGGTCTGTGGACCCCAAGGGGTTTGTGGCACCGTTCACATAACAAAAACTACCATAGAGATGGCAAAATTTTCTAAAGTACTTAGCTAATTGGGAACCACTGATTTAGTTCAACCCCCTGCAATGCAGGAATCTCGACTAAAGTTGGATGGCCATCCCTAACAGATGGCCATCTAACTTCTGCTTAAAAACCTCCAAGAAAGGAGAGTCCACAATCTCCCAAGAGAGTCTGTTCCACTGTCTAACAGCTCTTACCATCAGAAAGTTCTTCATGGTGTTTAGCTGAAATCTTCTTTCTTGGAGCTTGAAGCCATTGGTTCCAGTCATACCCTTTAGAGCAGGAGAAAACAAGTGTTTTGCATCTTCCATGTGAAAGCCCCTGAGATATTTCAAGATGGCTATCATATCTCCTCCCAGTCTCTTATTCTGCAGGTTAAACATACCCAACTCACTCAACCAATCCTCATGAGACTTGGTGTCCAGACCCTTGATCATCTTGGTTGCCCTCCTTAACCAAGAATAGTTGAAGTCATGTTGTTGCTGGACCTTCTCCTTTTCCTGTATCCAATTCCTCCCTCACCTGGGACACGGGTGGTGCTGTGGCCTAAACCACCAAGCCTCTTGGGCTTGCTAATCAAAAGGTGGGCAGTTTGAATCCGCGTGATGGAATGAGTTCCTGTTGCTCTGTCCCAGCTCCTGCAGACCTAGCAGTTCGAAAGCGCGCCAGTGCAAGTAGATAAATAGATATCGCTGCAGTGGGAAGGTAAACAGCGTTTCTATGCACTCTGGTTTCTGTCATAGTGTCTTGTGCCAGAAGTGGTTTAGTCCTGCTGGCCACATGACCCGGAAAGCCGGCTGTGGACAAACGCCGGCTCCCTTAGTCACCTTTGACTGGACTTAACCGTCCAGGAGTCCTTTACGTTTACTTTACCTCACCTTCAAAATAAGGCGTTTATAGATTGTAGCTTAGAGACATTGATTCATTTATGCTAACCCTTGAAAAGAAATATAGTTGCAATATTTAGTCTTGTTCCAAGTTGTTCTTTTGTGTTTTAATCTCCGCCTTTTACTGTTTTTCATCATTCCACAATTGGTCCCATTCTCCGTTTATGGAAAGATTTCCAGTTTCCAGGCTACATCATATACCCAGTAAAAATCCCATTCCCCACACCTTGTCAATTCAGCATCATAGAATCATAGAGTTGGAAGAGACCACAAGGGCCATCGAGTCCAACCCCCTGCCAAGCAGGAAACACCATCAGAGCACTCCTGACATATGGTTGTCAAGCCTCTGCTTAAAGACCTCCAAAGAAGGAGACTCCACCACATCTTTATCGGTGGTATAGAATTCTGTATAGTTTGTTGTCAGGCATGTTAGCTAAAGGGGGTATACTTTGGTTTTGCTTAGCAGGAGCTGAGTGACATCCTGCCCTTGCTGCATTATTCATGGTCCAATGTTGTTATGTTGCAGATGGCTGAGAGCTAGGAAGAACCATTCCAGAGCAGAATGACTCACATTCCCACAGCCATGAATGGTAAGGAGCTCTTGTGTAGGGTATCCTCTGAGGAGGAAGATCTTTTGTCTTTCTCGTATATTACAGTATTATTGAATAATTCTAAGATTGATATGCCTCAGAATTTTGGTAAATTTTCTGAAGACTATCTACTTTTGCCTACAGAATTTTGTTCTGTGTGTTTTCCATGATCCTTCTGCCGGAGCTTATAGAGGGCACCATGAGCTGCCTGAAGCAGCTGCTAATTTTACTGTATTTTAAGGCTTGAAACATCCCCTGTGAACAGTGTGACAGCCTTCGGAGCTCTTCAGCTGTGAGTGGCAAGCTGTGTCCTTGGTTATCAGGCCATGTCACATAAATGGTACCTCCCCACCCCCCAAAAAAGGTTATGAAAGGCTTGTAGACATTCTGTTGCTTAAGGTAATAAGTGTAGTATCCGAAAACATGTGCAAAGCAATCCTGTTCACGTTTACAAGAAACTAAGCCCGACTGTGTTCAGTGAGAAACCTCGTAAGTAGGGAAATTGTTAATGTTTAATATTTTATTGTGTTTTTATATATGCTGGAAGCCGCCCAGAGTGGCTGGGGCAACCCAGTCTGATGGGTGGGGTACAAATATAATAAGAATAAGAATAAGAGTAATAAGTTTAGGAATACAGTCTTAAAATCAATTTTTTAAAGACATAATATTTCATGATAAATGCTTTTCACATCATTTAAATTGCTCATCTAAAAGCATTTATTTTGAATACAGATTTGATATTTACATATTAGTTTATCATCCTTTTGATTTTGTTTGTAGAAGGAAAGAAAATAGTTTTACAGCCGCTGAATTTGCTGTGGAAGTCCAGTAAGAACCAAAAATGGAATTTCAGGATAAGCTCATTAAACCCTTGAAGCTGGTAAAATTAAATTTATTTCACTGTTGCAGATATTTAGAACAGAGAAGTTAAGATAGGCTTGAGGATAAGTAAAAAAATTGCTACCTCATGCAAATGTTTTCCCACATGTGAGCAGTGTAAAATATTCTGCTAGCTGCAAGGCTGCATTTACTGCATGAAGTATTAAAGCATGCAATTTGTTTCTCTAAATAACTCAGAAGTTTGTGAAACATTCTCATGTTTTTCCATGCATACTTAATCTCTTCACACTGACCATTACCACTTTTGAAGCTTGCATAATTGGCTGTCTTTATTTTATGATTGAATAAAACACTTTTAAATAATGATTTAGGAAGTTTTAATACTTTTTTTAATACTTAAAAAGGACTTGCAACTAGATATTAACTCAACCTGTGTAAAAGTAATGAGTCTGCAGAGTGATCTTGTATGAGGTTAAATCCTTGATCTCCCAGCCTAAGGATAGCCAACAGGACATCCTCAGGATGTTGGACCAAAACTCCCATCAGCCTCCATTAACATGGTCAGTATGTCAGGCATGATGGTTGTTGAAGTCCAGCAATGCCCATGGGGCACCGTCTTGGCTACCTTTGGTCTTGCACAATGCTCTCTCTTCTGCCCAAGGGGTCATTTTCACTGGAGAGGCCAGGCGCTGAACCTTGGGTGGGTGGAGAGCCCCTGAGCCTTGGCTGCTGCTTCTGTACTGAACATGGGTTCACCATATACACCAGTTGAGACACACACAGGAGGAAATGGCTGAAATTTGTTATTAGATTATGTTGGGCCATTCTAACTCGCAGAGGCATTGTCACTTCCTGAACAAGGGTTGGTTCCTTTTTTCCTGCCAATGTGTCTTTAACGGTTGCATAATCAGCAGAAATTCAACAGAAAACTTTCTTGGGCTTAAAGTCACGATGGCAGGGAAGTCTGTCTTTCTGATGTATTCCTGTTAAAGGCACAAGGACCATGACAGAAAAAGGGGGTGACCCTATCCTATCCCTTTGGTGAAGGAAAAAGAGAGCAACTGATACAGAATGGCCAGAGTACTTTTCTCCTAGAATATGGTGATTGAGCAGCTGATATGAACAGTAGAAGCTTGTGTAAGGTGGACACACTCAAAATCTTACACTTCTTCCCCTACTCAGCCATTTCTCTTCATTTGAAGTAGTCCTTCCTGAAGTGAAGCTTTGGTCTAGCAGATGTGGCCTTAAGGATGTGTCAGGCTGGTACTAAATTAGAGATAATTGCAGCATTAATTAGTTTGATCAGTCTTAGAATTGGAAGGGACTTTAGAGATGATCTAATTCAACCCAGTGCAGGATACAACTACAGCATCCCTGACTGGTGGCTGTCCAGCCTCTTCTAAATACTCACAGTGAAAGGGAGTTGACTACTTCCCAAGGCACTCTGTTCTACTGTCCAGCAGCTCTTTATCTTAGGAAGTTTCTCATAATTTGCAGCTGAAATTGGCTTCTCTGCAACTTCTACCCATTGGTTCTTGTCCTGGCTTCTGGAGCAACAGAGAGCATGAACTGCAACACTTCAGAAATTTAAAAAGCTCTGTGATAACGTCACTGTATTTTTTTCACTGCCTGCTAAAAACATTATTGATTAGACATGTCTACCCAGATGCTCAGAAAGCCAAGGCAATTTTAATCTGTTTTAATATTTTAACTTCTGTACATCTTAAAGTAGGTTTGTACATTTTTCTTTATTTTGCTGTTTTATCTTTGTGTAAACCATGAATAGATGTGGCTCTTAACCTTGTAGGGTATGCAGCATTCCAGCCACACAGAAGTCAGAGCTTTCTGCATCTCTCCCTCTAGGCAAGCTAGAGGTGCAACCACAGTTCAGCATGAACATGGATCAGGGCCCACGAGAGAAGTGGCCTGTGGAGAGTCCTGGAGGCTGGGAGAAGGAGGGGCTGCGGGTGGGGAGCTCCATTTGGCCTCCAGGCTGGGAGCTCCCACCTTCAATCTGGGAACAAGGCTTCTGTTGATGCAGTCTAAGGTGGCAGTGGCTTTTAAAGAACAGCCACCCACTGCTAGTTTATGTTCAGATTATTTTTTTAAAAAAAAAAGACTAAAAATTGTGCACACAGTAAATCAGATCTTCAAAAAATAATGTTTATTGTTAATATTATCTTAAGCAGTGAAGATGACAGCACCATTTTAGAAGCATTCTTCCTTCTCACACAGATATGAAAGGAAGGTCTCTTCTAAGATGATGACTGCTCTGACACATGTGTTGCATCACCAAAAGCTAAAGTCAGTATGCTTCTTGTGACAGAAATGCTGCCACAGCGTAAATGCAAGTTTAATCAATACAGTGGTACCTAGGTTTTTGAACGTAATCTGTTCTGGAAGAGCGTTGGACTTCCAAAACAATTGAAAACTGAGGCGCAAAAGACGGGCTACCAATTCAATAGAGAAAATTGTAAAATAACAGATAGACGCAGTGGAAGCCATTTGACTTCCGAGGTGCATTCGAAAATGGAAGCATTTACTTCTGGGTTTTCGGCGTTTGAAAAACAAAACATTTGGCAATGGAGATGTCCAAAAACCAAGGTACCACTGTAAATTTTAATAGCCTAAGGCTTCAATCCTAATCCCATCTACCTGGGAGTAAATTGAATTCACTAGGATTTACTGCTGAGTACACATTGTTAGGATTGTGCTTTTAGAATCATTATGGGTTGGAAGGTATCCCAAGCGTCATCTGGTCCATGGGTAGGCAAACTAAGGCCTGGGGGCCGGATCTGGCCCAATCGCCTTCTCAATCCGGCCCGTGGACGGTCTGGGAATCAGTGTTTTTACATGAGTAGAATGTGTCCTTTTATTTAAAATGCATCTCTGGGTTATTTGTAGGGCATAGGAATTGGTTCATTTTTTTTCTTTCAAAATATAGTCCGGCCCCGCACAAGATCTGAGGGACAGTGGACCGGCCCCATGCTGAAAAAGTTTGCTGACCCTTGATCTAGTCCAACCCCCTGCAATGCAGGAATCTCAGCTAAAGCATCCATGATAGATGGCCATCCAACCTCTGCTTAAAATCCTCCAAGGAAGGAGAGTCCACAACCTCTCGTGGGAGTCTCTTCCACTGTAGAACAGCTCTTACTGTCAGAAAGTTTTTCCAAATGTTTAGTCGGAATCTCCTTTCTTGTAACTTGAAGCCATTGCCTCAAGTCCTATCCTCCAGAGCAAGAGAAAACAAGCATGCTTATACATTTCAATCACGTTGCAGCCCAATTTATAAGGTCATGAGCTGATAGCTAGTGCCTATTTGGAATGGTAGGATTGAGCAAGAAATAAATAAAATACTGAAACACTTCTTGTTCTAAATTCATGATCTTGAGAAAGAGAGAGAGAGAGAGGAGAAAAAGGAGAAGAAAATGAGATAAGAGTAACTGTCTTCCAAAAATCATTTGAATGGTAGGGATTTTTAGGATGGTGTTTGAGCATACGTAGATCATACGTAAATAATGTTTAACTGAAAAGTCAACATGGTGAAAGCATGCCCGCTAATGCTGTAAAGTCCATATAATTGTGTTAAAGCTGGAAAAAACCTTGAGAGAATAACAGTCAGCAAATAACTGTGCATCTAGGGAACAAGATACCATGAATCATAAAAGCATTCCTGCCAAACTGGTGAGGGTAAAGTGTGTTAAAAACTCGTGAGTTAATATTATCACTTAGGAAATAAAGGTTCATTTTCCCCCAGTTGACTATACCCATTTAAAACTACTTTTTAAAAAAGCATTCCCTTTTGCTTTCAGGAGGCTCAAACATTTGGGCCATCACCTTGGAAGAGAGAATGAAGTATGACAAGCAGTTTGACAGCCTTAAACCAGTTGGGGGATATGTCACAGGTTGGTGTGTGCTTCTGCAGTGAATTGCCTTCCTCATTATAATCTGAAGATTTAAATCATGAATTTGCTCTCAGTTGAAAATTGGCATAAAATGCCTCTTGAAGGAAGCAAGGGGTTCCTCCAGATTGATAGCATTTACAAGTACAGGACGGCCACACCTTACGTGGGGACTCTGTTCCAAGAGTTCAGTGTATACAAAAAGGTGCATATTCAAGCCGCCTCCTTGGAACTTGGTCTTCTACCATCAGCTGGTGCCCGGAGTGAACCTCACTCCGCAAGTTCCCCACCTTGCTTGGGGTAGGCCTATTCAGTGCACGGGCTCTGAGATGCTCTCATGAGAACTCTCAGGACTGCCCAAGTTCCCGTGAACGAGCATCTCCAGGCATCTGGAGCCAATGTGCTGAGAGGGCCTTGCCTGTATACCTGAAGGAGCATCTCCACCCCCATCGTTCAGCCCAGACACTGAGATCCAGCGCCGAGGGCCTTCTGGCGGTTCCCTCGCTATGAGAAGCAAAGTTATAGGGAACCAGGCAGAAGGCCTTCTCAGTAGTGGCACCCGCCCTGTGGAACGCCCTCCCTTCAGATGTGAAGGAAATAAGCAGCTATCCTATCTTTAAAAGACATTGGAAGGCAGCCCTGTTTAGGGAAGTTTTTAATATTTAATGCTGTATTGTTTTTAACACTCGATTGGGAGCTGCCCAGAGTGGCTGGGGAAACTCAGCCAGATGGGCAGGGTTTAAATAATAATTTATTATTATTATTGTTATTATGAGCTTTTCACTTTAGTTTAAAGAGGTAAAGAGTCTAGTCTGTTCAGAAGGGAGTTGGTGCTTGGAAGGAGGCCTGGCTCTGGGTGGTGGTGTGTCTCCATCCTCAGATGCATGCCTTTCATTCCCCATGTTCTTCCAGTCAACCCAATCCTCTCCACCATTCTTTCAAGCAAGGGTGGTATACAGATAACTCAAGGAATGTGGATAATTGGCCCCTGTATGCTACCTGGAGAGACCATTCATATTGCTTCTCTGCCTGGGGAGTTCAATAGGGAAGGTTTGCCTCACTTGGCAGGCAATTAAACCTAAAATTGGAGAATCATGACAGCCTTTTATTGATTTTTGGAAAATTGTATGTAAGATTGCTTCTGTTATGTGATTTATGTGTTTGATTAGAAAGTACTAATTTTTATTAGCTTTATGCATTTTCACTTGTTTTAGTCTGGACTTTATATAAAATTGGATATGCTTAGATTGTATTCATATTTTTGTAAAACTGTGTATGTTTATTTTACTTGGTTGCACTGTGTGTGTGTGTGTGTGTGTGTGTGTGTGTGTGTGGTGTATAGGGGTATATGGGGCAAGGCGCTTCAGCCCCCTCCATAGTTTGAAGCAGGGGGCCCAAGCATCTCACCTATCAATCACAGCTCTGGCACTCATTGGCTAAAACTACTGATAGGCAGGAGCATCTGGTCTGGCTCCTTCCCCAGAAGTCACTTAGAAGGGTGCGTGCACATTTTGCTTCATAACTTTCCTATAGGAAGCATATATATATATATATATATATATATATATATATATACATATATAAAATAAAAGCTCAGAGTCTGCTTTCCCTTCTCAGGCACATAGTGTCCATGGGCCAATGTTGGTGACCCTGATCAAGGATATTGTTTGTTCCTATGTTCACCACTTAGATATAGATACCAGTAGCCCTCATCGTTCCCTCTGGGTCTTCACGGGGCCCTAATGGCAGTAGCCGTCACTTTGGAAGCAGATGAGCAAAGGGAATCTGGTATTTCAGCAGGCTGAAGTGGAGCTGTGCTATGTTCCTGCCGGAATAGGTGTTTACAAATACATACCGTATTTTTCGCCCCATAGGACGCACCGGCCCATAGGACGCATCAAGTTTTTTGGGGGGGAAATAAAGAAAAAAAAATTTATTTCCCCCCCAGGCGCTTGTGGGGCCGGCAGCGGGGAGAAGCGCTCTTCTCCCCGCAGTCCGCCTTCAGACCAGGTCTGGGGACAGCGGGAAGATGCGCTGCGCCTCCCAGCTGTCCCCGGAGCTTGCGGGGCAGGCAGCGGGGAGAAGCGCTCTTCTCCCTGCCGCCCACCTTGAGATCAGGTCCGGGGACAGCGGGAAGATGCGCTGCGCCTCCCAGCTGTCCCCGGAGCTTGCGGGGCAGGCAGCGGGGAGAAGCGCTCTTCTCCCTGCCGCCCACCTTGAGATCAGTTCCAGGGACAGCGGGGAGACGCGCTGTGCCTCCCAGCTGTCCCCGGAGCTTGTGGGGCAGGCAGCGGGGAGAAGCGCTCTTCTCCCCGCCGCCCGCCTTCAGATCAGGTCCGGGGACAGCGGGGAGACGCGCTGCGCCTCCCAGCTGTCCCCGGAGCTTGCGGGGCAGGCAGCGGGGAGAAGCACTCTTCTCCCCGCCGCCCGCCTTCAGATCAGGTCCGGGGACAGCAGGAAGACGCGCTGCGTCTCCCAGCTGTCCCCCGAGCTTGCGGGGCTGGCGCTGGGGCTCTCCTGAAGCCTGGAGAGCGAGAGGGGTCGGTGCGCTCTCCAGGCTTCAGTGAAAGCCTGCATTCGCTCCATAGGACGCACATACATTTCCCCTTCATTTTTGGAAGGGAAAAAGTGCGTCCTATAGGGCGAAAAATACGGTATATCCAATTAATAATGGCTCTTTCTCATTGTTAAAATTTTCATTGATTGATTTGTGAATCAGAACATTAAATCCACTCAGTAATTTTGCATTTGCGATGTCAAATAGTTGAAGCACTTTGATAACTTTTAAAAACATGGTCCAGTATATTAATGAGTCCTTTAAGGAAAAAATCACCAATGGAAAGTTGAGAATTGTATTAATGATGATGACTCACCTTGTCCCATTTTTTCTTTCCATATAGGTGATCAGGCACGTACCTTTTTTTTACAGTCGGGTCTGCCGTCTCCAGTCTTGGCTGAAATATGGTAATACATACATACATGCATGCATGCAGATACGTTTAATATTGTTATATTGATAGCACAAACGTCTATATCTTTACTGAATATGTTTAATGAGGATTATATAATGATAATAATGATAATTTATTGCTTATACCCCACCCATCTGGCCAGGGCTCCCCAGCCACTCTGTGCAACTCCCAACAGAATATTAAAAACACAATAAAACATCAAGAATAAAAAACTTCCCTAATTCATGAAATATTAAAAGCTTCCCTAAACAGAGCTGCCTTCAGATGTCTTCTAAAACTCAGGTAGCTGTTTATTTCCTTGACTTCTGATGGGAGAGCGTTCTACAGGGCGGCTGCCCTCTGCCTGGTTCCCTGTAACTTAGCTTCTCACAGTGAGGGAACCCCCAGAAGGCCCTCAGAGCTGGACCACAGTGTCTGGGCAGAACGTTGGGGTTGGAGATGCTCCTTCAGGTATACTGGGCCAAGGTGGTTTAAGGCTTTAAAGGTCAGCACTAACACTTTGAATTGTGCTTGGAAATGTACTGGGAGCCAATATAGGTCTTTCAGGACCAGTGTTATATGGTCTTGGTCGCCACTCCCAGTCACCAGTCTAGCTGCCGCATTCTGGATTAGTTGTAGTTTCTGGGTCACCTTCAAAGGTAGAGCACATTGCAGTAGTCCAAGCGGGAGATAACCAGAGCATGCACCACTCTGGCGAGACAGTCTGCGGGCAGGTAGGGTCTCAGCCTGCATACTAGGTGGAGCTTGTAGACAGCTGCCTTGGACACAGAATTGACCTGCGTCTCCATGGACAGCTGTGAGTCCAAAATGACTCCTAGACTGCGCACCTCCTCCTTCAGGGGCACAGTTACCCCACTCAAGACCAAGGAGTCCCCCCAAATCTGCCTGCCCCCTGTCCCCCGAAACAGTACTTCTGTCTTGTCAGGATTCAACCTCAATCTGTTAGCCACCATCCATCCTCCAACCGCCTCCAGGCTGGTTCTGATTTAAAAGAGAGGTAGAGCTAGGTATCATGCGCATACTGATGAACACCCAGCCCAAACCCCCTGATGATCTCTCCCAGCAGCTTCATATAGATGTTAAAAAGCATGGGGGAGAGGACGGAACCTGGAGGCACCCCACAAGTGAGAGCCCAGGGGTCCGAACACTCATCCCCCCATACCACTTTCTGGACACGGCCCAGGAGGGAGGAGCGGAACCACTGTATAACAGTGCCACCAGCTCCTCTAGATGGCCCAGAAGGATGTGATGGTTAATGGTATCAAAGGCCACTGAGACATCCAGCAGAACTAGGTAATAGCTTTCACCTTTGCTGCTAGCCCACCAGAGATCATCGACCAGCGCGACCAAGGCAGCTTCAGTCCCATGATGAGGCCTGAATCCCGACTGGAAGGGATACAAATGGTCTGCATCCTCCAGGTGTGCTTGGAGTTGTTCAGCAACCACCCGCTCAATCACCTTGCCCAAGAATGGAAGATTTGAGACCGGGCAATAGTTGGCCATATTGGGCGGGTCTCCCGTTCCAGCCCTGCTCCCATGGTGGAGTCTACCTCTTTCTGAATCTGAGCAACTTTATCTACAAAACCTTTGGAAAATCATTGCAGGAGATCTTGGGGTCCTTACCAGACCCCAGTGGTGAAGGTGGTTCCATTAGATTGCGAACCACCTGAAAGAGTGCATATGCAACAGAGGTGGTGAAGAATGTCTTCTTCGCTGTCACTATCGCCACTTGGTAGGCTTGATGTTGAGCTCTAACCCATGTACGGTCCGATTCAGAATGAGTTTTCCGCCATCAGTGCTCTAGCTGTCTCAGCGATTGTTTCATCGCCCTCAGCTCTAGGGGAAACCATGGGGCTGTCTGGGCTCCATGCTATCGGAGAGGGCGCTTCGGAGCCAGACAGTTGATAGTCCTGGTTAACTTCACATTCCAGCAGGTCATCAGGGAATCAGCTGAAAGGCCATCAACATGGGTTAGAACATCCCCTACCACTCTCTGGAAACCATTTGGATCCATTAAGTGGCAGGGGCGGACCATCCGAATTGATCCCACCTCCCTGCAGAGGGGAAGGGTCCAGTTGCACCACACTCCTGTTGCAGTGAGGACTGGACCACTGGCTGTGGTGAAGACTTCAGGGCCTGCTTCCTTGCAAGGCCTTTACCCACTGACCTAGGGGGCGAGGCCCAGGCCCTCACACTTCCAGCTCTAAAGAGACTCCTGCTGCAATGAGGACTGTAGGGCCCAGTGGGTAGGGCTGGACTCACTGGAACAAACTCTTGGGGAAGGGCCTGGGGTGGGGGTGGGGGTAGTGTTCCACTATTGCTTCCCTGCTCCAAGTATCTAATGTGTTTTAAAATGTTCTTAAGCTGTCTGTGACATTTTAAGTTTTTGCTTTTGCTTTGTTTTTGCTCTGTGGGGGTGGGATAAATGTTTAGTTGGGGCTGGGGATTAGTTTAATTTTAGTATAATTGTAATTTATTTTTATTATTCAAACCAAATCAAATACCTTTATTGGCATCACAGTATAAAACGTTTCAAATCACTGGGATAATTAAAAGGACAAGGGTGAAGCTGTCAAGGGTTATAGGGTATTATTATTATTATTATTAGTTTTAGTGGTTTCTTGTACTGTTTGCATTTTGTTCTGAAGGGGAAAGGGTCAGTTGCTGCCTTGAAGTGGGCCCCAGCCAACAGAATGGCTGGGGCTGGTTTGATTGAGGGTGGGGGGTGGGGGTGGGATGCACTGGGAAATCCGATCTCAGTGATCACAGGCAGGAGGAGGAGTTACGCTAAGACCAGACCACATCATTCCCGAGGAGGCAGGTTTAATTGTTGTTTGAAGGCTATCTCTGCCTCCGGGTCTGGTCTCGACTGGAAGGATACTGGAATCAACACATGACCTTAAGGTGCTGCTGTGCAATGCCAGGTTGAAGATTCATAAGATCACTGCCATCCATGACTTGATCGTGGATGGAGGACTTGACCTGACATGTGTAAGAGAGACTTGGTTGGATGAAGCAGACGGGCCGGTTCTTGCCGCCGCTTGTCCACCAGGTTTCTCTTACGCACAGCAGCCCAGGTCATATGTCCATGGGGAGGGGGGGGGGTTGCAGTGATTTTTAGGATTTTTAAGGATATGATTTGTTCCTATTTTTTTAATTTTAATTTTTTAATTAATTTCTATACCGCCCTATACCTGAAGGTCTTAGGGCGGTTCACATAACATATCAAATACATGAAATTAAAACAATAACAATAACCCAATAACCCTCCCCCCCCCAAAAAAAGAGCCAGCATTTTAAAAAGTGTTATAGGATGTAGATCAAGTCAGGCAAAGGCCTGGTTAGAAAGGAACATTTTGCCTGGCGTCTAAAGGTGTATAGTGAAGGTGCCAGGTGAACTGGGGAGAGCATTCCACAGACGGGGAGCTACTGCAGAGAAGGAGGGGGCATACAAAGAAGGGCATCAGAAGATGATCTCAGCGTCCGAGTAGGTTCATGGGGAAAGAGGGGGTCCTTGAGGTATTGCGGTTCTGAGCCGTTTAAGGCCTTATAGGTCAAAACCAGCACTTTGAATTGGGCCTGGAAACTAATTTGTAGCCAGTTCAGTTGGACCAGGATTGGTGTAATATGCTCAAACCGTCTTGCTCCTGTTCCCCCCCCCCACCGAATATTGTTGTTCTTTACAACTGTATTATTCTTGTCAGAGAAATGTTGAATGGCATGATCTGTATATCTAAATTTCTGTCCTAAGACAAAAATATTAGGATAGAATAGACTAATGTTTTGGAGCACAAACTGAATTTAATGCATCTGTGGTGCTAGCAGCCTCTGAATGTGCCATGTGCTGTTAACTGAGTTTGGAGTAAAAACACAAAAACTGTAAACAAGCAGCAAGGTCTTCATGCTTCCTGCCATGATGGTTGCATTTTCTGATCCTTGGGTGGTGCATCCTTATTGCTTTAGGTATATGGTCTGCCTTTTTTATTACAGTCATACCCTGGGTTACAGACGCTTCAGGTTGCGTTTTTTCTGGTTACGGACCCGCCGAAACCCGGAAGTATCGGAATGGGTTACTTCCGGGTTTCGGGGGTCATGGATGCGCAGAAGCGCCGAAACGCAACCCGCATGTGCACATACGCGCCGCTGCGGGTTGCGAACACTGTGGGTTGAAAACGTGCATCCCGCATGGATCACGTTCGCAACCCAAGCTTCCACTGTACTCACTTATTCGAATATGCAGCATCTATGCTCTTATCACTCTGTTTGCAAAATTCTTTCTGACAACTGGATGAAACAACAGATTATATTGTTTTTGCTTCTTGGGATTCTGAATAGAAGCAACTGTTGAAGACTTAAACTCTGTCAGCATATGTTAGTTGCATTACTGTTTATTGTGTAAGCATTTTTAAAAATATTTTGGAACTTTTAAACTGCTGTAGGCCACTCTCGGCTCTGTTTCTACTATGAAAGGGTGGAATATAAATCCTAATGTTCTGAGCCAAGTGCTATCCCACTTCTATATAAAGGATGCAGTGAAGTTTTTGAGCATAGAGCAATTCAGGTGATTAATGTCCCTATTTTACTCTTGCCCAATTTCTGTCATTCTCTGCTCTGTTGTAACCTCTCTCTCCAACCTAGGTGAAGGATAAAATTCGGTAATTCATAGGTTTGCCTCTAGCAACCTTGCTTTCTTTCCAGTAGATGCTGCTCCTGAAGAGTTATCCCAGGGGTGGGGGTGGAAATACTAAGAGCTCCCTGCCAAATAGGAGTAATTGGCAAGGAAAATAGTCTTCTGCTACTGAACTATAGAACGTATACAAATATATAGACATTGTTGTATTGTTGTTTTTAAGGGCACTTTCAGACCTGAACAAGGATGGGAAAATGGATCAGCAAGAGTTTTCTATAGCAATGAAACTCATCAAACTAAAGCTACAAGGCCAGCCTTTGCCCGTGGTTCTCCCTCCAATGATGAAGCAACCTCCAGCATTCTCTCCCTTGATTTCTGCTCGTTTTGGTAATCATGAATATGAATCAATGTACAGGTGTTTGGAGAAAGACTGCCCCTCTTAAATTATTATTGATAAATAAATAGCTATGTTCAAATCTGTTATCATTAGACAATAGATCATGATGTTAAAGATATGTACAGAAAATATAGCTAAATATTATCAAATATTTTTGTCATAAAAATGAATAATGAGTACTTTTGAGATGATTCTCCTGTGCTCTGATGGCATAATAAGGATGGGCCTCAGAAATAGTGCAGCTAATTCTATGTGCTGGAAAGGGGTTAGAACTTGCATGTTTCAAAGTGCAACCATGCTTGCCATATGGCACGATCCTTTAAAAAGTAGGGTGAGTTTTGAAAGCAGTTTGTGATATGTTGTTGGCACCTGTCTGTCTCGAGAGACAATGGAGTGTGCCTCGGGGGGTGAAGGCAAGCCACTGGAGAATTGCAGTGCCTGCTGTGGCTGCAGAGACCACAGAGCAACTCATAACTGCTGCCTGCTGCATTGGTCTGCTGTTCTAAGTGGGTTTACAAAAAACAACCCTACTTTTTTAAGGCAAACCTTTCAATGTGCCGAAAGTGGATGCCATTGAACAAATTATTCTCTTCCTTTAATCGTAACTATATATTAGACATCTATTGCTTTAAGCAAGTACTTGGAGCATATTGCTTGTTCTTTTTTTCTGAAGCCTGTGGCAACTGGGATGTGTTATTAGGGAGAAAACCTTGGCTGTATAACTGCTCGAATGAAGCAAACTTATGTGTAAGCATAGACCTCTTATCTAAAACTAGTTTTTGTAGCTCAGGGTTTCCCAAACTTGGGTTTGCAGCTGTTTTTGGACTACAACTCTCATCCTCCCTAGCTCGTAGGACCCATGGTCAGAGATGATGGGAGCTGCAGTCCAAAAACAGCTGGAGACACAAATTTGGGAAACCCTGGTGTAGATCTCTCTAGTAAAAGTGAGTCATGTCTCCCCAATTCCTGGCTGTTCACAGCTATATGGCTATCACTAACAACTTGGTTTCTCTTCTAGGCATGGGCAGTATGCCAAACCTGTCTATTCCAGCATCTGTTCCTACAATGGCACCTTTAGCTCCAATGTCCTCTTTTGCTTCTGTAACGTCCATCCCCCCCCTGATTATTTCTGCTCCTCTGCTGCCTTCCACCAGCACACCTGCATTGCCAAATGGAACAACCAGCCTCCTCCAGCCACTACCGTACTCTTCAAGTAAGTATCATCATGTCCGACAAGAGGCATACTTCCAGTCTGGACAATCTGAGTTGGATGCTGGCCAATGCCTTGATTCTGAATGCAAAATCTCCTCCTAGCAAATACTAAACTGATGATTTTTCCACCTTAAATTCCTTCTTCTTGCTACGCTAGCCACTTTCCACTGGAAATATTGTATGCATGATGCCCCGCGCCAAATATTTTGTTGTTTTAATGAAAGTTTGGATGTTGCTATGGAGAGCAAGATGGAGGTGGTACTCAGCCTTTTCCCTTATACTGTTTTCCTACTCAAGGTCACTAATCCATGAAAGCTATTTCCTTGTTCATGGGGAAAAGAGGAGGAGATTAGTTTTGAGGGGACAAACGTCAGGAAGGGAGATGGTTAAGCACCCCCTTACCTCATAAGTCCTCCTTCTCAGCCTCTGAGGCTCACTGTTATTAAAGAAGGGCCCTGCCAAATCATGGTGGGAAAGTTACACAACTTGGTGCTGCCTGTAGAGAATGTATTGAAGAAAATGAAAAAATAGAATTGGGCTATAAATTAGCATAAATTATTAGGGTGTTGTAGTCAGACTAGTTCTCAAAGCTCGTCAAGTTTGTGGTATGGAGTCAATTTTTTATTCTTTTGCTTTTTTCTTTTTCATTAGTTTTTATTTTTCTTCTTTGTTTGCTCATTTACCCGCTTAATTTTTGAGCTTTGTGTTTTGCACTTTGTTTTTTTTAAAAAAAGTTTTGTTCTATTTTTATTTATCCATTTTTTCCACTCACATAAGCACAGTTTAAAATAATTCTTATGATTTACTTAAGGCTTATTTTTAATCTGGGAAATATAGTGTGCATAGATCTAATAAGTTAATGTCAGGAGACTGCCATCAGAACGGGGGAGGGAGGCAGGGGGATACAGAGAGCCTCCTGCGCTTCTGAGAAGCAGCTCCTCGCCCGGCAGTGGAGAAAGCCCCACCTCCAGTGGACCAGAGGGGGAGGGGAGTAGCTGGTGAAGGGAGGGCTCAAAGATGCTACGGAGAGCCCAAGTGCCTCACCTAGCCCGGCTGCCCAGGAGGCACACACGACACTTCCGGCACCCTGCTTGCGCAGAGGGGTGAAACATACGGAGGGGAGGTGGAGATTTGGGGTGTGTAAGTTCTTATGCTGGGGGAGAAACCAGAAGGGGGCACTCCCGGAATCTGCAAGCGACTAAGACGGACATTAACTTTGGGGCTTTGCACTGTAAATAGTTTGCACCAATAAAACCTGTAAAAGACAGGTCGGAGTCCTGCCTGGTTACTCACGAGCAACCACCACCAGCACCTGACAGTTAAGCTTAGTGTTTGTGTAATTTCTGAATTTGTTAGAAATTCTAGGCATTATATTGTATATTTTAATACAGGGGAGAAATTGAATTTTGGTTTATACAGTCAATTAAACGGATGAATGGAAGAACGTTCATAAAGGGGTCAAAACTGATAATCCAAGAAGCAAAAGCTAATTTTGACATAGTTGAGCTCAGTTGGTAGAGCATGAGACTCTTAATTTCAGGGTCATGAGTTCAAGCTCCACCTTGAGCAAAGATTCCTGCTTTGTACGGGGTTGGACTAGATGACCCTTGTGGTCCTTTCCAACTCTACAATTCTATTATTCTGTGATTGCAGGCTGACGTAGCTTATCTACAAGAGACCCATTTAATTGAACAGGATAAATAATTATAATAGAAAGACTGGGTGGGGTGGGTTTTTCTTGCCGGAAATGCAACCAGTGCAAAAGGGGTCACCACTTTGGTCAGAAATGGATTTCCAAATGATGTACTTATGAAAACAAGCTTAAAAATAAAAGACAGAACCATTTGAAAAATGAGTTGAAAGAGTTATGGGCACAAATGTTTAATAATATGCTGGAAGGATAATACCATGGCCCCCTTTGAACAATGCATAGAAGATAGGACTACACTTGTAAGATAGAAACAAATTGGGTATGGATAAATATACCGTATTTTTTGCCCCATAGGACGCACCGGCCCATAGGACGCACCTAGTTTTTGGGGGGGGAAATAAAGGGGGGGAATCCCCCCACCCCCGTGCGCTGCGCTAATCCCGAAGCTTGGGGCGTGCGGAACTCAGCACGCCCCAAGCTTCTGGGTGCCGGCAAGGTCTCCGCCAGCCATGGGAGAGCCGCGCGGTACTCCCACGGCTAGCGGAGCGCTGCGCTAATCCCGAAGCTTGGGGCGTGCTGAGCTCAGCACGCCCCAAGCTTCTGGGTGCAGGCAAGCTCTCCTCTAGCCCTGGGAGAGCTGGGTCTCCCATGGCTAGCGGATAGCTTCCTGAAGCCTGGAGAGCAAGGGGGGTCGGTGAGCACCGACCCCTCTCGCTCTCCAGGCTTCAGCGAAAGCCTGCATTCGCCCCATAGGACGCACACACATTTCCCCTTCATTTTTGGAGGGGAAAAAGTGCGTCCTATAGGGTGAAAAATACGGTAATGATATTTGGAATACATTTGGACTGATATTTGGAATGTGTTTATAAAAAGCATATTGACTTTTTAATAAGTCTATACTCGTTAGAATAATTGTAATACTTTTATACATTTATATATACTTTCAAGTAATTTTCTCTCAGTTTGTTTCTTGGTTTTGGTTCATGTTCACTTTTCCTCACTTTTTTACTTTATTTCTCTACTGAAAATTTTCATCCAAATAGTAATAATTTTTAAAGTTTTTGGTATGGAGTCAGGTTGGTGCCCAAGTGTTCCATGGAGATACTTTTGCCTTGCATTGTGGACTATGTGCTTTTCTCTTGTTTCAGCTTTGCCTCACTTTAGTTCATACAGTCCCATGATGGGCGGATTTGGTGGTGCCAACATCCAGAAGACACAGTCCCTGATAGATCTTGGCTCTAGTAGGTAGGGATCTTCAGGCAGATTTATGTCTCAATAGCAAGTTTCTGTTTTTTTCAAGATCTCTTTGGGTGGTCTTTGCAATCTATCTGGTTCCCCACAAAAGTGAGTACTTGGAAAGACAGAAGTCATTTATTCACATAAACTGTTGCTGCATAGGAACAATGTTCCAGTTTGAACATATATTTATATAATACCAGATTTCTTGCAAATGTGATCTTCTTTTCATATTGCAGTTCAAATTCTTCTTCTACTACCTCACTAACTGGGAATTCACCAAAGATTGGATTTTCAGACTGGGCAGTTCCTCAGGCTTCCAGATTAAAATACAGGCAGAAGTTTAATAGCCTTGATAAAGGGATGAGTGGATACCTGTCAGGTTAGTATTACAGTATTATATTTAAGCTTGCAAAGATTAATGAGTGATTCATGAGTTAATTGACAAAAATATTTCTTCCTGTTCATAATGCAGTATGTTCTAAGGGGGATTTCTTTTTAAAGGAAAGGGATTACAATTGAAGATTAAGTTTATAATTAATTGAATAATTTTCCTATATAAGAAAATGAAATCCCAGTATAAATGTAATATTTAACTGCACTTGCATGTTTGAAGATTTTTATAAATAAGTGTATACTTGCAGGTGGTGTAAACAAAATCTGCCCTTATTCCCTTATGGGGTACACAAGAGCCCTTATAGAGTCCTTTGTAGGTTCTCCATCGGTAGGAGAAAATAAGAGAGGCCAACCAGAGAAAATTGAGAAGCAAAGCAGCTAGTAAACCTGATCTTTATTAAAGCTGTTGCAACAGGGTGCTCCCCTCACATGCAGGAAAGGAGGAGGACCCAGAACCAAGGTGTGCCTGTCCTTATCTAGACTTGTAAAATTGCTCACCCTCAAACTCCAGACCAACCCCAGAAACATCATACATACATCATAGAAGGGGTGTAGCCCAGGACCACCACCCCAGTACATCATACCTACATCACAGGGGGCGGTTTAAAACAGAATCCTGAGTGTGTTGTTTATCTCCTGGCTGGCAAGTTACCTGATTGCATTATCTGAGTTTCGGCTACTCTTATGTTATTATACTCCTGCCAACCTAGCAGTTCAAAAGCATGTCAAAGTGCAAGTAAATAAATAGGTACCGTCGGGAAGGTAAACTGCATTTCCGTGCGCTGCTCTGGTTCGCCAGAAGCGGCTTAGTCATGCTGGCCACATGACCCAGAAGCTGTACGCCGACTCCCTCGGCCAGTAAAGCAAGGTGAGCGCTGCAACCCCAGAGTTGTCCACGACTGGACCTAATGGTCAGGGGTACCTTTACCTTTATGTTATTATAACTATTTACCGTATTTTTTGCTCTATAAGACTCACTTTTTCCCTCCTGAAAAGTAAGGGGAAATGTGTGTGCTTCTTATGGAGCAAATGCAGGCTGCGCAGCTATCCCAGAAGCCAGAACAGCAAGAGGGATTGCTGCTTTCACTGCGCAGCGATCCCTCTTGCTGTTCTGGCTTCTGAGATTCAGAATATTTTTTTTCTTGTTTTCCTCCTCCAAAAACTAGGTGCGTCTTGTGGTCTGGTGCGTCTTATATACAGTAATTCCTGAATCCAGGTCACAGGCTCACCCTATTCACACCTTAAATGTGCCCTAAAGGCAGGATTTGTGAGCACAGAGACCACGATGTCAGGCCTGGTCGTTGTCCTCTTCAGATCACCACACAAACGCTTCTTGTTCTTTTATAAAACTTTTTATTGTGTATTAACAAATCAATCTTATAAACGGTTCTTAACTATTATTCCTCAGAGTCACTTATTTCAGATACCTTCTGAGCTCTGCTTCTCCGTGACCAGCCACCCTCAAAATGGCGAAGGCGCCCTTCCCTTTGCTTTCCTGCTCTTTTTTCTAACCTCCTGGCTAGAGCTGGCCTGTATCTCCCCTCCTCCAAATCTGAGCTAGAACTGAACCCTTGCCTTTCCTGTGAACAGCCGGTCCCTCCCTGTTGTTCCTCTTGCTCCCTTCTGTTAGATTCACTGCTCTCCTTCCCCCCTTGGGGAATGCTTTCTCCCTCTGAGAAACTGGAAACTTCTAACTCTTCCCTGACACACAAGGAGGCTTTTTCATTTCCTTCCTCCTTGCAGAGAAACATTTGGTCAGTTTGGGAGAGTCAAAATGGTTTCAGGACGGTCTTCCTGTACTGTTTCAGACATGTGGTTTATGTATTTATGTACATGTTTGCCTTGTACATTTAATTTATATATTTGAGACCTTAAATTATTATAATACAGACTAAGACTTTTCAAATTATATTTCGAGTAAAACCAAACGAGGGCCCATCCACATTTCCCTTTGTCCTGTGATTTATTCCACTTGGTCTGTGGCTTGTAGGCACGGGTCTGAGAGGTTTCTCCTTTGTTCCATCCCTTTCCCGGGAAACCCTGCTGTTCACGGCTGAATCAGAGCAAATGCCAATCAGGTTTTCTGCAGACTGACATTTGTTCCAATCCAGCAGTAATAAGCAAGTTTTCATCTGGGAAAGTGCGGAACAAAAGAAAAACCTCTCAGACCCATGTCTAGAAATCACAGTCCAAACAGAATAAATCACAGGACAAAGAAAAGTGTGGGTGAGCCCTGGCCTGTAGATGGTAAAAAATATCACTGGTTCTTGAGTGCAATTAGAATTATATATTAACATACTTGACTTATATATTAACATACTTTTCATCTTTGATTCACTCAGGGTTTCAGGCAAAAAATATTCTTCTGCAATCAAACCTTTCCCAGACACAGTTAGCTACTATTTGGTAAGTCCACACATAAATTGATAAGACTTTGATGTTTTGTGCTGCTCAATGTTAATAATATGTTAACTACATTGCATATTTAATACTGTACTCTTTTTATTTTATGCTTATTCTTGAATTGCAGAATTCTGGTGTTGAGATTATATCGGTTTAATTTCTTTTTTAAAAAATTATCTTTAATTAAAAGTGGTTGCAGCGGCTCTACCAATGAAAGGTTGCAGTGGCGTGGGGACTCTGAAAGGCTGCATGAGCTTTCTGCAGCCAATCGGAAGCCACAGAAGCGTCGTCACCCACTCAGTCAGTCCCCGCAAGGTGAGGCGTCCGCGGCTTCTTTCCAAGGAAATGCCTCGCCGCGTCAGGTTTACCTCAGCGTGCGGTGACTGACTGAGTGGCTGGCAGGGTCCGCAGGCCGGATTTACGAGTCTAGTGGGCCAGATCTGGCCCGTGTACCGTGGTTTGAAGACCCCTGTCCTACTACTTCACACCACGTGCCTCTGGGAGAATTAAAACGGGTGTTTAATTCTCCAGTTAAAATCAGCTGGACTCCAAATTAATATCCTTCAATGCATTAAACATCAAAACATTAACAATGTATGGGTTTAGAACAAGGATGGGGCTAGACTTGACCACAGGATGCTCTCACTCCTCACCTGACATCAAGAATTGGGGCATGTAGACCTTCTCACAGTTGTCAGTGCACCACACAGGACTTGTGAACAACCTTGCACAGTGCTTTGGAGTACCATAGAGTACCATCTTTACAGAGTGCTGCATAGGGGCCTTTGCAAAGCCCTTCAAGGATCAGCTGCACCAAGGAGTCCCACGTGGGGAACTCAGTGGCACAACCAATCTCACAGAACTTGGAACCAACGCCTGTCACCTGACTTTGAGCTCCACCTCAGCTGCACAGACAGTCCCAGTGGGCTTGCTCTCACTGTCAGTCAGCTGCTTGCCAGTTCAGAGTTGGGAGCCCATTTCGAGACTCTTTGTTGGAGCCTCAACTTTCCCCTCACCCCATGTCACATGTGAATTCGAGTATGAGGCAAGTGAGCATGATTTGGGGGGAAACTGCCATGCAGGCCCAATTATGTTTCAAATGTGCTTTTGTGGGTATTTGCTTTTTCAGAATTGTTCAAGTTAGTAAGAGGTATCTTGAAGATGTTGCATTGAAACAATGAGATTGCTGTTTCATATTTCCTCAGTTCTTCTACTGCAGTTGTTCTGTCTTCCTAGGTCACTTGCTGACGTTGATGGCAATGGGCAGCTGAAAGCAGAGGAATTCATACTAGCCATGCATCTGACTGATATGGCCAAAGCTGGGCAGCCTCTCCCACTAACTCTGCCTCCGGAGTTAGTGCCACCTTCTATGAGGTGCATAACACAAGATGGTATGTTATTAAAATTGTATAATAAATGGAAAAGATGTCCTTTAAAAAAAATCCCTGTTTCTTCTCTCTAGAAGTGGAAAATGTGCTGAAAATACTGATTGTGTTCTGCCAACATACCAGAAAATAATGCAGGAAGAAGAACCTCCCCAAAAACTTCCAGGTAACAGTGGGGTTCTTTTTTATGTTAAGAGTGCAAAGTTGACTTTAAAAAGGCGTTAGAACTGAAAGAAACGTTGTTTTACCCCATATTTCAGATATTATGTGTGCCTGACTTCAATTTGCTTCATAGAAGCCATTTGAGCACTTAATAACAATTGTAGGACTCACGTATACATTGTTTACAGTAGCAGTGGTACGTTGTCAAGACCGAAAAGCAGCAGTACATTGGGCTATGTGGCGTCAGAGTGGTTGGACTGTGGCAGTGTTTCTACGACTTGATCCCCCAGCTGTTGTTGGACTGCAACTCTCATCATCCCTGGCTGACAAGACCAGTGGTCAGGGATGATGGGGACTCAAGTTTGAGAAACATGGGACTATGAAAGCAACAGGCAAGATGAAGAAACCCAAAACTACGGTTATTTACTTAATTTCCTTTTTGAATCACTTCAGTATCAAAGCCCTGTGCATATAACAAATGCTTTTCCATTTGTCAGTGATTTTACTTGAGTGTTATCTACCTCCGTGTTTCATACTACAGTGGTACCTCGGGTTACATACGCTTCAGGTTACATACGCTTCAGGTTACAGACTCCGCTAACCCAGAAATAGTACCTCAGGTTAAGAACTTTGCTTCAGGATGAGAACAGAAATTGCACCACGGCAGCGCAGCGGCAGCAGGAGGCCCCATTAGCTAAAGTGGTGCTTCAGGTTAAGAACAGTTTCAGGTTAAGAATGGACATCTGGAACGAATAAAGTACTTAACCCGAGGTACCACTGTACTGTCCTTGTTTTAGAAATGAACCTGCATTAGATCAATTTTTGCACTCTGATGCCATTTACTATTCTTTAATCTAGTTACATTTGAGGACAAGAGGAAAGCAAACTATGAGAGAGGCAACATGGAGCTAGAGAAACGCCGCCAGGTGTTGTTGGAGCAGCAGCAGAGAGAGGCGGAGCGTAAGGCTCAGAGGGAAAGAGAAGAAAAGGAGCGAAGAGAGAGGGAACGGCAGGAGCAGGAGCGAAAGAAACAACTTGAACTGGAAAGGCACTTGGAAAAACAGCGGGAGATGGAGAAACGGAAGGAGGAAGAAAGAAAGAAAGAAATTGAAAGGCGGGAGGTTGTTCTGCTAATTGCTATTTTTAATCTGCAAAGGAATATCTTTTCCGTTTATTGCTGTTTAGTGATCTTCACTTAAGCATTCTTTTTCCACCATGCTGAAACCCACTTGTCCCTAAAGATGACACCAAACCCAAGAGCCCCAGCTGTGTCTGGGGGCAGCCAAAGCTCAGCCTCAAGCAGCCAGTTCTCCATTGAGGTGAAGGCCCTTTCAGGGCACTGCCTAAGCACCTCCAGAAAGTGCCTGCCAGGTGTCTGTCACACAGAATTGCAGCGTCGTGCATGCGCTAGCAACCCTGTCCAGGTAGGCAGTCCCAAGTCCAGCAGTGACCTCGACAGGAAGTCGGAGGCTGTAGTGTCACCAGCTAAGGGGCGAGGCTGAGTTCCTCATGCTGAGAAGGATGCTGGTAATCAGGGAACCCCTGAATGTGAGGCCCAGAGGAAGGAGTACATGCAACCTGCTGCAGCAGAACCAGGACCCTCATGGCATGGGCCCCTTCCCCTGGGCTTGGAGAAGCGAGGGCCTCATGTATGGCATTGCCAGTGCAATAGCACCAAGTGGGCGGCTATGGAAAGGTAGGATAAATGTTTGTCTTCAGACCAGAGGCTCCCCCTTTAAAGAAGTTGAAATGCACGTTCTCCATAATTCATTGCCCTTTAGCACTTTTGAAAGAACTGAACATTTAGTGGTTATTTTATCTGCAGGCAGCAAAGCAGGAGCTTGAGCGCCAACGGCGTCTGGAGTGGGAGAGGATTCGGCGTCAGGATCTTCTTAATCAGCGTAATCGAGAACAAGAAGAAATTGTCAAACTGGCCTCTAAGAAGAAGAGCCTCAGTCTTGAGCTAGATGCCTTGGTGAGTCACAGCACTGCAAAGGACATAGGGAACTCCACTGGCAGGCGTAGGGAACACAGCTCCTGCAGATGCTCTTGGACTGGCAGCTCCAGCCAACCTGGGGGGGGGGGGTCAGGTGGGATGGGCATTCCAAGCCAGCAGCACCTGGGGGACATCCCCCGGGCTCACCCAAACAACAACACATTGTCTTTTCAAACATCTTTCTGTATTCTGGTAGGTGGCCGTGTTGGTCTGACGCAGTCAAAATAAAACATTTAAAAATTGTCCAGTAGCACCTTAGAGACCAACTAAGTTTGTTCTGGGTATAAGCTTTCATGTGCATGCATACTTCTTCAGTGGCTATTGACCCTGAGAGTATCTTCCAGCTTGTATAATATTTTATCTTAAAAATTCTTGTTAATTGGTTTTGACTAACTTTCTGTTTTAGGGGTAGTGATTAGCTGATACTCTGTATATTAGAGGCATGTTTTCATAGAATCATAGAATCATAGAGTTGGAAGAGACCACAAGGGCCATCGAGTCCAACCCCCTGCCAAGCAGGAAACACCATCAGAGCACTCCTGACATATGGTTGTCAAGCCTCTGCTTAAAGACCTCCAAAGAAGGAGACTCCACCACACTCCTTGGCAGCAAATTCCACTGTCAAACAGCTCTTACTGTCAGGAAGTTCTTCCTAATGTTTAGGTGGAATCTTCTTTCTTGTAGTTTGGATCCATTGCTCCGTGTCCGCTTCTCTGGAGCAGCAGAAAACAACCTTTCTCCCTCCTCTATGTGACATCCTTTTATATATTGGAACATGGCTATCATATCACCCCTTAACCTCCTCTTCTCCAGGCTAAACATGCCCAGCTCTCTTAGCCGTTCCTCATAAGGCATCGTTTCCAGGCCTTTGACCATTTTGGTTGCCCTCCTCTGGACACGTTCCAGTTTGTCAATGTCCTTCTTGAACTGTGGTGCCCAGAACTGGACACAGTACTCCAGGTGAGGTCTGACCAGAGCAGAATACAGTGGCACTATTACTTCCCTTGATCTAGATGCTATACTCCTATTGATGCAGCCCAGAATTGCATTGGCTTTTTTAGCTGCCGCGTCACACTGTTGGCTCATGTCAAGTTTGTGGTCAACCAAGACTCCTAGATCCTTTTCACATGTACTGCTCTCAAGCCAGGTGTCACCCATCTTGTATTTGTGCCTCTCATTTTTTTGCCCAAGTGCAATACTTTACATTTCTCCCTGTTAAAATTCATCTTGTTTGTTTTGGCCCAGTTCTCTAATCTGTCAAGGTCGTTTTGAAGTGTGATCCTGTCCTCTGGGGTGTTAGCCACCCCTCCCAGTTTGGTGTCATCTGCAAATTTGATCAGGATGCCCTTGAGTCCATCATCCAAGTCGTTGATAAAGATGTTGAATAAGACCGGGCCCAAGACAGAACCCTGTGGCACCCCACTAGTCACTCTTCTATGTTCTCGAATCAGATGTTTGATTTTAGATTATTTTCATTACAGGATGGCAAACACCAGCAGATCTCTGGGAGATTGCAAGATGTTATAAAAAGAAAACAAGTTCAAAAAAATGATCTGGATGTTCTGGAAAAGAAATGTGATTTGGAAATTATTGAAGTCAAGCAGCTACAACAACAGCTTCAAGTATGAAATCTCACTTTAAGTTTCAACTTGTTGCCTTGTGTGTTCCAGAGAATGAAGGACATGAATGAATTGGAGGGGGGTATTTTTAATACATCTGTGTAAAGATGTAGCTACAAAATAATAACAGTTTTTGCTTCTGTTCAAACAGTTCTCCTCCAATAGCTAGATTTCTCAAAATAATACGATTAAACTTTGTTTTTTAATGCTACAAATGACCTAACAAGGATAAAGGCTATTGATGGTTAAATTATCAGGTTTTTCTAGTTTTTACAAGGTACAGCTTACAGAATCTTAAATGCATGTAGTATGTAACAATATTTGTTATGCCAATATGCTTCAAGGTTAAGAAAAAACTGTCAAGTCCTAAATCCTTCTTTATTCTTGGACGTGTCTTTTATATAAGCTGGTTTGTCCATTTCTCTTGTGGGGTCATAAAATACTATCTATAAATAATTTTCAGCTGAGAGTTCTTTACATTTAAGCATATCAAAATTTTATCTAAAGTATGGACAATCTGTGTCACTCTTACTTGAACTGATAGGTCTCCATATTGACCGTAGTACAATATCAGGATGTACTGTGGATTCCCATGGAGAAATACCAGAATCAAGCCTAATGTTGCACTTGTCTCAAGTGTCTCTAACTTCCTGTAGAATTACTATTATTGGGTGAAATCCAGTTAAGTCATGCTCAACATAAATCTGGTGAAATCAAAGGGCAATTGATTTCAGGAGATGTCCCATGAATATATACCTTATATATTTCTAAGAAGGTAGGGCTGTAATGCATTAAGTCATTAAATATGTAAAGAAAGTATACTGATGATAACTTTCTAAAATTTTATCCCCGACTCTGCAGGAATATCAGAATAAGCTGATCCTCCTCATTCCTGAAAAACAGCAGTTAAGTGAGAGAATGAATCATATGCAGATGGGCAATTCTCCTAGTAAGTATATTCAGCATTATTTATCTTTATCCTTCTCAGTCATTCTTTATTTTTAATTACCAAAACAGTGATGGGAAGGAAGGAGAAAATGAAGGTGAGGGGTTGAAAAGGACAGTTTGAGCCTGAATCTAGAAGGGGACCCTTGGAACATGGGATGCTCAGAAATTCAAATACATAGAACTGATAGATGGTGATGTACTTCTATTTCCTTTTTGTTAAAAAAAAGTCCATCTGATTTGCCCCTGAGGACCACTGCTGGATCAAAACATGTCTGGCTATGGAAGATATCTGCCTAGTGCAAACTGCATCGCCTCCTCCTCTGGGGGAATTATAGGTGTTGAACCATCTGCTGGTGATACTCAAGCATGGAATTCCCTGTGTCAAGCAGGGGGTGAACTAGATGGCAAACTAGGCATGCTCCAACTCTTAACAATTCAGGGTAAGATTAAGCCATCAGCTGAAATCTCTTTCCCACCATGGATTTATTGAGTATCTGGACAAGCTTTCAGACTCAGTTCTCTGACTTCAAAAGGTACCAAATTCTTAACGAGCTGATGAGATTGTGGCAGGGGTAAATGTAAAGCAGGTTGTTAATTACAAGGGCCATATAAGTGAAGGGAAAAAAATAACCAAAATGTTCTTAAGATGAAACATTGGATTTTGGCTTTCATCGACAGAAACAGACCTTAATTCATTACAGAAGAAGTCCTCAGAAAAGGAAAAATTATGCCAAAGACTTAGAGAACAACTAGATGCACTAGAAAAAGAAACGGCTACCAAGCTTTCTGAAATGGATGCTTTTGATGATCAACTTAAGGTACAATCTTGCCTCCTATTTGTGACTCAGAGTAATAATTTGTTGTATTCCCTCCCTCCCTTCTATGAAAAATTTTCTTGCTTCTGATTTTTCTTCTGTTTCTCAAGCTTAGTTCAGTATTTCAGCCGATAAGGGCCAATGAAAGGTTGCGTGCCTTTTCTGTCCTTTCCATTCATACTGTTTAGATGTTCACAGATTGGTCTCCTATTTGACATTTATAATGCATGTGTCAGCATTTTGCAATACAGGGCCTCATGGTCATAAATTGGTATGGGTGCCATTTTGAATGTTGTAAACTGAATTAATTTACTTGTCATTGAATACTGCCATCCCAAAGTGGGTAACAAATAAGATATACAGGGGAAAATATAACATTGTGCAAAAATTACAGAATTCATAACATTTTTGCATAGCCTATTCAGAACAAAACTGTGGGCTATGCAAATTAATAATTTAAGATATTTTTCTCTCTGGTTTTAATAAAAGCTAACCACAGGGCATAGTTAGGAAGGCCATCAATTATGCTCGACCTCTTCACCATGTAAGCAACGACCAAGCCAGTTCTCATGCAGCTTAACTCTTTCTGGCTGCTGCATTATGGCACTGGTGTAAACAGATAGATCTTTATTCTCTGAGCGCCATTCCTTATATAGCCAAATCGCCTTCATCACATATAAGAGGGAGTTGGTAAAAGGCTTTGGGGAGACTCCAACTTTTGCTGAAAAGTCTCAGAGGTGGAGAGAACCCAACAGCCCAGTGGAAATGAAAAACCGTAGGGACATGGACTATGTAGTGGAGTAAATGGGAAAAAACCATGATGAAACAAGAGCCCTCTACTTTTCCAACACTTTGTTTCGGGTTGCACTTAAAAACAATTAATAGTAGTGTGACAAGTTCTATCTAAAGGAGACATAACTGCTGAAAGGTTAGTGGCAGAATTTGATTTTTTCATTTATTTAAAAATTATATTCCATTTGCTTATACTAAAGCAGTTTAAATGGTGTATGGGAAACATTAAAATTCTCACTAAAACAGTTAAAACATTTTAAAATAATTAGAAAGTAAAAAAAGATTAAAACACATCAGTAACTGTGTCTGGGTAGAATTGATATACAAGATATTCAAGAAAATAATTTTGAGATAGCATGATTAATACCTAACATGCTAATTGAGAGTAATTTAAATTGACCAGTTACAACACCATAAGTTCCCTATATATATAAAAATTGCAGTGCAAAGTGTAACAGCTTTTTATCTGCCTTATCTTACAGTATGAGACTATGGATGCTTCTGTTCTTCAGTGCCTTTTGTGTCTGCTAAGCTGTCTCAACAACCTCTTCCTCTTACTTAAGGTTACTTTCTAATCTTTGGCTTTTTTTGCTTATAATAATTTCATAGGTTTTTTTTTTTAATTGCATTTAAATCCCTTAACTCAAAAATCCAGTCTATTCAGTATCAGTGCAGTACAGCACAGTTTGTTTTTTCCTTCGCATTTCTGTTTGCTTTCAAATCTTGTCTGCTCAACGAATGCTTGAAGGAGGTACAAATCAAAGCATTAATATGAAGCTTGCTCGCTTACTAACTACTACCAGATACTTAATCTGATTGTCATTGTTTTTTATGTGAGATTTAGTTGCACACAGCTTTTCCTTCATTATTTAAATCTTACTAGCTCTTCTGAAATGGAATCAGTTCTAGTGCTTCAGATTGATGAATGAAAGGTCTGAAATTGTCATGTTATTATCACATCTGAACATTTTTCTCTCTTAGTAAAGTGAGTGTCTCATGTCTGAATACCAAAATGGGTCCTTAGAGAAGTTGAGAGCAGACAGATTCACCTCCTGCTCTAAGGTCACCCACCTCCTTCACCTAAATGTCCCTGTCTGTTTTGTTCAGCTCTTGCCTCCACAGCCTCTTAAATCTCCCCCTGCTCAGTCTAATGGAGTGAAATATAAATTATAAGAGAAGATTTGGGAGACTTGTGTCTCCATTTGTTGCACAAGATTCCTCTGCTCAGTATCTAGTAGTTGTCCCCCCTGACCCCCCAAGCCCATTTCAATGCAGCTCACACAGTTTAGGAGAGCCCCACCTCTGGAGAGGCTTTTCGTTGCACACAAGCATCAGCTAGAACCCCTCTTCTAATTTCTTCCATAATATCTTGCTTCCTCCAGTAGCTAAAAGAAAGTTGTGTTGGAAATGTAAACTTCAGAAGTATTCTATTTAATTTTGAACCTGTTCTCTTGATTGTATTAATACAGAGATTGAACACTTCTCAATGTAGGATTGCCTGCCTCTTCGTACCCTGACTTGGATTGCAGAACACTAAATCAAGTCCCCCCACCCCCCCTGATTTGCTCATTTGATGTATGTTATATTTTCTTATTAGGAGCTAAGAGAAACCTACTCTACACAGCAGTTAGCTCTTGAGCAGCTCCACAGGATCAAACAAGATAAAATCCAAGAACTAGAAAGAAGAAGAGCTGAGCTTGCACAGAAGAAGAAAGTGGAAGATGAGGCTGCACGGTAACAGGATAAATTAAAACAATGCAGGCTTTTTTCTAAAGGGCCTCCTCTGCACTCTCTTAGATGACAGGCTTAGACTTCCTCTTACTACGTGGGCTGTCATTCTGGGTTTGATTCCCCGCCCCAGTACATTTATGTACCTTGGTTCTGTTTTTGTGTTGTATTGGATATTGCATTTTAAAATGTAACTCCTTTTATTGATGCAGTTGTGACCCACCTTGATTGATGCTATCAGTATAAAAATGGTCACAACTTTTTTCTTTTTTAGCATGGGTTCTTTTTAATTTCTTGGCAATCACAATTCTAGCTACATTGAAATCTCATTGGGCAATTGTACATTTTTAGAGAACTGCACTTCAAAAAGAAACGTTCAGATAATATTGAAACAGTGACTCCATAAGAAATTGCTAACTGAATTACAAAATTAACTGGGATGAAAGATTTCCCTTTTATGTGACATGATATGCCTCACAGTAGTATTTTTTTTTAAATAATAATAAAACCTTCTGAATTGATTCTGAAACCTACAGGTTAGCAAGCCTAACTTCAGCATATGGCAACAATATTTGCAAAAAGTTGCTGTTTCTGAAGATGCTTATGGACTCTGTATTTTCTACACCCTACTGCAGGGGTCAGCAACCTAAGGCCCATGGGCCGGAGTGCCCCACAGAGGTCGTTTGACCGGCCCACGAGCCACCCCCCCAACCAAGCTGCCTGCTTGCGCACTGTGCTAAACCAGCGCGGCACGGGGACTCGCTTCTGCGGCGCCAAAAATCACATCTACGCATGCACAGACGCTGAAAATCGCAGGCATGCGTGTGATCCGGCCCACGGAGGGATCTCTGCGGGGCCGATCCGGCTCAGGCAAAATAAACCTTGCTGACCCCTGCCCTACTGGTTCTTTTTCTGTGACAAAAATAAATATGGTGCCAGTTCTTAACCATCGTAAGATTGCATAGCTGAAAAGTTTAGGACAGCATATATCCACTTCACCATTCCTATCGCTATTATGATGCTTAAGTTGTCCTAGGACTTTCAGAGCTTACAGGAAGATAATAATGTAAACTGAGAGCAGCTGATTTAAGGATCTGTGCCAAGTCTTTTCTTTTCAGTATCAGCATAAAAAATACCATTTTTGACAGTGTTTTTGCTGCTTTTTTTCTAAAGAAAAGCAAAGCGGGAAAAAGAGAACTTGTGGCAGCAGAATATCCGGAGGGAGGAAGAAGAGAGGAGAAAGCGACTACAGGAAGAGCGAATGCAGGAAAAAATCCAGGAGGAAAGACAAAAAACGGAGGAGGCAGTTGCGCAAGAAAGGGAAGCCCAGTTGCAAAAATTGGCAGAGGAGAAACTTGAAGAGGAAAAATGGAACAAACAGGCCGAGATGCTGAGAGATACTGAGCAGCAAAGGCAGAAGCAAAAAGAAGACAAAAGAAGGCAGGAGCTGCTCGCAAAAGAAGCTGAGGAGAGGCATAAGCACTTTGATGAAGAGAAGAGAAGAAAAGACAGGGCCAATCTGCAAGAGTCTGAGAAACCCGTTTCTCAGCTAAATGAAAAAAATGTAGACATTCTTAAACAGATAAAGGGACGAAGTCTTAAGTCAGCATTGAAAAATGAAGGTATCTTACCCAGGTTTTTGTAAGGATATTAGCTACCATAGTTTAAAACACTGAAGTCTGTTAGTCCCACACTGTTTTACCAATCCATTAATATGTGTGGCCTTAATGGGAGAGATCAGTTCACAGGTCTAAATTACGCCTTAACTAATGTTAATATTCAGCTTTTCTCATGGCTTGAAAGGCCAATGTTGTTCAATTATGCAAATCCCAAAGCAGGCACTGATTGCTGCTTTGAAATGAACATAACTGACAAGATTAGTAGTCAGTAATAGTTCCTCCTTGACTTTCCAGGCCATGCTGTGGGTTCCTCTGAGTCTAGGAAATCTGTTGCCTTTGTGAATTATAGAGCTTTATATCCATTTGAAGCGAGGAATAATGATGAGATGAGTTTCAGTTCTGGAGACATAATTCAGGTAAGAAATGGCTGATAATCCCTGAATTCTTAATAGGATATTTATTTCAAATTAAAGCCTTTGTCTTCTCTGCAAAATACCGAGCGTGCCATGCAGTAAAATAAAGAATTAAAACCTATCTAATAAGCTTTTAAAATAACATTTTGCCACACTTCCATCCTTTTTTCCAGGTTGCTGAGAAAACTGAGGGAGAGCCTGGTTGGTTATATGGGAGCTTCCAAGGCCATCAGGGCTGGTTTCCAGGCAATTATGTAGAAAAAATTCCTGAAAATGAAAACACCCTTTCACCTCCAAAGAGAGCCCTACTTCCTCCTGTGGTATCCTTACCAACTGCCTCAGTTCCTGTAGAGTAAGTGCACCATAATACTCTGCTACCACGCAAAATTGACGGTGGTGATGATGATGATGATTCACCCTAAAGTCCTCGGGTTTAAAATAACTTAGAGTCTCAGAAATAAAGTGGGTTTTAAAAATATGCTTCTCAAGTGTCAAAAGCCAGAGAGGGTAAAGAAGTGCATCTTGAGCATTCACCCAAAGCTGAATAAGGAAGATGCCTGATGCACCTCTGTGGTCAGTTCCACAACTTAGGGGATGCCACAGGTCATACCCTCTCGCAGGCCACAGCCAGGCGTGTTTGGAGGGGCAGTGGAACACAATTTGACAGAAGTCTACAGAACAGCTTTGGCCAACTCAGCTGGCATGCTGCATATAGTGGCTTCAGTCTAACCAAGATTTAGGCTCTAACTCTGTGATGCCTAACTGTGTTAGAATTTTGGCCATTGTATACCAGTTTATGCAAAAATGTGCTTTGTATATTAAGAAATAGTGGCAGTTATTGTAGTTGTGCTGCTTTTCAGTTCAGAAGTGATCTTTCCCTTGTTTAGCTTAAGGCTGAATGGCAGTGATTGATTTGAAATTCTGCACACAGCTTCATAGCTTATGAATCTTACATGCATTTTGGAAGCTTTGCTGCTTCACAACTACATGCTTTAAAGTGCTACCTTTATTGCCATATATTGAATTTGCAGGCCGCTTTCGTCAAGTAAGCCAGCCGACGAATCCGATTACCAAAATATATCTTTCTCAAGTTTAAATGTCAACACATGTCAGAAAAAATCTGCTTTTACTCGTACGGTCTCCCCAGGATCTGTTTCTCCCATCCATGGCCAGGTATGTTCTACCTATAGAAGAGTGATTTATGTCCCTGTATCTTTGTATCCTGCACTGTTCCTCCAGCACTGAATACCCAGGGATATAAGGCTTAGGGTCTGCCGAGGTGGAACTGGCTAACCATTTATTTGTTTGTTTATTAAAGGGATTTCTTTAGTTGATATTTCAGCATTGCAGAGGGTTGGACTAGAGGTCCCTGGGGTCCCTTCCATTTCTACAATTCTATGATTCCTAATCTGCCATTCAAATAAATTTTCAGAGAACCTGTAGCATCAAATTTGTCACAACTGTATTTGCTGAAATATGTGTAACAGAAAAACATAAGTTGTGGCAGATGCGGAAACTGAGTTGTCCTTACAAGGACAACTGACCTAATTATTGATAGTATCCCAAGTCTACCTCCTTCCTAGGTAGAGTATCTGGTTTGGTTTTAAATTATCATGTGCAAGTATTTGTTCTAGAAATTACTCTGTCTAATAAAGTTCTTTAAAGCATAGAAACTTGCATAAATGATTGGCATCTGAAACCTTTTTGTTTTTTAACAGGGGCAAGTTGTAGAAAACCTAAAAGCACAAGCACTCTGTTCCTGGACTGCAAAAAAAGAAAACCACTTGAACTTTTCAAAAAATGACATTATTACTGTCTTGGAGCAGCAGGAAAATTGGTGGTTCGGAGAAGTAGGTCGAGGAAGAGGGTGGTTTCCCAAATCCTATGTGAAGATCTTGTCTGAACATGAAAGCCAGAAAGAGGAGTAAGGCTCTGGGAATTTTGGGGTTAAGGATGCATGAAAAATGTATTGGGTAGTGTTTTAAAGGATGAACAGAAACTTGGACTGAGGTTCAGAGCAGTGGGTACACAACATTTGCTCCCTGGAGAGTCTCTTTCAGAAAGTATCCCTTGTTTAAACTGCAGGCTTCAAATAACAGATTTGGGAATTAGGCAGGCATAAGAACAGTTAAAAGTGCCCTTTGACTTTTTATTCTAGGCTTCCCTTTCATTTCTTATTGCATTAAATCATCAAGCTCTTTTGAACTTAAGCGATTTAGAGATAAATTTGGGGATGAAGGATATATTTTGAGAAAGGAAGCACCAGAAAGGTGCATGTCCCTTGCCCCCCCCCCCGCCCCCATCAGTGTCTGGGCAGGAGGCCTTTCAGACATGCCTTTTACCATTCCTTCTGTTCTTTTTAAATAAATGAAATCATGAATTCTTTCATCCCAGCTATGTGAATTCAACTGGCAAATCACATAGATTTCTGATTAACCTTTGTACCCGTCCCAGTTTGCTCTGAATGCCCATAGCCGGGTTTAGTACTATCTGGTTTATTATATGGGTGTTTGAAAAATGTAATTGGAGGCAAAGGGATAAGGCTCTGTTAAGATGCATTTAGATGCCTAGTCCTTGGAGTAGCAGAGGATGATGGATGATGATGATGATGATGATGATAATAATAATAATAATTATTATTATTATTATTATTATTTTATTATTTATACCCCACTCATCTGCCAGGGTTTCCCCAGCCACTCTGGCCAGCTTACAGCATATATAAAACATAGTAAAATATCAAACATTAGAAACTTCCTGGTACACAGATGAGGAAAAGAAGCTATGAATTCCAAGACACACTTTATTTGACTTTTGTGTCTTTTTTAAAGTTTGAGTCACTGAATAATGAACATTGTATCTTGCAGTCGCCAAAATGACTTTATTTTTATTTATTTTTAAAATCTGCAGGCCAGAAGCTGTTTATGCAGCTGTAAATAGGAAACTCCCAGCATCGTCTTACACGTTGGACGAGGGTAAGATTTTGAATATAAATAAACCTTTAGATTTCTATGTGTTTAAGGAAAGGTTCCAAATTCTTTGACACTTCTGCACCTTTAACTGTGTGCTATCGTAAAAGCCTAGAAGTTATGAGACTTGTAACAAACTAGCAATGAAAAACTCTGCATTATGGTCTGTATGTATTCTACTTGGATATTTTTTCTACACCTTTTTTTAGAAAATGAGAAAAAATGTAGGTCAGTGCAAGCTGATGGGCAAGGAAGGGAAAGAGCATAAAGGTATGTGAAGAGGTGGCCTTGGGCATAGGCAGAAGGCATGTAGGGGAAAGACTGGCAAGACACACATCTCCCAACTCTGACCCTCCTCTAGAGATTGCCCTCATGTTCGACAGTTTCCCACTTCAGCTGAAGCGGGTCATAAACTTGCAATGCCAACAGTCTTGCCTGCTGTTCTGACGATAACTCTGCCCTCACAAATTGATTACTTTTTAAATTTTAATATTTTTATTGCGTTTTGTATAATAGCAAGTACAGTGGTACCTCGGGTTAAGTACTTAATTCGTTCCGGAGGTCTGTTCTTAACTTGAAACTGTTCTTAACCTGAAGCACCACTTTAGCTAATGGGGCCTCCTGCTGCCGTCGCGCGGCCAGAGCACGATTTCTGTTCTTATCCTGAAGCAAAGTTCTTAACCTGAAGCACCATTTCTGGGTTAGCAGAGTCTGTAACCTGAAGCGTATGTAACCCGAGGTACCACTGTATAACATCCTTTCCTCCCACCCCAGCCCCCTACCCCATCACAGGTGTTCAGTTATACATTAGCAGGAGTGTTTGGATAATCCATATGTGCCTGTTGATTTCAGTGCTTCGCTTGATTCCATGGTGAAATTCACTTCCACAACATGTAGTGATGTCCACCAATTTGGATGGCTTTAAAAGAGGATTAGATTAGGGTCTTGACTTCTAGCTATGACACTGCAAGTCACAAGTGTGGAGAGCCTGCTGTTGCACCCAGTTCTCAATTGCAGGTTTCCTATGGAAATCTGGCTGGTCACTAAGAGAGCAGGATGTTGGACTAGTTGGGCCTTTGGCCTGATCAAGTACCTCTCATCTTATATTCTTAACTTCCCACAGTTTTGTTGTTGTTGTTGTTGTTGTTGTTGTTGTTGTTATCTCATCAAACAGCTGTTGGTTCAGAGTTTGAAAAATGAAAGGAATTGTGTGGACAAATATGCTCATGTCCTCAAGAATGTCTTCATTAACAAAGCTAAAATTCTGTCGTCTTTTCCAGAATACATAGCGCTATATTCTTACACAAGTTCTGAACCTGGTGATTTAACTTTCACTGAAGGAGAAGAAATATTAGTTACTCAGAAAGATGGGGAATGGTGGACTGGAAGCATTGGTGATAAAACTGGAATATTTCCTTCAAACTATGTCAGACCAAAAGATTATGAGGTAAGGATTTAGTACAGTCTTTTCTTTTTTTGGGGGGGGGTGGGGAGGTATGGTATCCAAAGATGAACTCAGAGGCCCTAATCCGAAAATACCTTTTCCTTTTCCCTTTTCATATGTCTCAGATGATCAAGTGATCATGGGAGAGGCGGGGAAGAGGGCAATCACTGCTTGCAGCAGAGATGTTCAGTATGCTGGACTCTGAATGTCACAGTGGGGCAGAGTTGCGAACAAGTCTAATAGTTGCTGCCCCTGGACCACTGAGTCAGAAAAGAAGAGCTGCTGAAGGACTTTCTTAAAACTCTTTGCAAAACAGCAAGAAACACATACACACTCACTTATTTGTTAACCCCCTCCCCCAAGCAAGAGCATGTAAGCTGAGTAGGCTGTCACTAAGAAAGTTGAGTGGGTTGTGCTACTGCTGCAAATTAAAGTGATTGTTTTATTTTATTTTCTCATAGAATTCTGCTACTGCTAGCAAAACAGGGACATTAAATAAAAAACCTGGTGAGTATTACTAATTTTAGAGTGTGTTAGCTGATTGTAATAATTTAATTTTTCATTGATGCTTGTCTTCTTTCAGAAATTGCTCAGGTTACGACAGCCTATACGGCGTCTGGAGCAGAGCAGCTGAGTCTTGCCCCAGGGCAGCTGATCCTTATTTTGAAGAAGAATTCTAGCGGATGGTGGCAGGGAGAATTGCAGGTAAAAGGAAGGGGAATTCTTACACATTTGCCAAGCTAAGTAGGATTTCAGATTGGATGGGGGTGGAGTATTGAGATTCCTGCATTGCTGGGGGTTGAACTAGACGGTCCTTAGGGTCCCTTCCCACTCTACAATTCCATGACTCTAAAATTGAAACTAAAATTGAAGCAGGGCAAAGGCTAATAGAGTTCTGTCAAGAGAACAAGCTGGTCATCACAAACACGCTTTTCCAACAACACAAGAGACCTAAGCAGCTGGATGAGTTAATAATGAGGAGGATGTGTAATAGTGTATGTCTACTGTGTAATTAATTATCCACAATGACTCATATATATGCCACGTTATAAATAAGTCAATATTTTCTGTGGTAATATTTGCATATCCCCAACCTTGCATATTTTTTAACTTCAGTATGCTCTCATAAGTTTGGCTTGCAAAGAGCTTGATGTGTTCTTATTAAAATCTAGGCAGCTTTTAATGTCATTCAGGCTAGAAAACCCAGAGTATCATGTAGCTTACCTGCAGTTAATTTCAGCTGATTTACTCACAGTACTCACAACTGATGCTACTTTCCTCTGAGCTTTAAGAAGCCAGGAAACTTCTTTATAGGACTACTTTAACTTATTTATTGCATATGTATTGCATCTCTCCTTGAAGGAGGTCAAGGTGGTCTACTCTAGGGAAGGGGAACTGGATCCAGCCACTTTGACGGGTGGGCAAGGCCATTGTGAGAACCCGTGACAACTTCAAATGGGCTCACCGTCAGCGCTGGTCGGCACTGATTAAAGCTTGGATTTAGATTCAAAGCACACCTGCAAGTAGGCATGTTCCACCTGCACACCAGGAAATCTGGTCTGCATTTTAAAAAATGTCCTATTGCAGGCACAATTTGAGTCCAAACTGTGCAGGCAAACAGACAACTTTTGCTTGCCACGGAGTAATTCTGAGTGCACTTTTATGTTCACAGTTGTTCCTTTACAGCTGTGTCTTTACCTGCCCTGTAACTGACATCTTTCCTGATACCCAGTGTGAGGCAGGCAAGTGTTGTTTGGGGAAAACAGCCTCATGGGCCAATTTAGGACCTGGCCAGACCCAATTAGGCCTCCAGGTTGGAGGTTCCCCAACGCTGGCCTCCTGGGTTCTTCCTTACATGGTTTGCCTGTTAGCTGACAAAAGCTTAACATTCTTCTTGCAGGCAAGAGGGAAAAAAAGGCAGAAAGGGTGGTTTCCTGCTACCCATGTGAAGCTGTTGGGTCCAAGCAGTGAAAGGAATACACCAGCTACTTACCCAGGTGGGTGGCTAAAGCTTACTTTCCCTTTTGTTTAGATGTAGGGGTGAACCACACAATACGCTACATGTGTTGGCTCCAGTAGCTGTTTTTGTAAAAGGCAAACGGCTTCATGGTGCAGCAGTTCTGAGTGGGGAAGTAGCAGAGGGGAGGACTAAATTGTTTCTTTCTCCGTTGTTTCTGTGGAGTCATTTCCTCAAGCTGGGTTTTGCCATGTACCCCAGTGCAGGGGATAGCTGAGGTGATTGAAGCTGCTTCCATGGGGAGAAATTCTGAGCACACTGTGCCAAGTGACAGTGCGCTCCTAAACCCAGGCTTCCGTTTTTGGTGCTCATTCAGCCCTGGTCCAGCACTTCAGCAGCCTTTCCTGGGTCATTTGGAATGGAGAGAGTTTGGCGTCATCCGCACCCTGTTGGCACTTTACCCCAAAACTCCAAATGACAGCTCCCAGTGACTTGATATAGATGTTTATTGAGGGACAGGATGGCATCCTTCAGAACCCTACAGCTTAAAAGCCATGGGGCCAAGGATCTATCCCCTAAACTACGTTCTAGAAGGATGTGGCCCTGCAGGTAGGAGTGAAACTACTGCAAATTTAGTCTCCCAACTCCCATCCTGCCAAGCCATCCCAGAAAGATACTGTGGTCAACAGTATTGAAAACCACTGGAAAAAAACAGCTGGGAAGTACTCTGCAACCAAATGTGGAGGCTTGAGTCTTTTTGGGTCCCCTGCAGTTCCTTTCTCATTGCTTGTTTCTGATGTATTCTTGCCTAATCACTTCTGGGACACTTGAAAGGAGTACAGTTTTTACTAGCTTCTGAAAGAGGAGAAGGGAGATTTCTAGACCAATATAACATGGGTACACAGAGAAGAAATCTGCTGCAGTCTCTGAGGTTGTTCTTCTTTCATATCTAAAATGTAGCTGGGACGCAGAATTATTTTTCTTCAGTGATGGAGTGCTTAGCTCTCCTGGGCCTAAAAAATAGGTATGAAATGACAAGTGGGCAACCTTCCTCTGTTACCAAATCATCCCCCTGTTACCTCCCTTCACCCATTGATATGAAGCCAGCTGGTTATGGCACTGGGGTGGGTGCCCTGGTGCTCTAGCAGGAGAAATAAAAGTACTGTATTTTTCTTTGTATAACACACCCCTTTGTATAAGAAATTTTGGGGGACTCTGGGGAGGATTGCCCAGTGTTGTTGAGCTTTTATTAGGGGGAATTGCCAAAGATCACTCACCCATTGAACCTACGCTCACACTTGCATGCGTCCCAAACGCAACCAATCGGCTGCCCAATTGCCACGGTAACAGCCAATAAACACCAGTCCTTGCCGCGGCCACCAATAGCTGATTACAATCTCCAGCTTGAGGCAGCAACAAATCCGACGTCCCACATATGCACTATCCGTGTATAAGGCGTCCAATTTTTAACATTCTTTTTTGGGGGGGGGGGGAATCTAGTCTTATACACAGAAAAGTACGGTACTTTCGCTCTGCTTTGGAAAGGGCCTGGAATTCTGAAATAATGTTTGGTATCTCTGCTGATTCAGGATAACACAGCTGGTCTTGTGGGTTTCCATTTCTTCTAGTGTGTCAAGTGATAGCAATGTATGACTACAGGGCAAACAATGAAGACGAGCTGAGTTTCTCCAAGGGGCAGCTTATCAACGTACTGAATAAAGAAGATGCAGATTGGTGGCAAGGGGAGATCAACGGCTCTTCAGGCCTCTTTCCCTCAAATTATGTTAAAATGACCACAGACTGTGACCCAAGTCAGCAATGTAAGTGAAATTTGTTTAATGCATCAATTCATTTGTTTCCTCAGCTCACATGCATGTAGTTCAGGATCATTATTTTCATCGTTATTACCAGAGAGTTCTAGTTCACCAGGAACATCCTTCAGTCACTTCATGCAGATCCACAGGTAGATGCACATGTTTGCCTTTTTCTTGTGTGTTCAGCTGCCACGGCTGGACTCGTTCCTTTCTGGGCAATTTTTGAGCTCTTTCACTCGCTCCATTCTAGCGTTGGTGTAGGACCAGATCCTCTCAGACGGTGAAGCGTCACCTCATCCTCTTTCCTTCCAAGCAATGCTGTGCTCTTCATTTGCACAAAGGATCCTACTCAGACTTTTCAGGTTGTAGCTTGATGTAGATTACTGCCTCCTTCCTTTTTCTTCGATTTGAAATTAGTTATAAAACTTCATAGGTTGCCCTTTTACCAGTTACCAGTCGGGCGTTGGAAAGCAAGCTGCTTTGGAATAGTTGGAATATTAACCCCAGAGGATACTCAGCTGCAATTTTGAGACAGTAAATATGAAAGTAAGGAAGGTTCAGTTATACTTTGGGTTCTCAGTCTTTCAAATGCTCCTCATTACCTTCTGGCAGTTATGACTGCTGTTTCTGCCACTTCCTGTCAATCACTGTACTCATCCTGATTAGACGGCACTGGCTTATTTAATGAGCATTCATTCTTATTTGTTTACAGGAGAGTTAGATGACATTGCATCAAAGCAACAGTTGCCCCACACTTTCCAGTGCATTTCCATGTAGTAGTAGTAGTAGTAGGACAGTGGTACCTTGGTTCTCAAACTTAATCCGTTCCAGAAGTCTTTTCCAAAACCAAAGCATTCTAAAACCAAGGCACACTTTCCCATAGAAAGTAATGCAACATGGATTAATCTGTTCCAGACAATTAAAAACAACCCCTAAAACAGCAGTTCAACATGAATTTTACTAATGAGACCATTGATCCATAAAATGAAAGCAATAAACCAGGCTGCAATCTACTACCCAGTATCAAAAACTGGCAGTGATCTACCCATTGCCATTGGAGAGGGGAGTTTAATGGGGGGGGGGGGAGAACACAAATTAGAGGGACAAGGACCGCGCTTGGGGTGCGTGTGGGAAAGGAGGTGTTTAACTGGATGCGGGAGAGGGGAGTTTAAGTAGGGGGGAGGAAAGGGAGGCAAAGGTCCCCAGCCCAAGCCAGCCCTCTCCCCTCCTAAAGCGTCTGCCCACGCTCCCCATTTGCCTGGGTGAGTCCCAGGGCTTCTGTCTCCACTTGGGGCATGACGAAGCGGCAGCCACGGGCCGGTCGGGGCGGTGCTGCCTGCACGTCCCTGGCATGGCGGCACCAGGACGCGCCAGCAGCACCGGAGCGTGGAGAGGAGGCGGCAGCTGCTTCCGGCTGCGCTCCTAGCCCCCGGGTGCTGAGCCTGCACGCAGTGCGAGCACCCTGATCCCCGCCTGGACCTCGGTTGAGGTCGGGCTTGCAACAGGGGGACGGAGGGAAGGTGAGGGGCTGGGAAGGTCAACCTGCCCAGCATACTTCCCCCAGCACATGCCCCCCCCCAACCACCTTTCTGCTCGCTGGGGAGAGTCGCCAACTTCCAAGTCTCCCTACTCCGGAGTCACTTACATTCCGAGGTGCCGCCCAACTCCACTTTGTATGGAGGAAAGAGGTCTTCCCAGCAGACAAAAGGGAAGGGAAGGAAATGGCGGCAGCCACTGCTGGGGCCAAGCTGCTCGCTCAGAATGGAAGTGTGCACTCAAATCATTTCCGGGTTTGAAGTGTTCAGGTTCCAAGTGGTTTGAGAACTAAGCTGTTCAAAAACTGAGGTACCACTATACTAATAATATTTATAAATCTGGCTCGGTTTCCCTAGCCTCTATGTCACTTTCCTTATGCAGAAATCTGGCCCTTTGGGGAAGTGAGTTTGTCGTGGAGGAGCTCCCAATCAACTATAATTGCACAACTTAATTTTTCAGTGTGTGACTTAATCCCACCTCAAAATAGCAACACTCTGGAGGTGCCCTGTGCTGAGTGTGCTTTTTGAGAGAAGTGAAAAAAACCCAAACGAGCATATGGTGAATGAAGGGCAAAGTGTGGCTATACCCGCACAACTAAGGTCTATAAATGTTTCTCCTGCACTAGAGGAATGTATCCTGAAGTGGTCTTTCCCTCCAACATTCTCCAGTAGGCAGATTAGAATTGCCAATATCATTTTATGAGAGTTTTTATTTGACTTTCTATCTAGCCTTGGGAGACCTGTGGAACTTGTTTCCTGAATCTGTTTCTTAGCTTCCTGAGTCCAGAGCCCTGGGCTGTGGTCTTTGCTCAGTATGCCCTCTACTTCCTTCTCTGTCCCATAATCTTCTAACTAACAATGGTATTTCAACAACTTTCTGCATTGAGACATTGGAACCATTCTCTTGAGGTCACCTCCACGTAGAAAAGAGAAAAAAGATGTATTAGAACTGTATGCATTGATCAGCCCCCCACTGCCTTGTGGGATATCTTTGGGAGAAGAAAAGACTTGAGAAGGAAACCCTACACAAAATTGGAGTGGAATCTCTAAAGCAAGACCTACCAGATCTTACAGTCAGAGGCCAAATTTTTTTTGTCTTAAATTATCTCTGCCTAGAAATTTTGCAGAAAAGGGAGGATCTTAAAGATTATGCTTCCAAGCTGCATGAAGGAGGCCTTTGATAATGCTGGGGCTACCCGTTCAAATGAATAGTCATCCCTGAGAACAAGGCATTCACAGCCGCCATACCATCTGACGCAGGGCAACTACTGAAGCAGCTAGAGTTTAAAGATAGAATGAGTGAAGACAGTTCAGATGATTTGGAGGAGGAGGATGAAACAGACTGTAGACATGATGATAGGCATATCTGGCAACACGCAACAAGGAAAAATAAAAAGGCAAAGAGTGAATTTTGCAGACTGGGGAATGTCTTCCAGGGCAGGCTAACCCAGAGGAGCAAGTCCAGATGGTCATTGGTACAGAACAATGTGCACCTGATGACACCTATGCCATTACATGTGGGTACCATGCTTGTTTCTCTGGTAGTGCCATGAGGAAGGCAGTCTGGGTAACTGACAGTGTTTCCTTTGCCCCACCACTGGAGGGAGAAGCCCTGTCCTGGAGCAGGTCTGACTTGTCTCTCTCCTAGCAAACTCAGGAGTTTGTGGGTGGAATCCAACATGGCGCTGAATGAACATTCTGTCAGTGCAAGGATTTCTGCTTGTGCAATGGCAAGTTCTCCTCCCCCCTGCCCATGTGCCCCCTAAATCAGTTCTCTGGAGCAGATATGAGGGGGGCACTGGGCATACACAGTGAGGGAAGCGGGAGAAGTTCTTACCCTTGGTTGAATACTGGCCATGTGCTTCTCAACCTTTGGTTGCTTTCATTTTGCCAGGCAGGTTATATTTCACATGGTGAATCCTATTCAGTGTTTTTGTCTTCTGTTTCAATTTTTGTAATGCTTGTTTTTTATATTATTGTTCGATTGTAGATGGTGGGATTTTAACTCCTGTGAATACTAAGTGATGTAAACACATTAGAAGGGCAGGATATCTATCTGAATCCTTGAAGGTTCATTTTGTCCCTTTAATACCCAATCACTGCTGTGCAGGTGAGGGCTATTTTATCAGGACCACTGTTCTGCACAATGTAGGAACTGGAGAAGTATTAGTAGTAGTAGCAGTAGAAGTAGCATATCAGTAATAGCATATCATACAAGCATTATATCACAACCAGATACACAACCAGACTGTATTTCCAGGCACTGTGATCATCTGCCAGGGATTCGCATATTTTTGCCAACCTTCATGCCATGTTTGCAGACCTTTTTGTAACACAGAGTTGGTCTGTCAGCGGGTCTGGTGTCTGAAGCCTCTCCCCTCCAAGGTCCATCTTCCGTTCTGTGGACATGACCAAGCCAGTGTAGATGTCATTGAGACAGAAGTGTGAACATGTTGGGAATGTGGGCTTTGGGAGAGCACATTTTTGCTTGAGGCCTGTCCTGCCATGTGATGACCAAAATCTTCCTGAGGCAATGCATGTGGAAGGTATTGAGGCGTTGCTCCTAGCAGTTGTAAGTTGTCCATGACTCTTTATTACCATTCTTTATAAGGAAGGCATCCAAGGATGAGCTGTTTTGCTGGACAGTCATGTACATGTTCTCACGGAAGGGTGCAATCTTTTTGGGAAGCTTAGGCAGACATCCTACCTTGGGGAGCCGTGTCAAGAGTCCTTTTTGGCTGATGAGGTCAGGTCTATGAAGGCAATGTGCAAGGGGCACCCCTGTTCTCAGCATTTCTCCTGCAGCTGGCACAGTGAGAGAATCATGACAGCCGTTGACCTCAGCTCTAAAGCTGCATTGTGACCTAGGATAGACTCTTGTCAGGGAGTGACTGTAATCTCTTGAGAAATACATTAGGGAAGGCTTTCCTCATGGCGTTCAGCAGGGAGATCCCATGTTAGTTGTTACAGTCTTGACGATCACTTTTGTTAACAATGCTGGAGTTGTGTATCTCTTAGGGCATGGATCCTTGTTCCCAACACTGCAATTGGTTTTGTGGAGGTGCGTCATGAGGGAAGAATTTGAGCCAGCTTTCAGCTCTTCTGCTGGGATTCTGTCCTGTCTTCCTGGACTGGCTGGACAAAGAGAAGTGGTGGGAGGCACCAGCCGGGGAAGCCTCCTATGAGGAAGGCTCAGAGCCCGGGGTGTGGTGGTGGGACAAATCAGAGGATGGAGGAGGGCAGAAGGGTTGGAAGTTGAAGAAGCAACAGGCTTAAGTGAGAAAGGAGAGCCAGATGCAGAAAGCAGTGCAGACTCAGCACATGAAGCAGATAAGGAGGGGCCAGCGGCTGCAGATGCATCCATAGTGTTTGCCTTTCCTACTGTAGTTGGCTCCCCTCCCTGCTTGTCTCTAAGGTCAGGGAGAGCTTTGCACATAGCAGAAGAACGAGCATAGGTGGCCCCTCCCCAGCATAATTTAAGGCTTCTTGGAAGACATCTGGCAGGGAGGAGACTTGGGGGGAAGTAGGAGATAGTTAGCTCCCACCGTGGATGAAGAGCCGGATGAAAATCTGTGATTGTCTCACTTTGTACCATGAATCAGTGCAGGTGCCTCAAGACTCTCTAGAAATTAGGGAGTATTGTTCTGTTGGAGGAACACCATAAACATTTTTCAACTATCAAAAGCCCATTGAGCTTTTAGAAAATCTTAGAAATTTCCCTGCTTCCCTTATTCTCCAGTTAAGCAGTTGGCAGCCTTGTATAGCTGAGCCATTTAGTATTTGACAGATAGTAAAAATCAGCCGTGCATTATTTACCCATATAGTTTTCATTGAAAACATCACAAAGCGATGAGGCATGGTAATTCCTTGTTAATAAGAAATGGTCTTTCTCTGCCATCTGATTGGCCCCCTGCAGGTTTCACTCAGAAAATCTAGTTGTGGTCATTTATCTCTAATTTTCTTTTCTTTTTTATTTTTTAAGGATCCCATGTTGTCTTCCAGTGTGAAAGCACCTCAGAGACCCACTATCCAACTTTGACTTATAGCATGGAGGCAGGTGGACAGCCTGCTCAGATCTCTCTGAAACAATTGATTTGCTTCGCTTCAATATTAAATCCACTCAAGACTTCAAATTTTGTTCTGTATTGTACAGTTACAGTTTCTGCAAACTGACTAGATAGTGGGTCTTTGTGTGGCTTTCTGCACTGTCCTATCTTGTGTTCTCTATTCCCTTTATTTAGGAACAATTAGTGCACTTGTCAAGGTATCTCTTGATGTGGTGCAGCATTAGGCACACAAAGACCTACTACTGATTGTACTGTTTCACCTGCTTAGTTGTGCTCTTGGGATGTTGCACCTTGTATTTCCTTTGTTGATTTGTGGTTTGCTGATCTTTCACCATGCACTTCATGTATGATTCTGGACACAGTGACTGGGCTATTGAACCGAAAAGGAACAGAGGTGGAATAAAACTTGGTGTGCTTCTTATGCACTTTACACTTCCACTGTATCTGCTGGCTTTCAGATCTTAAAACTCTTTTGTCTGACTCAAACACCAACTTGTCTGTCACATGCTTCTTTATATGGATTTTGAGAAAAGTTTCTCTCTCTCTCTCTCTCTCAGCCCATTTTATTACGTGTTAAAGTAGAGAGCAAACCCAAGCCACACCTATTTTGGTGGGCATTGTTTTTTATGTGGTCTGATTTTAGATTCTGGGTGAAAAGAGATGTGGGGAAGGTCTCTCTTCTGTTGCTCCCCCTGCTCCTGACAACACCATTAGCAGCCTGATGGGCTTAGAGCTCCTAGGTTTGGCTCATCCCTTGCCAGGTGCATCAGTGCTGATCCTTTGGGTGATGCTGGGTGGGGGGAGCAGCAGGGGAGGGAGGGCCCAGTCAGGGTGGGGGGCAATTTTCTAGGCCCCATTGTGTTCCCAGGGATGTCAGAAGGAGCACGACAGAACCCCCAGGCCCTTTCTGTCGGCTGCTCCTCTTCCCTTGCCAACCCAACTTCACGTTACCTAGTAGAGAGTCCCATGCAGCGTGGCGGGCTGCGGAGAGACCCCCAGACACCCCTGCACCAACGCTATTTGCCCAGGTTTTCCATCTGAAAGCTGGTTGAGGGCAGCGAGTGGCTTGAAGCATGGAGATTATTAGGAGCCTGGAGCAGTTGGGAGAATAAGCCTCTCTGTGCCACGGCTCCCCTCCAACATGCCCACTTGCAACGGTTCTTCCTGGAGAAAAACAAAATGCCTCTGTGATTCAGTGACACATACTTACATGTGATGTGTAGTGGAACCCTGAGAAATAGCAAGCTATTTCCTTTTAACATTCTATAGCTACCCTTAATGCCAAAGTTAACTATCTGTAACAATAAAACATGGTATTATTGTTGTCCCATACTGAATATTTTATAGATCTGCAATTGGCCTCTGGCAATTTCCTAGTCAATGACACTGTCAAAATGAGATTCCTATTGAGAGCTTACATTATTATTATTATTATTATTATTATTAATTATTCCTGCATCAGTTTAATATCAGTTGAAGTTCACTGTTTCTGCCTCTCCCTTTGAAGGGGAGGATAGGATGACAAGATAGATCTAGAATAGAGGCAGTCTGACAGAATGGCCCTATTCTCCAAATTTACTACATATCCGCAAGTGATTGGATCCCCAGTTTTAGGGGAATTTCCATTTAGATTGGTCATTTTAAGGCATCATTAAGCTAACATGTGGCAGAGTAGTATTTTGGTTGTAATTCTTTAGTGATTTAAATATGTTATTTTCTGTCATGCATACCACTTCAGTAATTTAACTTCTTTAAGATTATGTCTTGGGGAAAGCTAGTATTTTTTTAAAGGATGACAATTTTGTAAGGCAATTAATTGAGGTAAGACAATTTCTTAGAATTTGAGAGTGCAAGCAACAATTGTGATGTGTGCAATCTGAAATGTTTACAGTTTGGATATGCAAAACTTAGGTGGTACTATCAAAAAGTTTTAATTTCATTAACTCAGAAGTATTTTGTTCATCATTCTAACAGTGTAATCCTGTTACTTGGAAAAGAGTTCCTTTTAAGTTTGTTTAGGGTTCTCACCTAAATAAAATGAATGTTATGTACTCTTAATAGACTTTTATCAAAGAAAGAAAGAAAGAAAGGGAAAAAAAGATTCCTGTATATACTTTTATCAAGTAACAGATTGTAAGGAGGGTTTTATGTGCAATACAGGAAAGTTATGTGCCTCAATAAATTATGAATGGGTTTTCTCTTACTTGTGTTTTCCTGTGATCGTATCTCAAAGAATCAACTTATCAATATTGATCGCTGCAAGTGGCTCAGTGTTCAGCTGGTTCCCCATCCCGTCTTTCTGCTTGATAGTGGACATTTAGCAAATGTTTTGATGCTACATCAATAAAAATGCTAATTGTGTAGTATTGCGTCCTCTTCTCACAAATTGTGATTGCGGCTTAGCAACGTTCAGCCAAAAGATCCCTGACGGGCTCTTCTGGAAATGTTTCTAGTCCAGCTCTCCAGCCCCACATGGCGACTTGACAGGGGCTGGAGCTCTCTGTTTATACCATCTCAATCACAAAGTTCATCAAGCCCTTGGCAGACCTCAAACACAGCTGTTGCCATTTTTGCTAACCTGAACCTAGCCACATACAAGGGTTCAGACAAAATCTGAGTTTCCAGTAACTTGTGAAAGGGTTTTGTTTTTTGTTTTTTATTTGTTGGCTAATCATTCAGAAACTGATGATCAAACCAATTTAGTTGCTGGATGAATTATCTTTGAAAAGTCCTGAATTGCAGGGCAAGATTAAAGAACCTCTTCATGCCAACTGTTAGAAGAAAAGCGAAAATCATAAAGCTTTTAAATCCATATACTGTATTGAGTAGAGTTTTTAAACTCCTGCACCCCAGAGAACAGTAGCTTAACAATTGCCTATTTACAAATGCATCTCAGTTCCAAAAGTTTCTAGGTATTGGATGCCTCTGCTCTTCAAACCAAAAGCCAAACATTCTGGCAGACAGACTAAGCTTTTAGGTGTGCATCCATTGGGCTCTCTGAACTGTAGGTCTTTCGCTTTAAAGACAAATGGCTTTGTTCTTGCAGATTTCTTATGGGTACCTGTTACTGTTATGTCTACCTGCTTGTGCAACAGAATAAGCTTTCCCTCCTCGCCTTGCCTCCTTGCACTCCCAAAATCTCCCTCTGAGGCAGGTTTTGGTAGCATGCTTTTTAGGTGCGGTGGGGTGAGAACGAGAGGAGAATTAGCCAAAGAATAGGATGCCCATAAAGATCTCACAAATGGGGGGGAATTAGGAATTGAGGGTTCTTGACTAAACCTAGAAATTACAATCCAGCCTAATTAAGAGTTCTGGAGAACTCAAAAGATTTTGTGGATATTTTGGATGGGCATCTAAGCAGCTAGAAAACTACCAATTTTTTTTTTTAATAGTTCAACATAAAATGAATGAACCACGCCATCAAATTGTGATTTGTTCTTAACAGTATATACCAGGACATGAGGCTTTGTGCTCCTTCTATGCAATCCAACCATAAACTGATGTCAATCAGCCTGTTACAAGAATGCTGACAGACATATGATTTGTAGTGGTATTTTGGGCTGCCACAACATGCTGCTGCTTTACAGTGCAATCTTGCGCATGTGTCCTCTTGGATGAGCCCCGTCAAGATCAGTTGGGTTTGCTTCCAGTTAAAGATGCATTTTGACTGCAATTCTTTACACAACTGAGAGCAAGATCCTCTAAGCTCGACGAGTCTTAAGTCTAAGGACACATAAATAGGGTTGTGTTCCTTTTATTAGCTATCTTAAATGCTTACATATTATAGTGTTGTATGCTGCCTTAATAACTTTTTTCTTCTTGGGTTCTATAGTATTTGAAATAATGTTTAGTGTCTCACCATGCAAACACAGCATATGCTGTGTATGAGATAATGGTTATTTGTTTTTTTGAAAACTGGAAATAACTATGCAAAAATACTTTATTAAAGAGACACACAAAGTGATATGCTTGTGTATGATTTCTTTTCCATTACGGTTAGCCTAATTAAATTTATATCAGGGCATGGAGAGCTATTGTGCTAGAGTGGCTCAGTGGTCCAACTATAGGAGGGTCAGACCGAGTTGTGTCTCTAGAGAGGGTGAGCCGTCTCTGCCAGGAGAGTCCAGGGGGTTTCTTCCAGCTCCCATCCGGCCCAGCCAGCATGACCTGTTGTCGGGACAGCAGTGTGCTCAAATGTGCATTCAGCGACTGATGGCTCAATTCTAACCATGCAAGCCCTCTTGAATTTAGTGGTGCCTACTCCCAGGGGAGTGGAACTAGGATTGCACCCAAAGATACCAACTCTTTCAACAAAACAACTCTGAAGGCCCCATTTCTTCATGCACCAGTGGGTTTAATTTAATTGGTTGATTGTTTTGCGTCAATATGTTAGACCTTTCTAAGATTTAGAAAACTTGGGTTATGGAAGAGATACCTTAAAGGGTCATGGAAAGCCTGATGATTCCCCTACAATTTGGTTCCACTATCCTTTGAAACAGAAATGGAAAATGTTTCTAGTAGCAATTATACTGGGAAAAGTTGAAAGGTATTCAACTTGTTTTAGAGGGGGTTTGCATTCCCCCCCAGCTCAGGTTTGCAGCGTGGAGGTTCTTACGGAGCCAATATGGTCATTAGAGGCCAAGTGACCACCGGCTATCACCTTGGGCTGTGGCCAAACCTGGATGAAGACAGCTTGCCCTCCATTGCCCAGGCTGAGGTAACCTCACATGTTTATTGCAATGGGCCTCTGAATATGGGCCTCTGAAAATTGTTCCAAAAAGTTTGGCTGGATTAGGGCAGCAAGAGGGCTTTGTGGGATTCCCTGGTTTCCAGTCCAGCCCAAGCCCAAGCCTGGCTGTGAAGTCTCAAATGGCTTGAGACCAGATCGCCTTCTCCCCCAAGATCCCTACCTTAAGATCTTCTTTGAGCCACTGCCAAGTGCGGCTGCTATGAAGGGGGCCTTCTCTGTGAGGGCATCTGTGGTGATAAATAGTTTGAACTACCGTTTAATGTGCTGTGTAATCTTGTTGTTTTGTGATATTGTTATTTTCATTGTAATCTATGGTTTTATGTTTGTGTGCCACCCAGACGACATTGGGCAACCTTACGCCAATGGTAAATAAATGTTCTGTGTAACAGGGCTGGGCAATATCTGGTTTTCAATGTCACGATATATCACCAGCTAAACATCATGATATTTGGATATATCACAATGTCTGAAATAAGGCTGGAACTATGTAGAGGTGACTGTGGTAATAATGCCACGGAAAACTGCCACTACTTATGGGTTTTACTCTAAAACGGATAAATTTTTACTTACCTTTAATATATTGTTAAAATGGTTATGTTATAGTGCTACTGTACTGATAATGTTTAAATTAGCACATTTTCTCTAGAATTAAAGGTATAGAAGTAATTCTGTAACCTAGATATCAAAGGTAAGGAGGGAGATTGTTTCCTAAAAAAAATAATTACACTACTAAACAAGAAAAAAGCCAGTTCACAATCACTGTCACACTTTTAGATACAGTTGTACCTCAGGTTACATACACTTCAGTTTACAGATGCTTCAGGTTACAGACTCCTCTAACCCAGAAATAGTGCTTCACGTTAAGAACTTTGCTTCAGGACAGAAATCGTGGTCTGGTGGCGCGGCAGCAGCGGGAGGCCCCATTAGCTAAAGTGGTGCTTCAGGTTAAGAACAGTTTCAGGTTAAGAATGGACCTCCAGAACGAATTAAGTACTTAACCCAAGGTACCACTGTATTCAAATATATATCACTATTGAGTCTTAGTTGGACGTGTGCATCCCACAACACCAGTTATTAGATTGTTTGTTAATTTTCTTTTCTAAACCAGGCCAAAATAGAAAGAATGGAATGGATGAATTTTAACAGAACAAAAAATGGCTAAACACAATTTATATTTTTAGTGCCAGGGGAATTTGCATTTCTTATATAAGCCAAGCCAAAACAGAAAGAATGGATTGAATTTTACAAAATTAAAAAATACTAAACAAAAAAATATATTTTTGCAAGGAAAATTTGATGCATTTAATTAAATGAAGATTTACTCAACGATAGTGTTCTTCATCTGTAACATTACAGATTTCCAGAGAATATATTAATGTTAATAGATTAGTTATTAATAATAACAAGTGTGTGAGAAAGCAAATGAGCAAGGGGAGAATTGAGAGGAGTTCTAGGGAAGGGAGGAGGGTCTGGAGGAGAAAAAGAGGAACCTAATGAGGGAGACACACAGACAATTGCACAAAGACACACAAACACAAAAGAGGGAAGTAGGCAAAGCAGCATTTTTTTTCCTTTTAATTTGAAGCAACTACAGAGTATGTTTCTCTGCAGTTTCCTAGGCACAGGGGAGGCAGCGGAGGAGGTGGGGAGCTACTTTAAAATGTTTTTTTTTGTAATATTATTTTTTATTAGTTTTCAAATTTTAACAAATCCATCCAAATTATTTAAATTTAATATTTTTTTCAAAAAATAATTAGGTTTCCGGCTCCTGTTGCAAGCATATGTCCAATACATTCCTGATGTTACTGCTTCATTCTTCTTTAATCACCTTCTCAACCTTCTAGTAGTTTTAATCCATTTTCATAGCCAGCAGATTTTGTTACCTTGCAATCAGCGCCATTGTTTTTTCCAAAACATGCGTAGTCCTTCCAGCTTTCTGATCTTGAACCTGGTGTGTAAAGAGGATTCATTGCTATCACCCTTTGTCCATTCACATTCCTCTGCTCTGGTCTTACTGGGCTCTAAATAAATCCCCAACAGATGGCTGCTCTTTAGCCCCCAGTTAGAGAACAAAGTCACATAAACTCCTGCTAGATATAATTAGCAGTCCTTCATTTTATCAAATTAGTCTCTTGTCCACTCCAGTCCAAAGATAATTTCAATATTGTCTATTTCAACCTCGGTTGGAAGGAGAAGGTACTTATACCCAAGTATAAGCCGACTCGAATATAAGCCAAGGCACCTAATTTCACCACAGAAAACTGGGAAAATTTATTGACTCAAGCATAAGCCGGTTCAGCACACCACATACCTCCTGGTGGGCCGGAGTGCGTGTGTGCATGCGTGCAGGCGCACACGGCAGAGGGGGCTTCTCTCTCCCCCAGCCCCTCCCGTCCCCCTGCCCATCTAGGGTGCTGCTGAGAGGCAGAGGCTGGTGGCGGCAGCAGCAGAGGAAGAACAAGGCTGCTCGTTCCTCCTCCGCCACCACCAACAGCGGCAAAGGCGGTGGAGGAGGAAGGAGCAGCCCGAAAGGACCCTCACTTAAATATAAGCCAAGGGGGGCTTTTTCAGCAAAAAAAATGTGCTGGGAGAGTCGGCTTATACTCGAGTATATACGGTATATAAAATCATTGTGAAACTCTTTGTAGAGCATAAATCAGTGTTTCCCCTTTCTTCCCTCAGTATCAGACAGAACAACATAGTGACTGCACACGATTCTTTCCTTTTTGCAGGGGAGGTCAAGAAAGAAAAAGACCCTTTAGGAATCATCATAACAGACATTGCCTTGCCTTCCACTCCCGTTCTGGTGGCTGCAAGGATTTTCGTGCTTGTAAAAAGTCACTCAACCACCTTCACAGCTCAAGTCCAGTCCTTTTGGCAGCTGATTAATTGCAGCCCATTATCATATGCCGTTTCAGGAGCGCCCCTTAATTAAAGCCCATGTTCCAACTTCTTGAGGGAACTGAGCATAGCTCATGCCGGAGGCGGAGGTTCGTCCATGGCAGGGACACCCCAGGTCGCACCCGTTCTGCCTTTCAAGCTGGCAGGTACCAGGCTTAAGCGGCACCGCGGGATGCCGTGCGTCCCCAGAAGCCCCTGAGGAGCATTGCCAGGAATTTTACCTCCATTTCACTGGCTTCCCCCTGCCCAGACAGCTGCACTGTCCCGGAGGGCAGCAGAGCTTGACTGCCAGGGCCATGATGTCAGGCCAGAAACCTACTTTAAAGTTAATAGGAACTGCCGCCTGCCAGTAGAGAGAGGCTGGGTAAATTTTTTTATTAAAAAAACCAATGTATTCTGCTCCTTCACAAAAACGTGTGCGCACAAACACAGGGGTGGGGAGGGAGGGAGACACAGGCGGACAATTGCTCACCCACAATCAACAAGCCCAGCAGGGGAAAGGGGGAAGTAGCTCTTATGTTAGAGCAGCGTCTTTTTCCTTTTCGCCTCTCGGCCTTTTGGCTAAGATCATGTGTAGGATCTGTTCTTATCAGTTTAATATGTGATATGTTGAGGACTATATATTAAATGGAATTTTGGAGCTAGGGAAGTTTTTTAATGACTGATGTTTTAATGTATTTTTAATCTCCTGTTGGCTGGGGAAACCCAGACAGATGGGTGGGGTGTAAGTAATATTATTATTATTATTATTATTATTATTATTATTATTACCCCAGTTGATATTTTTATGTGAGAACAGGAGGAGAAAGGGGGCTCCAGGTACCAGAAGCCATGCTTCTCCCAAAGCCACCTCCCAGCCTGGTGCCTGCCTTTCAGCAAGAGCCTGGCGTCTCTGAGAGAGGGAGCTTCCCGCTTGCAGGCTGCTCCGCTCCGCCTGTCAGGAGACAGAGCCCTCGGGAAGAGTTAGGCTGCGCACGCACACACAACACAGTGGTACCTCGCTTTAAGAACAGTCCAGTTTACAAACTATTCGGTATAAAACCAAAAGTCGTGTCCCAGTTTGCGAACTTTACCTCAGTCTACGAACGGAATCCAAACGGTGGAAGGGCACCAGTAGCGGGAGGCCTCATTAGGGAAAGCGCACCCCCGTTTAAGAACGGACTTCCGGAACGGATTAAGTTTGTAATCTGAGGTGCCGCTGTATCTCCAAGGACGATTTGTGTCTGAGGAGGCAGGCAAGGGAGACAGAGAACTAAGGCAGAGAATTACCCTGCAGCGCGCACACGATTTCTCAAAGTGCGATTTTTGCACAGAAGAGCAGCTGAGGCAGAGTTCACAAAGTGCAACAGCTGCACAGGACAAGAAGAAGCATCGGCTGCCCAATTTTTGCAACAAAATGCTTTTTGACTGTCACACACAAGCACACACACGATTCACAATAGATTGCCAGGTTATTTTTTAAAAAATTGTTATCACAATTTGCTCTTAATATAAGACAATATGTTGATATGTTGATATGTTGATATGTTGATATAGGCCCAGCCCTACTGTGTAGGAAGGAGAGGGGCAAGTCATCCTCTTCTGCCATGTCTCACCGAACAGATTCTAACATTCGCATCACCACATGAAGGCTCCTGGAAGCACTTCTCCAGGCCTTTGCTGTGTCAAGAGCAGTGCTGCAGTCCATGCTTCTTCTGTTGAGGACGGAGATCCTTTTCCCGCTCTCCTGTCCCGGGGCTGGTGAGAGGCCCACAGGCTGCTCATGGAGGAACTCTGCCACAAGCCACGGACTGCGTAGTGTTGGGGTTCCTACCCAGCTATTTCAAAGCCAGTTTTCTTCTTCACGTTTATCAAAAGATTTATTCCCCTGAGACCGTTCCCTGTCTATTTTTTGCTTGGTATTAAGTTGGCACTTGGGCTCAAAGTGACTCAGATGGTTTCCTCCCCCAGGGTGTGCAGATCTCCAGAGTCTTGACACAATGCAGCCCATGGAAAGGAAGAGGCAGGGCTACATACATGAGCTGATCCAGACCGAAGAAAAATACATGGAAGACCTTCAGCTTGTCTTAGAGGTGAGATTTGCCTGAACACAAAAGGTAGTGATAAAAGTATTGCCTTGAATCCCTTATTAAAGGTAAAGGTAAAGGACCCCTGACAGTTAAGTCCAGTTGCAGACGACTCTGGGGTTGCAGCGCTCATCTCGCTTTACAGGCTGAGGGAGCTGGTGTTTGTCCGCAGTCAGTTTTTCTGGGTCATGTGGCCAGCATGACTAAGCCACTTCTGGTGAACCAGAGCAGTGCACGGAAATGCCGTTTACCTTCCCGCCGGAGTGGTACCTGTTCATCTATTTGCACTTTTTGGTGTGCTTTCGAACTGCTAGGTTGGCAGGAGCAAGGACCGAGCAATGGGAGCTCACCCCGTCGCGGGGATTCGAACCACCGACCATCTGATTGGCAAGCCCAAGAGGCTCAGTGGTTTAGACCTTGAATCCCTTATTAGAAGACTATTAAGACCTTTTTTCTCAAATGAAAGCTGTGCAAAAGCTTTACACAAGTTCACAGACTGCACCTTCCTACAACAGGCCTTCAGCTGCAGTTTTTGTTTCTATTTCCCCTGATGCTCAAAGAATGTTGGGCAGTCCCTGAGACAGGATCTCAATTCAGGGATCCATCACAAGAAAAGTACCATTGGGACTCATTGCCACTGCTTAATATATGTTGGCAACATGAGTTACTAGGATCTTTAGATATCTTGTGGTCTCTAAGGAGATCACCCATAGCAGACTTGATCTGTGGAAACCTTTTGATCCTGCTCTTATTTTCTGATCGCCTCAATTAGCCTAAGTGTTTTGGAAGAAATATCCGGCAGCAAAGAAGCAATAATGTTAAGAACAAAGGAAAACTGAAGTTTTGTGACTAATGTGAGTTATCAAACAGTTCTTAATTTGAGAGGGGAACATTATGCTGTATTTAAAATTCATTTTCCCTCCTTGTATCTTTCTGAATGTAGGTTTTCCAGAAACAAATGACTGAAGCAGGCTGTCTTTCAGAAGCAGAAATGGGATTAATTTTTGTTAATTGGAAGGAGCTCATCATGTCTAATACAAAGTTACTGAAGTAAGTGCTACTACTCCTTAATTAATTTTTGTGGTTTTAGCTGTTTCAGTCCACATAAACAAGAAATAACCATCAAGGCTACAGTCTACACCCACTTACACGGGAATAAGCATTACTGAACTCAATGGGACTTACGTCTGTGTAGACATGTATAGCACTGTGGCCTTGATATTTTTTTCTTAGAACCATTCAGAAGGACTAGGGAGATTGACAAATATGTTGCCTGCACTGTCCTCTATGGGGTCTCAGAAGCATTTTCCAGCCCTGCGACTTGAGAAGTCAAAGGTGCTGGGGATTGAACCTGGGACCCCGGCACGTAAAACATGTCTTCTACAATTGAGCCGAAAGAAAAGTGCTCTCTGGAGACATCAAAAGTATTTCGGACCTCTCAGAAGCATCTTAGCTGTAATTTTTAATGTTTTCTCTGAAAAAAATGAAAGTGTCTCTGCTCCTCAGTTTTATGCAAGTGTTTCTGTTTGGAAGCTTTTTGTTCAATTTGTAGTCTTAATGTGATGTGATTTCAAATTCACTAAATGCAACCTTGATTGAGAAGAGTAAAAAGCATCCCTGAAGAAACGAAGTACCAGAAGCAAATAAATTAAGCACATGTGCATTGCATTGAATCCCCGTGACGGGGTGAGCTCCCCTTGCTCGGTCCCTGCTCCTGCCAACCTAGCAGTTCGAAAGCACGCCAAAAAGTGCAAGTAGATAAATAGGTACTGCTCCTGTGGGAAGGTAAACGGCATTTCCGTGCGCTGCTCTGGTTCACCAGAAGTGGCTTAGTCATGCTGGCCTGTTGTGGTTCTGGACTATCAGGAGTTAACACTCCAGGAGCATTCTTATTAACTGGGTGCGCTGCCCACAGGATCCGTGGTTGTTTTCCTTTGATCTGTGCTCTGTGGGGGCTGAGCTCTCTCTGGAGAGCAGTCTGTCTGAGAGCGTTAGCAAGGTCGTTTCGGTTTTTGTTAAGAGGCAGAAAGCTGCGAACATGCAGCTAGATTCTGTAGGTTTTTCTTTTCTGTTTTGAATGCTTCTAAATAAAGAGTTTTAGATTAGAAGCACTGGTGTAGAGCTGAGTTATTGAGGACACCACGTCGACACAGACAAGCCATTTTATGCTGCGTGTGAACTCTGCTATTATCCGGCAACTGGAGAGAGTGGCAGCGCGTAGAGTGGAAGCGTGTGGGCGCCATTGGAAGTTTGTCGGAGTGGCAATAAATCAAATTTATTGCAGGGCCATTGCAGCAGACTCAGTGGGTCAAAAGATATACGACCCAACAAATTTAACATGGCCACATGACCCGGAAGCTGTACGCCGGCTCCCTCGGCCAGTAAAGCGAGATGAGTGCCGCAACCCTAGAGTCATCCACGACTGGACCTAACGGTCAGGGGTCCCTTTACCTTTACCTTTACCTTGCAGGAAAAGCAGAAATCTGGGCTTTTGAAAAGGCCTTTTTAAAATGCTTGTTTACACTGTGACAGTGGATTGTCTTGCTAGGTGTATAAGTCTATAAATGCCACAACCAAATAGGAATTGGGTTAGCAGTTCCTGTGTTCTTGGATATGTCCAGCCTTCCTTTGATGGTTCATTGTCAGACAGTAATTTCGGTCGTGACCATGTGATCTCCAGGTTCTGAATGAGCTCCTGGGTGAGATAGCAAGATCCACTTGCTTCATATTCTCAACAGAGTTGACCCTGCCACATGGGATCTCTGTGTGACAGTAACTGGGGAGCCCCTCCTTAGCTTGTTCCTGCTGAAAGCTCCGGATTCAAACTGCTTCCCTGTCGTTTTATTTTCTTCCAGAGCCCTGCGTGTGCGTAAGAAGATGGGGGGTGAAAAAATGCCTGTGCAGATGATTGGTGACATTCTGGCTGCTGAACTGTCTCAAATGCAAGCCTATATCCGGTTTTGCAGCTGCCAGCTTAACGGTGCTGCCCTGCTGCAGCAGAAAACGGATGAAGAACCAGAGTTCAAAGAATTTATGAAAGTACAGTATACTACGCAGTAGCTTCCTAATTCAATCGTGTCTCTTTTCTCTCCATGAGGGTGTGGCAGATGTAACACGAGCTCTCCAGTCGCCACATCTACCAAATCAGGGGTTAACCTTGGGAACGGGCTCTTCCTCCCCACAAACATTTCCTTTGTACAGTATATCACACCAGTATCTGCCCAGGCGTTTAGGTAAAAGTGCCCCTTGGCTGCATGCTCACTTGACTCTCAGCCAGTTTCTCTGCCACGCTGTCAAACCTCAACTCTCCTTGTTCTGTGAATAGGTCTGACTGTGGCTGCAAGGAGTCTCCACAAATGGAAAGGCTCCTTGGGAGGAGTGGGGATCTTGCAGAATCTCCCACTGGAGTACAAAGGAGAGCAGATCTCCCCTTCCCCCACAGCCCCCTGTCCCTCATGCTGTACCAGAGAGGTCACCAACCCTGCAGAGCAGATTTTTGAGGGAGGAAGGGGGATCAGGAGAAAATGCTGCCCCCTCCATGGGTGGAAAGACCTCTTTACTAGAACCTCACTCATGTAAGGGTTTTGCTTCCCTTGGGAAATGCTGCCGTGAATGGAGCCTTGTTTTGGCTCTGCAGCAGAGGTTTTCCTTTTTCTAACGGAGCAGCCTGAGATAGGTCACACGCTCCCCCTTAATATTCTCCATCCAGACAACAGACACCCAAGGGGCTGCTCTTTTGTAAAAGATAACAAACTGAAGCTTGTACAACTGTTTGCACATTTTAAAGCCCTCTGTCAATGTTGATCAGTAGCAATAATGCAGTCTCTCAAAAATACTGGTTTACCTTGTAGAAATTGGCTTCGGATCCTCGCTGTAAAGGAATGCCACTCTCCAGCTTCCTGCTGAAACCTATGCAAAGAATCACTCGCTACCCTCTTCTCATAAAGAGTGTGAGTATCAGCATAATTGTTCTCTGAAGGACTGAGGGAGGGGTCCTTTGGGAGGAAGGGTGGGATAGAAATTAAATGAACTAACTTGATTGACAGTATTGTGTGAGAACAAGCAGAGGACTGCACGTGTATTTATTAAAAAAGATCAGGAAACTTCTCATATTTGTGTGGATAACACCTCAGTTGGATCCCCATAAGGGACAGCTGCATATTCCTGCCTTTCAGGGGATTGGACTGGTTGATCCTCAGGGTCCCTTCCAACTCTGTGATTCTATAGCTCTCTCCGCCCCCCCCCCCCACCCCCATTTAACTGATACTGCAATTTTCTTTGTCTGATTTTTCCAACCAGATTCTGGAAAATTCCCCTGAAACTCACCCAGATCACAGTAATCTGAAGCTGGCTCTTGAGCGTGCTGAGGAGCTGTGTTCCCAGGTGAATGAGGGAGTGCGAGAAAAGGAGAATTCAGACAGGCTTGAATGGATCCAGTCCCACGTTCAGTGTGAGGGCCTTGCTGAGGTAACTGTCTGGGGTGGGAAGGACTGGATAAAAAGGAGGAAATAGGTGCTGGGAATGCATTATTATGGGTTCTTGATAGAAGTGGCCCTGTTGATGGCAGTTCAACAGGTATAGACCAACAGCGTACATTAAGGGTAGCAAAATGGCTTTGGTTTTGAGTAGAATTTTCTCTCTGATATTGAAAAGTCATTGTATTGCTGCTTTGGTTTTCTCTTCCTTTTAGCAACTGATTTTTAACTCCCTGACCAATTGCTTGGGACCAAGGAAGCTTTTGCACAGTGGCAAACTCTATAAGACAAAAAGCAACAAAGAACTATATGGATTCCTCTTCAGTGACTTCCTGCTTCTCACCTACATGGTCAAGCAGTTTGTATCTACAGGGTCAGATAAATTGTTCAACCCAAAATCAAATACTCAGTTCAAAATTTACAAAACGGTGAGTAAATTAAAGCATCTTAATTGTGCATTTGGAAAGGGAAGGAGCGGGATGTTTTCTTTTAATAGAAATAATAACCTCTTTACTATTTAATAGACTTCCTTGATCTACTAGGATGCTGAAGTTAACTGTATAATTTCAATCTCCTATCAGTACTAATTTTGAATGTTTACACTACTGTCAGTAGGGACAGATCTTCTATAATTAGTGAGTGAAGGACTTTCTTTGGATTTAAAAAAAAGCATCTTAGCATTGGTTAGACAAAATCTTGGCTTTTCTCCTGAAAAATGGAAATTGCCACTGCCTCCTACATAGCTCATGTAGGAAATATCCTTTAGATAGTGCATCTCAATTTGTATTAATTTAATCAACAGCCCTTGTATGGGCTGGTTCATTTATGCAAGTCCATCATGCCAATGAGTGGTAAATGCGACTAAAAGTATGGCAAGGACTTACAGTGGAAAATAGAGTGTTTGCCTGCTAAATACCACTTAATCAACTAATTGGTTGGGGAAATCAGATGAACTTTTAATCAACTAAAAAGGTGCCCTGGGTTTGTTCTTAAAAAAACAAGTAACCAGAATTTATAAAAAACTGCAGATGGTGAGTGAGCACCATAATCTGTGTGTTATAAAGAGGCATCCCAATTCTCTCTCTCATATGAGGGTTTCCCTTTTCTATGATGATGCCTATGATGAAACATGCATACATCCTCTGGAAGCAAAATATGATTCTTGTGTCAAAATATTTTACCAGTATGTGAATGCATACAAATTTAATCAACATAGAATCAATTAATCTTATGAACTGTAGTTCACTAATTGATCAGGTTGTATCCCTATGGGAGTTTCTCAGGGAAGTTCCATAGACATGAGTCTTCTCTTCCCAGCAGGAGAAAGTTTATTTTCTATTGCAGAAATGTGTTACATCAGAATTTGCACCAAATAGTTGTTTTAGTAGTTCAGTATCCAGTGCTGGTCTCAAAGTAAGGAGATGAAGATTGGACAAAATTATAATGGAGAAAGGTTTTGCTGTCACCCAGGACTACACCTTTCTGTGTTGTGTCCATCCGCTCATTTTCCTTGTTAGCCAAGGGATTTCCTTTTCCCTGCACAATTCTGAGGGCGAAGGCAGACTTACTGATAGATGATCAATTTTTGCATCTTATCATTTGATAAACTATCTGTATTACCCTGTCCACCAAGGGATATACAGTATCTTCTCCTCTTGATTGTTCTGATTGGGTGTGGTAAAAAAATCCAAACCAATAGGCTGGACAACCAGATTGCCAACTGAAGATGATATTCACCCTCTGTGTATGCCCAGCCCCATAGGAAATAAGTTCCCTTAAAGATCTGGGGCCTCTTCCCCAGTGTAGCAGGGGGCTCTCTCTCATAGTGGTCTTAGCTGCAGTGGTCGCTTCGGACACAATTTAATTATAATTTCTTTTCTGCCTGTCCAAGTGTTTTTTTTAAACTACCTTTGTGTTTCTTTCAGCCTGTTTTTCTTAATGAAGTCCTGGTGAAACTGCCAACTGACCCTTCCAGTGAAGAGCCAGTTTTCCACATCTCCCACATTGATAGAGTATACACACTAAAAACAGACAACATCAATGAAAGGTGAGCTCAGAGAAAGTTCATCTCGCTTTGTTTTTGTGGTTCTTATTTTTGTAAAAAATTAAAATAAAATAATACTCACTTTCGCAGAACTGCCTGGGTCCAGAAAATTAAAGGAGCATCAGAACATTATATTGAAACGGAAAAGAAGAAACATGAAAAGGCTTACCAAGGTGCTGAACGTTGGTTGATGGGAACTTGAAGGAACAGGCTGTACCACAGACACCGCTGGATTCTGGTGTGAATGCAAGCCCGCTTCCTGGGCTTCTTGGGGACATCTCCTGGCCTGAATCGAAATGCCACATATTCCTATTCCCACATCACATTTTCAGGCTTCTTGACACGTGGGCACATTCCTAAAATAAGCCTCTGGCTTTACAAGTGGCATGAAGGGGTTTTGAGTTGCAAGACAGTTGTGCTGTGGAAAGGATTCTGTTTACACAATGAAGGAATGTTGGTGAAACTGAACATGGAAAGTTTGTATTTCATGTGTCTACACTTCTACCTTGCCCAGGCAAATTTATACAAATTACAGGTGGATCCTGCTTCCTCCAGGATAGTTTCTAAACTTAATGAGATTTCAAAGCAACTAGTTGGCATGTGTGCTTAATGCAGACAGATACCACAAGTTGGCTGCAGTAATCCAGCTTCTGCGCAAACATGCCAATTTAGGTGCCTTGTGTTTTGTTCCATATGTTGCTCAGCCAGCTTTCTTTTTCTGTCCAAGCAATTTACTGGTGGTAAATTTGTTTTGTTTTTCAGCTCGGTCACAGAAGAGTTCAGGAATAGGACGTTTGATGGTGCATGTGATTGAAGCAACTGAATTAAAAGCGTGCAAACCTAATGGTAATAATTTAGGGGCGGATGTTTGTCTTTGGTGATATAATATCAAGTTCAGCAAACTAATATGTAGAGAGTCTAGTGTTACAAATAAGTAGTTGCCAAGCAATTTTCTGGAACTGAAAAACCTGTGTATTTATATAGTAAGAGAAATATGAAAAAAATAGAATTGCAAACAACCTGAGCCTAGAATCAGAGCAGGGACTGGTTTTAATGGTGCAATTGGAGCAACGGCCTCAGGGCTCACGCCAACAGGGCGCCCACACTTGGAACTTTGAGTTTTGTTTTGCTTTTTAAGTCTCTAGCCCTTCTCAAAGGTAAGTTATGAAGCTTAATTTGCAGGCAACATTCCAAGCAATTTATGTGCAAGGAATCAGACTGACATGTCAGACTTCTTTTTTTTAAAAAAATCAAGTAAGCCAAAACTCTGCAATAAAAATAAGAGAGGTACAAATACAAAAAACAGAAGCAGCCAAGTATCTCTGGAAGAAACTTAAATCGAGTAAGTAGAGTACTTGAGACCATTCTTTTCAAAGTCTGGATTTCAGAAGTATGAGGCATGGTGCTTATGGACAAATAAACCATTTCACAAAAGGAATATTGATTTTTTTGGGAGGGTGGTGGGTAGATTCACACCTTCTATATGATATGGTATCCATTTATTGACTTTGTTACAGCAACTGAACATGGTTTTCACCCACCCAATTCATGGAACCTTATGGAGGGACACTTTGATTGAATTGCCTTTGAGGGGCTGTCTAAAACTACAACCATCAGCCACCATTTTTCTTTCTTTTGTGTACAACTACAAAGCTCTGCTTTCCTGTTGTGGATAAGTTTTGTTACTTGAAATTAAAAATCTTTTTTTTTCCAAAAAAAAAAAAGATTTTATGCCTATGATATGAGCAGTAAATCCCTTTTCCCAGCCATTTAACACCTCCTCCTGTATCTTCATGACAGCTGCATGAAGTAGGTTAGGCTGAGAGTTGATGCCTGGCCCAAGGCAGGAAGTGAACAAAAACAATGTGAGTTTTAAATGTGAATATGAGCATGTTCAGAGTATTTTCTTTTTGCTATCCTATCAAGTTTGGTAAAATGTTGTTGTGTTTTGCCTTGAGAGTTGTAAAATTGCACATGCTCCAACTATTTTATTTTTATTTTTTGTAGTCAGACAAAGTTTATGCCATAATAAATTTGATAGCCTTTTAAAACCCTACAGGATTTAGTCTGTGGCACCTTATTTCAGGAATGCTTTTTAGGGACCTGGCTTGAGAACTGCACCAGGGCTTCCAACCGCTTTAATCCAACCTTGAATCCAATCAGAGCAATTTAAACACAATTTTTTTTTTACCCTCTTATGAAAATAGTGTCCTTAACTCTGCTCCGATTTACCTACATTATTCTTTTTAAAGGTTAATGTGTACACTTCTGTTTTATGTTAAGGGAAGAGCAACCCATACTGTGAAATCAGCCTGGGGTCTCAAAGCTACACAACAAGAGCACTGCCAGACACTTTGAACCCAAAATGGAACTTTAACTGCCAATTCTTCATCAAGGATCTATATCAAGATGTTCTGTGTCTCACCATGTTTGACAGGGATCAGTTCTCACCCGATGGTAGGTGCTGCATTTTGTCTGTGAGAGAGATCATTCTTTGTCCCTTGTTAATGACTAGGAGCTGGTATGGCATGGGCTGGAGCTTAAGCACAAACGTATCAGTTCTGACTACCCAGTGGCCCCATTTAGGCTGTTTGTTGTGTACTCTACACCTAAATAGAGCTATTTGGGAAAGAAGAGGGGTGCTCACTGCCAAGTCCATCTGTACCATTTGTTTGTTGCTCTGGTGCATTATAAATACACCCCATTTTCAACAAACGGATCTTTATTCCCTGACTCTGACCATGTTTGTTTACTGTGTCCCAGGCAAGAAGGATCCCATCATCAACTGTGTTGAGGTTCTTTTCCCACTTATGACAAATTACCTGCCCCACTTCTGTTTGCTCCTCCTTCCAGTTCATTTTTGGGGGTTCCCATTTTTGTTGCATTTTGTCTGTTAGGGAACTAAAGATGAACAAATGCATTGCCAAGAGATGTTTGATACTGTATTTGAAGAAGCAGCCTGCTTTAAACACGTTTCATATGTCAGTTTCTAGACTGAATCCTCAACTGTATTCTATTTCATGTCAGGGGGAAAGCGCTTTTCACCCTGAACCTGCTCTGAGAACGCATTCTAGGGCAGCCATCTGAACATGCTATTATGCTTCTCCATTCCTTATCGCATGTGACTCAGACTTCATTTCCTCCTCATTTAGCCACTTCACACTTACTTCTGAGTAAATGCATAATATAAGCTTAAACTGTAGCTCTCTTTGAGTTTACTCTCAAATTAGTGTGCATTGGATTGCAGCCTTCATTATTTAACACAGATTTGAGTATGTTTTATGTGTTGTTGTTAAACAGATTTTTTGGGCCGCACTGAAGTTCCAGTAGCCAAAATCAGAACAGAGCAAGAAAACAAGGGACCTACAACTAAACATTTACTGCTGCATGAGGTACCAACAGGGGAAGTTTGGGTACGCTTTGATTTGCAGTTATTTGACCAGAAAACACTCCTCTGAAAAGGTGTTTTTTGTAATATTAGGAACTACAGACTGCTGAACTGCTGCCATTTGAATGGAGTGTTTTGCAAATAATCCTTCCTTACAGGCAGGTACCTGAGAGCAATGTGTGCTGCAAAATCACTTTACTTGGTCACTTGTACATCATTTCTCTGTGGGGGTTGCTTACGTTTGTGACAATCTATGCAATGTAAAATGTACTGTATATAGAGATCCTGTAGCAGTGCCTTTCTTTAGAATACGGAAATTTTTGAATGCTGATGCCAATGTATCTTTTCAATGTAATTTTCACAGCTCTTTAAAGTATTAATTGGGAATGTGGCATTAAAATGTTTAAAGTGTAGCCACTTGGATTAGTGTGTGTGTGTGTGTGTGTGTGTGTGTGTATGCACATGTCACTCACATACATGCTGAGGGAATGATTTCATTCAGGGCTAGAATAATTGAATCTCACGCCTGAAAAATGTAATCTGCTTGAACCTCATCTCAGGATATTAATTGCAGGAAATATATGCTGAAGTCTTAGCACTTCGCAATCCTTTAAATACTGTATATCATTAATAGGAAGTTTATTTATTGATTAGGAAATTTCAAGAATTTCTTCAGTTCTGTTTAGCATTTTATAACCAGATTTTGGTTATAAGGAAAAACTAGAAAATTTTCCTTTTAAAATACTGGTTGATAATCATGAATACGTTTCATGTGATTTGTTTAATATATTTATGTAAATAAATACTTGGGTTTCCTGGAAGATGCCCGTAAAATGTGCACCTTTAAGCTTCGCCAATGGGCCCAAGGCAGTGAAGGTTACATCACCCTTGGATCGGCATAGAGAATAAAATGAGCTTATTAAAATGATTCGTCTAGATTCAAATGGAGGCATACTGATTTTAAAAAGCATATTTTATTGTACCTCTGAATGTGAAAAACACAGGAACTACATTCAAGAAAATATAAACAAAATGTAAATCATACTTGTTACGGGTACTGCTCATAGGATACAATGGAATTATATATTCAGCAAGACAGATCGTCCTCTTGGACGCGAAGAGGCAAAAGTGCCCACTGGATCGTTCTCCTGTGCAAAAGACCTGTAGCACAGCTGCACCTTGTAGAAGAAGTACAAAAAGGCTGGCAGCAGAAGTTGCCAGTTTCAGGCATTGGACAAATAGGCAGGACCTCTGCATTTTTGACTCCTCTCTCTGCTATTTAAGTACTGCTTTCAGTGCAAAGTTAGTGGAGTTGTATCCTTTAGGTGCTATATTGCTTAACAAGTTTTAACAGAATTGCAAACTTGACCTGAATAAAAGTTTTCTGTGTTTAATTATTTCCATTTTTATCTTATCTTATTTTATTTTATTTTAATGTGATTTTCCTAGAGCATATATTCAATTCAAAGTCAGATCCCACATTCCAAAAACTGGCTTGTGACAACTTTTCCTGGGCAGGAATAAAAACAAACAGCTATTTCACATTTACTTGAGCAAGTATCTACATCTAACTCAATACATACTTGAAATATAACAAAATCACCACACTTCTGCAATGAATAAACAGATGAATTGGTACAAATTTTAAAGCAACAAAGGCCTTCAATATTACTATTTTAATAATACCACTATTAATCATTTCAACTAGTTTGCCTAAATTGTGTGTGTGTTGCAAGGCATCTGCAAAAATTTCTCAACAATTGACACACTTCAGGATAATATCTTGGAGAGAGCAAAGTTCCTTAGTAGACACTCTACAGCGTTCATCCAAACTGCCATCTTCATTCATTGGTTTCATACACCAGGGGCGTGATGGGTCTGTCCAACTATCAGATGTTTGCTCCTGGTAGATGATACAAGTTCTGGCTGGACTGTCTCAATCTGTTTATCAGCTGTTGCTACTGCTCCTTTATATATCTATTTTGTACAGCTGCGATGGTCATGCCAACTGGATCTCAGACTGAGTAAATGGTATCTTTCACATTTTTGCAAGGGACTAACAACTGTCTAAGAGTACTGCATCCTTAATAACTTGACTGACTGTTTCTTACAAAATCAGTAACCTTTTAGGACCTGGTTTTGGGTCACACAAGGTCAACATTACCAGCTGTTAGATACCAGTGCATAATACTTGGTATAATGCCCCCCTCTGCTTTTCAACTGAACCAACTGCAGCAAGGTAAGTGGATGATCTACACCAAAAGCATCTTCTTCTACGCAAGCCCCACTCTTTTTGGAAGGTAGATTTTATGAAAGATGAAACCATAGTATTGTCTTCAACTAAATAGTGCATTTAGTTGTCTACATATAAGAGTGCAATATATCCCTCGCTATGTTTCAAACCCACTTCTGTGCAGGAGGATTCCCTACTGTTAATAGGTTTGTGCTTTATGTTATTGTGCTGTGGCCAGAATCAGTAACGGCTATAGTGCTCAGGTTTGTGCACATCTGTAAAGGACTTAATCCATGTGTTCCTGGAACATTATGCCAGACAGAAACAGTTTTATTTGTTCTAGGATGTTTCATATGTACGGCACTGCTATACTCAAAAGTAAAAAAGTGCTGTACACAGGGTAGAACTCCTAACTTGGGGGAATAAATATATCACTGCTGTTGCTTGCCATGCATCTTCCTGAGCTATCTCTGTCTAATCTAATGCAATAGCTGGGGCTCTATCCTGCTAACTGTGGCTCAGAATCCACACTGCTTTTGGTTTGCATCTTAGATAAGGAATCCATTTCAAAGGCATATCATTGGGAAGCAGATTTTATTGCTGGTTTCCAAACTGATGAGCCAGTTAGTATTTGATTTGTCAAAAGACAGGGCATGCGGGTGAAATCTGGTTTCCTGGCAGAGCCATCTCTCGTTCAGCAGAAGCCAGGACGGGTCCCCCTACCTCTTGAAATCCACAGAAGTCAGGTTTCTAGATGTGCGCATTTTTCTCCTTTTAACAGAATGAAATTAGACCATTATCAGGCACTAATGCTTACTGCTGCTGCAACAGATGTACACTGCTGTGTTGAGACTGTGTGACACTCAGAATAAAATGTAAAATGGCAAACGGACCAGTACTCTTAACATTCCCTTTCCACTTCATTGACATTGAGAACAAAACCTTGTTAACGTGTAGATATACTGGTGAACACCACACAGCTATTCTATTAGGGGTGGAGTGGTAGGAAAATCATCTTCAGTGGGCCATCTCCTTCCCTTGTCTTAGAAGGCAGACGGCTATAATGCTGGCAGGAGGAGTGGGGTTAGGCCAAGACCAGTCCATGCTTCAGACTGGGGAGCAGGTTCCTCTCAGGGCTCCTGGCTTTCCCGGTTGGTGAGCCCCTACTGGCTAGGATATTTTTCTTCTTTCGTGTTCTCGCTTGTTCTTTACCTTTCCTAGCTCTCTTATGTGCCTTCCTACAAAAAAGAAGAAGGAGAATAGGAACCACTCACCTTGCCGAGGGTCTACTCTTCTCACATCCCTCCCCTGTTTCCGAAGGATGAGATTGCAAGTGTGTCTACCTGCTATGGAAATATGCCTAGGCCAGTTAGGAGTCCAACTCCCAATAGCTCCAGCCAGCATGGCCAATGCTCAGGATGAAGAGGGTTGTGATCCAGCAACAGCTGGGGAACCACAGATTCCCCATCCCTGCCCTGCATACTTCTGTTGTCCCTACAAAAAAAACTGGGAAACCTGGGACTATGTACTTTATAGTCAAAGGTGCTCTGCTGTAGTTGGGGTGACTGAATCTTTGTGGAAGAAAGCACTTTTCCAGAAAGAGAGCGGCCAGGTTGGTAATAAAAAGAACCTTTCACAATGGAAAAACATCACTTTGACAAGGACATTTACCTACTAGATGGGTGTAATGGGGATTAAACTAGTAGGGTGAGAGAGGAAATTACCCTTGCCACTTTTAAAAGTCTCTCACTCTAAATTATGAAAAAGGGAGAGAAGAAGGATCACACTAGGCCCCCAATTCCATTCATTGCCCTCTTGAGATGACCTCTAGGATGACCTTCCAGAGTCAGTGCACCAAACAAGACTAAACTCCCTCAAGCAAAGCATAGAGTTTTAAGTTATCTACCTTGCTTACTGGTTTCTGAAAGTCTCATGAGATTTCACAAGACTGAAGAGATCTCACGAGAGTCTCCCACCGCCTAGGAAGGAAGGCAGAGAACTTAAAAAGTTTGTTTCCACTTCCGATGCTTTCTGCCATGGTGAAAAATGTCTCCCACGCTAGCGGAGATCGCTCATGCAGCTAATTAAGGATAATTTGAGAGTAATTATCCTTACAAGCCCCACCCCCACCCCAAGCCGGGGTGTGTGTGTGAGCTTTCACGGTGTGTGTGTGAGCTTTCACTCGCAGATCGTCTGATACCTGCCTCTTGTTCCGGTGGAATGTGGGAGGCAGGGGACGCTGAGTGCATAGTAACGCATATATCAGAAACTCCAACGCAGTCACTATGAGCAGAGGTTCTGTTTCTTAGGATGGATTTGGATCTAAGTAACAGGTGTGTTCTGGACTAAGGGGACAAGATAACCTGCTAAATGAATCAGCCACTGAGTGCCAAGGATTTTCATCGTAACTGGTAACCATCGTAACATGGTATGTAGGGGGAGGGGAGCCTTTACCCTTTCTTTATATACATTATATTTGCTGTTTTATGATTCAGCAAGCCTCCCCTGAAGTATTAATTGTTAATGGATTGAAAAAATGCAAGAGGGAATTAACGAGAACTTCATAATTTTTACGGATTAATTGCAAGAATTGAACTGTGTGAAAACATTGTAATGATTTGTGGCATTGACCTACGGAATGGTAAAGAGGGCTTTGGTTCTGACTTATCATGGCTTCAGCAACATACCAGCTTATTAACGGATAGGAGAGGGATCAAAGAAGTTAATTCTGGATATCTGCCCGGGGCTATGGCGAGATGCCAGACTTCTCTTTGTCTTGAAGGATAAGTAAAATGGTGTGTGACACAGTGAGAATTGCAGTCCTTGACAGAAAGTGAAGGGAAATGCTGAGGATGGATTACAACATGAAGAGTAAAGACGAACGTAAAACAAACATTTCACACAGAAATTTACAGGATAAAAACTCCCATTGCAAAATTAATGGATATGGAACAGTTAAATATGAATGAAAGTCATCAGATCAGTGGCTATTAAAATAAAGGATCAAGATCGGAACTGTTATATTTGAACTATCTAAGAGTATTGGAGCAGGACGAAATAAGAACATCATTCCCCGAAATCCAGAACACAGGAAGTCATTCAAAATTATTTAATTTGGTATTGGATAATTGGCTTTTTTAACTGTATTATAATTTAGTACTGTATTAATGTGGTTTTTATTGGATTATTATAAATGAAAATTAATTTAAATTTTTTTTAAAAATAATAATCCATGCCAGGAAAACCCTATGCAAAAGGAGCTTTTAAGCTTGCCACCTTCTGTGAAACTGTATAAGTTAAACACGTGTGTGTTTAACTTACACAATTTGAACATGGGTTCAAATGCAAGCTGTAACCAAGTCTCAGGGACCAGCACTGCAATCCACCTCCAAGGGTAGGGGGAGAGGGACTTTCCAAGCCATAGAGTGTCACGTGAAGCACTTCCAGATCCTTAGAATCATAGAATTGTGGAGTTGGAAGGCAACCCCCCATGGGTCATCCAGTCCAACCCCCTGGAAAGCAGAAATCACAGCTAAAGAATCCCTGACAGATGATCGTTCAACCTCTGTTTAAAAAACCCCAGTGAAAGAGAGGCCACCATCTTCCAAGGTAGCCCGTATGTTCAGAAAGTTCTTCATAATTTTTAGTTGGAATCTCCTTTCTTATTTGAATCCATTGGTTTGAGTCCTACCCTCCGGAGCAGCAGAAAACAAGCTGGCTCCATCTACCATGGGTATTTGAAGACAGCCACCATATCTCTCAGGTTCCTCTTTTCCAGGCTAAACATACCGAGCTCCTTCAACCATTCCTCATAAGGCTTGGTTTCCAGACCCTGGATCACCTTGGGCACATGTTCCAGCTTGTCAATAGCCCAGAACCAGACACGGCACTCCAAGTGTACTCTGACCAAGGCAGAGTAGAGCAGTACTACAACTTCCCTTGATCTGTACACTAGATTTCTGTTGATGCAGAGTTCTCCAATAGATTTTATTATGACTGAGCCACTGGTTCATAAGAACATTTGCCAACATTTGCCCAAAACCTGAAGACTCTGCAGTCCTGGCTTTGGAAATAGATTATTTCCATAAAACCACTACAGTGGTACCTCGGTTCTTGAACGTAATCTGTTCCGAAAGACTGTTCAAGTTCCGAAACATTTGAAAACTGAGGCGCAAAGGGCTGTCTGCAAATTCAATTGAGAAAACTGAAAAACACGCAGTGGAAGGCAATCGCTACTAAAAATGGTGATACTCCCTACCCTCACAAACAGGCAAAACACCTGCCCACTCTCAGAAAGTAGACTAAAGATAAAAATCAAAAGGTAGTCAACTTCCTCAAAGAGCCACATCTATAAACAAACGGATAATGAGTGAGTACTGGTCAAACAAGGAAATGCCAGGCAATTCCTGGTTAATGATGGTTTCAGGGGGGGAAACAGTACAGATGAATGCATTTATGACAGCATTTAGAAGATGGAGAGTTCAGATGATGAAACACCTTAGGTCAGGCATGTCCAACTCCCAAGAGACTGTGATCTACTCCCAGTATAAAAAAACTGGCAGTGATCTACCCATTATCATGGGAGGGAGGAGGAACATGCGTGGGGTGGGTGGACTGCCCAGAGTTGTTGAGCTTTTTGGGGGAGGATTGCACAGTTTTTTAGCTTCTCTCCCATAATTTTTTGTACATGATAAGGATCCCGCGATCTACCAGGATCAGCCAGGGATCTACTGGTAGATCACAAAGTACAGGTTGGACATCCCTGCCTTAGGTGTAACCAACAGCCCCTTCTTCAACGGAAAAGAAAGCATGCACACATTTAAGCTTTTAAATTAAAAGCACTGGCTATGTTATTCACATGTTCCATGGTAAGTGCATAAAACAGCTCTACTTCCCCTCTTGTGCGAAATATGGAATAAAGAGAATTTCTTTAAAAAGCAGTGACAAACTTTACCGGCTCTTTTGACGAATCTCACTTTCTATGTATCCAGCTGGAATTTTTAACCACTCTATTGGATTCATAAGTTGCCGACTCAACGGAAGGAGTGGCAGTTCCGCCTTATGGAGCTCATTCATCTCTTTGGAGGAAAATACTTTTCCTGTAGGAAGTCAAAAGCATGAAGGTTATTTCCATAAACTGGACTGGCTGCTTTCAGAGAGAAAGGAAAGGCAAAACTAAGGTCAAATTCACTCCTCTCAGATATACAGCACCACCAACTTTACCACTTCATAAACTTTGGGAAAAGACCGAATGAACCTAAGTGATTATATCTGCATCCTTCAGTTCCTCCATCCTGTATCTCGAGTCAAAATGGCCATAGCCAGAGGATGGAAAACAGATCCTGACTTTTATATCCACCCTTGGTATAGTTGCCTAGCCCCTGTGGAAAGGCCAGCCCATGATGTGTGGTGGGCTGAAGGCCAAGCCAAGCCAGATATGTTTGATGCAGCGAAGTTCCCACTCTTTTCCTTTATAAATACTTCCTCCAAGAGTCTGAAGCCATCCAGTGCTCATGCTGGGTTCTGGAGAGGATACATCAGATAATTCTCTTTTTAAGTGCTTCTCTGTCCTTATTACTTATGGGATTTAACAATGTAAAATTATTTGTGAGAGACCAGGGTGTGTGGGTTTATTCATGTTGCCTTTATTCTATTGTTTTATACAAAATCAATAGAACATATCTGAGGCTGATGGGAACTAGTCCATTGGGCATTAAGTCTTGAAACAGAATGCGTCACAGAAGCCCATAGCCAAGCACTGCAGCATAGAAATACCTGTGTCACACTGCTGAATAATGCCAGCCTCAAGGTATCTTCCTCGTATCTCCTTTAACAAGGGATCGTATAAAGGTGGAACTGAAACCTATTAAAAATACAGGCAAGTTCTTACTTCCTTTCCCTTTTTAAAATTATTTATGAAGTCTTAACATTCACAGCACATGAACAACCAAACATAAATGTTACACAGCGCACAGTATTTTTCCAGCTTGTTTTTTTATTAGTAGTAGTAGTAGTAGCATTAGTAGTAGTAATAGTAGTTGTACTTCACCCATCTTACTGGGTTGCGCCAGCCACTCCAGGTGGCTTCCAACATATATAAAAACATTGTGCATTAAAAAGCTTCCCTATACAGGACTGTGTACTCATCTCCTTGATATCTGCTGGATGTCCCACAGGGAGGGCACCACCACTGAGGCCTTCTGCCTGATTCCCTGTAGCTTCACTTCTCACAGTGAGGGAACTGCCAGAAGGCCCTTGGAGCTGGACCTCAGTGTCCGGGCAGAATGATGGGGGTGGAGATGCTCCATTAACTATACTGGGCCGAGGCCATTTAAGGCTTTAAAGCTCAACACCAACACTTTGAATTATGCTCAGAAACGTACTGGAAGCCAATGTGGGTCTTTCAAGACCATATAGAATAGACAGTATATTGGTACATAGCTCCAATCCATGTGTATACAACAGCAGACTCAAATCCAAACACATCTAAGTATTCGTAACTGATGGCATACATGGGAGTGGGCATTCTGAGGATCTGGGGATCCACTTATAAATCCCATCAAAACATCCATTTCAGAAGAGAAGTTTTGGTTTATGGCATATATAATTTGGTGCTTAAGAGAACAAGTTCAGATTTTGGAGTTTCTTGTGAAAGTGTTAAGTTTACTCCCATTTCCCACTCTTCTTCTCCCCCCCCCCCACCCCCAAGTCCAAATTCAAGCCACTGGGAACCGAGAAAAGAAAGTCCACAGCCACAGTACTGTGGGGAATTCATGAAATGTGAATTGTGTATGTCCAAGGGTGGGGAAGAAAATGTGAGGATCCTGATGGGAAAGGTCAAGTGGGTGAAGGTGTGTTTGCCACTGGGCAATTCCCTAAACTGCCAAATAATTCACAATGTGTTATTTATTTAATTTGTAAAAATTGTTAATGCATACACATCCCTTCACAGGCTCTGCCCATGATGCCAAGAAACCAATACAATTCTCATCAGTGCTTAGTCAACGTGCAATAAATTCAGCATGTTGGCTCTCCTACCTTGCAAGTGTTTGTAGAACACTTTAGAAAGAAAGGATCATAAGAGGAAGTATTATAGCTTTCTAAAAATGCACTGCCCTGTAAAAGAAGAAAAAGTGAAAGTCAAGCTATGGCTGCAACAATAATAGCAGGTAGCTAATATTTTCTATGTAATCCCTAAAGTATACCTTTCAGATAAAGTATCGTAGATGAATATTCACAGTACCTCAACATTTAGCTAGCATTTACTCCATCAACTTAATGCATCAATGGCACCATTGATTTCATAAATCAAGTCACAACAGTAACTTTTTAATCTTTCAGCATTACCAAGGTTGTCATTTTTTGTACAATAGTCCCCAAATTACAAATTATGTGCATTAAGCTCTCTGTTACCAAAAACAGGTTTTGTGGTCACTAAACGTCAAATTACATATAGCATTAAGCTCATATTTTTTAAGGTGTACTTATCACCAGCAATTCTCCCCCCCCAAAAAAAAGCATCTGGGTGGGGCCCCATGTGGATTTGACAACCCCTCCGCCAGCCCTCCGAAAGTCAGGTAAGCGAGGCACTGGCCTTTGGGAAGGGGTGAAGCTCTGGCAGGGTCCTAGAGTCCTCCCACCTTCTTCACAAAGGCGGAAAGCGTTTTAGGGCTGGTGGGGTGTCAAATGTTACCAAGGGCCACCAAAAAAGGCCTCATGCGGCCTTCAGGCTGTGGGTTGGACCACCCTGAGATAAACCTTTCTCCTCACACTGCTTCCTTCTCTAAGTTTTTATCAAAAGGTGCTATTTGCTTCACTATATGAAGTAGAAACTTCAGAGTAAAAATAAGTTGTGAGGTATTTTCAGGAGGAAAACAGCATGTGTCCATGTCATGGTATTGCCAGAGAATGCAGGGGAGGAGCAGACAGGCAGAGGGAGGGGGGCAGGAAGTGGCGATTGAGGAAAGAGGGGAAAGCCAGGAGGCGGGACGGCTCACAGATGTGGAACCAGAGCCTCAACACCGCACAGGAAGTTCTGGCACAGACAGTGAAACAATGCCTATTCCGTCTGCCAGGGAAAGGAGAGTGTTAAAGAGAGGCATCAAGTGAAACTTCCCCGCCTTTTCTGTTGGAGAAGGAGCTGGCAAAAGCCACTCCCAGAATCTGAGCTGGAGGACTCAGATGCATGATTGTAATGTGCTGCCTGTACATATGTAAAATAAAGACTATGAGCAGAGGTATTTCTTGCGAAGAGCATTCATAAGCCATCACAGTCCATGAGGCAAGAGAGAGGCTTTTTAAAAAAAATATTCCCATCTGACATAGTCCTTCCCCCACAGAAATACTTTGTCTGAAAAAATGAAGTTGTCAGTACTAAGTATGCTAAAAGAAATTGTGCTGAACATAACATTTAATTTGAAGAACTTCTTAATCAAAGAGTGGGACACATGACAAAACTACACCATACTGTTATATTTAAGCCTGTATATCTGCTCCAAAACAAGAAACCTTGCAATCTGCAGCTCCATGGAGGAGCTAACGCTTTCCAACAAAAACAAGTTGGCATCCCCACTTAAGTGCAGCACAGGAGTCTTTTGCCAATGGCATTCACAGGAGAAACCACATCACAAACCAGGTAGCTCAGGCGTTATCACATACAGGTGAGGCCTTCAATACACAGCTTGGAAACACAAGTTAAGCTTTCATTTCATTGCAAGGATTGTAGCCCTGCAAACAAATGTAGGATACATCCCTGCTCCATTGAGCTTACAATCTTGTATGGTATACACCTTTGTGTAGTACACACCTTTTGGAGTCAAAGTGTTGCATCAGACAGTTGATAAATGATGTCCTTAACTGTCCTGCTTGGTTCTCTCTTTCACTTCATGATATCCATAGTGCAGGTAACCCTGAATACAGAGTATCTCACCACACAATTCATCAGCAGCATTGACAGAACACATGAGAAACATTAGAAAGTGTGAGTCCCTGAACCTTGTCTACCGTGGCTGGCGCTTTTTGCAGGCCATGGCACTGAAGGGACCCCAAGCGTCTTCCGTCTTCAAGGATATTTTGTAGTGTCACTATTCTTGTGCCGAGCCTGATATCTCCTGTAGGACTGGATCGGTGGAGGTATAGGGAGAAAGAAAGGGTTATGGGAATGGTAAGCGCTGAAGTCACGAAGAGGCTCGTGTTCTGAAGGTGGAGGCTGCTGTGTAGGTAGAGATAGTTCAGAAGCTGAAGCGTCAGAAGGCGGCTCAGAAGCAGCAGCTGGAGGAGCAGCAGGAAGACGAGGTGGGGAGACATTCTGCAAAGCAGCTGAAGGACTGGGCAGTTCTGAGGAGGTCAGCTGTAAGAAGGGAGACTGAAAGAAAAGAGAAGGCGAGTGGAGGAAAGGGGGAACTGGAGGAAGCAAATGAAAGAAATGAGGTGGGACTGAGGGAGGAAGCATGACGGAGGGGAGAACGACGATTGGTGGGGATGTGGAAGGGGAGACGGAAAGGAGAGAAAATGGAAATGGGGGCAGAAAAGAGGGAAAGTATGAGCCAGAGGAAGAAGACTCAAAAAGTGGGTGGAAAGGGGGAAGAAGCACACAAAGGGAGGCTGGGGAACCAGGATCAGATGAAGCCTAACGGAACGGAAGACACAAGCAAAGGACAAAACAAATACATGAACAGAAAAGCACAGAAGGCAACAGCTAATATAAGGAAATTACAATTCCAGTATGGTAAGCGACGCTCTTCCTTTGTATAAAAGGTGCATATTGATTTATTTTAAATTCAGGTAGGTAGACGTGTTGGTCTGACATAGTCAAAATAAATAAAAAAAACTGTCTGAAGAAGTGTGCATGCACACAGAAGCTTATACCCATAACAAACTTAGTTGGTCTCTAAGGTGCTACTAGACAATTTTTTATTTTAATTTTTTTACTTTATTTGTATACCACCCTTCATCCAAAGATCACAGGACAGTTCACAACATAAAAATAGAAAATATGGACCCAATCCTAGGAATCATTTGTAAATATACCTCCACCTGTCCCTATTTACAAGGGGTAGCCCCTTTTCTCTACTACATTACATCCCCCAATAAATCAAATCACTGACCCAATTTTTGCAGATGTTTTGTTGAAATGTCGTTAGTGTGAATGGCTGGTCTCAGTTTTCAGGCTTCAGCAACCTGCACCAGGTCTTCAGAAATATCTGAGTGCAAGGCTGAAGTTTGTGCACAAGTGTGTGCACTCTAAGGGCATTTCACACAGCAGTAGCTGAAGCTCATTATGAACAGACTGAAGGCCATTCAGAGTTTTGTTAATTCTATCTTTTATAGCCAAACAAGTTGTTGGGAACAAGCTGTTGTAGCATAAATTATACAGTATACAGCAGACAGGATAGCATCTTCAGCAACATGTAATAATAACTATGTTTCTCGTTTCATCTGTGAAACATGGCTGGGTAGGTAATTGTTTGCTTTGTGTTCCAAAAGAAAAGGACTCTTGTCCTTCAAAACTGTGTCTGCCCACAAGCATGCAAACAGATAAGCAACCACAAGTAATTTTATATGGTAGTACACAGCCCTAAATAGAGTATGAAATCTGAAAACTGATTTTTAAAAACTGAAAGCTGTGTACATTGGAAAATGTGCCGTCATACATGTTTTCAATATTGGATTATGTCTTTTTGTTTAATCCTGTGCTCTTGAGTCTCTCTCTCTCTACAAAACCCAACCACTGATCAGCCACTCACTGGCCTCCGTGGTTAGTTGCTAATTTTGTGGTATTTTCATTAGCAAGAAGCAAAGCCAGGAGGAGAACGGCATTATATTTCAAAGAACAGTGACTTAAGCTTTGCCCATATTAGGGTGTAAACATGCATGTGGATTGAACAAATCTGATTTTTCTGCGTGTGCTTTCGCCCACATATGAGAACTCTGAATTTTATGCCTGTGTCTATCTCAATGTTTCTCACTGACAATTGTGGGCAGCGCTTGAGGAGATCTAGCTGTGCTATATTCTTGTCTGCTCTCAGCTTCCCCTAGATTACTGCTTCCGCACCATCCATTTTTTTCCATTTAACTTCTTTCATGTTTTTGGTGCATTTATCTGGAAGTTCCAGACATCAGTTCCTTCATGACACATGTGCAAGTTTCGTTTCCCTGTGCGCACACACATTTTTTAAAAAAACTTTTTTGCCCACAGCATTATGCACCCAAGAACTTCCAGTAAAGCAAACATTTCAAACATGTTTCACAGTGGGCAAAATGAGGGTTTGGTCTTCCTAAAAATAAAATAATGAAAATAGATGCATGGGGTTTTTATTTTTTAGTTAGTTATTTAGTTATTAACCTTGTTAATCATGTGTTATACAAAAAGATCTAAAACAACTTACAACACATTTAAAACAGAAGCATGAATGGCTCTTCTTGATTCCTCCCCACATCTGCAGCTACGTGTCCCGCCGTGGAGAGAACCAGCAGTACCAGCAAAGAGCAACTAGGTGGGAGGAGTTGTGGGTACCTCCAGTCTCCCGGCCCTCCCCCACTTCAGAAAGACACCATGCCGTGTGGAAAACATTGCCTCCAGCAACCATTGGAAGTAGCATCAGGTTTGTGTGTTACAAATACAAACATGCATTACAAGTAAAAAGAAAGAAAAAGTAAATTCCATGGAGTCACAAGCGTGTTCAAGGCAGGACAGGGAGAGAAGACCTATAGGAGGAGGAATTTGGAGAGCATTTGTTCTTTGTTCTTCTCATTCCCCACCTCCTATACCTGCTTACATCCTAAGGGGACATGTGCAAGCCGGGTAAGTTAATAGGAAGCACAAGGTTCTGAAGAAGACAGGAAGTACTGGTAGTGTATTTCGCCACTTGAGTTAATGAACTACAAGCTCCATGATTCCAAGAAAATGACAATGCCAGTGTCACTTGCCTGAAAGAAGACATCAGACCTCTTTGCCATGACTCACAAGCCAAAGACCTGCACTGCACTGGCTGAAAAGGACAATGTTCTGATCCCATCTTTGGGGAAGAACTGCCAGGACCATCTTCAGGACTCAAGGACCTGAGGATGCCACCCTAACACCCATCTCTGATTCAGAGAAGCACCCTCTCATGGTTACCCTTGTCACCTCAGCCAATGGCTGCAAGGGCACTTAAGCCACCCAGCTCCTCTGGGCAGACAGAGCCAACCTACTGTAGGCTTTAGTCAAGAGACTCAGCTCACTCATACAGCTACCAGAGTAGGACCTTGGGAACTCTCCAAGGTCCTGCAGGGGACTTCAACTCCTGACCTGACCTCTTGACTGGGCATCAGCAGGCTTCTCCTGTGTGCCTTGAGCTCACATAGAACATGGCACCTTGCTGACTACTATCCCTTCCCCAACATTATTTTTTTTCCTGTGGGGAGGGGAGAATAGACAGCGTAGCAGCTAGCAGAGGTCCTGGGGAGTGAGCAGAACCATGATGAGGAGCTGTTTGACATGGGTTATGCTCACTTCAATTCTCCTTGGAAGAATTGAAACAGGGGTGCTCTCAAAGTTAAGCATCCCTGCTTTAAATATCTGCCTCATTCCTTAAAACAAACACCATGGATTACTGCAACACGCTCTATGTGGGGCTATCCTTGAGGATAGTCCAAAAGCTGCAGTTGGTGCAAAATGCAGCGGCTCGACTGCTCACAGGACAGGATATCACCAACAAGTTACCCTATTGTTGAAATAATTGCACTGCCTGCAAATTAGTTATGAGCTGAGTTCAGGCTACTAGTCTTGGTGTATAAAAGTCCTATACACCTTGGGACCAGGGTACCTAAAAAATTGTCATACCCTTTATATAGCCAATTGATAACTGCACTCTGCAGGTGAGGGCCTCCGGCAGTTACTTATCAGGAAGATCTTATCGGGAAGTCCATTTCACATGGTGTAGGACTCAGGCCTTTAATGTTGTGGCACCTACCATTTGGAATTCCTTGCCCTTGAATATTCGACAGGCACTGTCTCTGTAATCTTTCTGGTGCCCATTTAAGACCTTCCATTTTCAGCAAGCCTTTTAAGCTGAGTTTTCCCCTAAATTCAATTGCTTGAGCCTTCGGAAGAGGACTGATAACTTTCAAATTATTCCTCCGCAGCTGAGATTCCAGTAGGGATCTGAATGTTTATCTGAAATGCTTTGATACATTTCAGTAATCCTCTCGTGTGTGTTCAAACACTGCTCAAAATCATCCATTTTTTATGCATCTCTGAAACTTCTATTTTAAGAGCGGTCATATCAGACTCAATCTCAGCTGGATCTTTCTGAATTGGCTTGAGAGCTGCTAAGATCTCTTGTACAACACCAGAGCTCAGGTCTGTTCCAGTCTCCCCTGCCATCAGTTGTGCAGCTGAACTGGCAGCAGCTTCTGTTTCCTTCCTTTGGAATTCCTGTTACTCATTATCAAAGATAGCGTAAAGAAACAAAGAGAATATCTGCCCAATTTGTGAAGTTCTTTTGCTCAGACAGTCTGGTAATCAAGTTGTCCTGAAGGCAGTTAGAAGACAGGAGAAGGGAATTGCTGCTCATGGCGCCATGTGCAGATGAGAAGATTTTTTTCAAACAAGACATTGCCAGTACTATAGACATCAGCTTTGATTACCATACGCATGAGGTGTAGGCAGTTTTGTCTACCTGGGATCCACCATAACCAACAACCTTTCCACTGATGCTGAGCTGGACAAGCATATTGGCAAAGTAGCTATGGCAATGGCTTGCCTCTCCAAAAGGGTTTAGGACCATGTGATGTTAACTTCCAATACCAAGATGGAGGTCTACCGGACTTGTGTGTTCAGCTTGCTGCTTATGAAGTGAATAATGGGCACCTTACACCCGCCAGGAGGGATGTCTCAATGCCTTCCACATGGGCTGTGTCAGGAAGATTTTGGACATCCGATGGCAGGGCAATGTCTCAAACAAAAATGTTCTCTCCCAAGCCCACATTCCCAGCATGTTCACACTTCTATCTCCACAATGTTTATGCTGGCTTGGTCATGTATGCAGAATAGAAGATGGCAGGATCTCCAAGGACGTGCTCTATGGAGAGCTGGCTTCAGGCACCAGGCCCATTGTCAGACCCTCTCTGTGTTACAAAGATGTCTGTAAATGTGACATGAAGGCTGGCAACATGAACTCTGCCATGAGGGAATCCCTTGCAGACGAATGCAGTGCCAAGAGACAGACAGGTTGTGTATCCACAGCAGTGACCAGAGAAGGATTGACTGCTGGGAGGAGCACAGAGAAGAAATGCCATGCTGTACCCGTAGCAGCAAAACCAGACTCCTTCATCTGCCCCACCTGCAATAAAACATGTCTCTCCCGTATCAGTCTCTATAGCCACAGCAGGTGCTGTAACTCTCCAACAGTTTGACTTATCTCCCAATGGTTCACTCTTCCACTGTCTCCCAAGACAGATGGGTGACAACAACAATAATTCTATACCTGCCTATATAGCACTTTTCCACACTCACAACAACCTGTGAGATAGGTTACTATTATTCCCATTTTACAAATGGGGAGTGAGGATGGAGAATAGCAATGCTCAAAGCTATGCAATGAGTCCATAATATCAACCTGAACCTGATTATCTGGGTTTCAATTCCAAATATTTATCTGACAGTTCATGGCTCCATGGCTAGGCTTTTTGTTTCATCCTTTAAGGTATACTTGTCCAGTTCCATCTACTTCATTGAATTTGCAAATTGGAATTTTCAATCCAATTCCCTTTGCTCTGCATTAATGTTCCCACACTATTTCCCTCAAAAATATGGGCTTGTCTTCCCTCCAGTTATTTTTTACAGTTTGCTGCCTTTGTCATGCAACTATATTTCCATAGTTCTGTATACAAAGTCCTTTGTGAAGAAGTCATTTAATTATTTGAAGAAACAAAATTTATCCAATTTGATGAACCAACAATACACTTGGCAATTCTGTTAGCAAATGATGAAATATATACAACTAGCAAAGAACATGCCACACATCCACCTCCATGTTCCCCTCTCTGCTAGTCACACACATCTATCTACTGAAAGGAAAACCACAGTATGTGGGTCCCACTCATTCTGGAATGTGGCAAGGGGAAAGCAAACACTGAGAGCCACTAAGGAGCCTGACTGCCATACTCTGTACTGTTATGCTCCTGCACCCATAACTTGCGCTTTCCTATATGACCAAATCTCCCCCAGGGTGAGAGGCTGGGATGAAAAAGGAGGGATCCCAGGAAGAGCTGGGGGGGGTGAGAATTGCCTGTAGGAAAGGACTCCATATGCTACTTGTTCTGTTTTTTGTTTTTGGAGCTGTTATTTTAGTGTATTGTGAAAATCTTTAATAAAATTATTGATTTACAAAATAAAACCAAATCAGTCTTCAGTGCAGAAGGAAAGGTGTCTATATTTGTTAAACAAATTGAAATAAGAGTCCTCAATTTGTCTGTTCAAACCCAGATAATGCTGAAGTACTTTGTGTAAAAGATGGCACCACAGTCCAGATTTATGTTTCAGATAAACACTGTATCCTCCCATGCTCGTAAGCTCTTCTGAATAAAAAGTACACAATCTAAGTCTACTGAGCCATTCAATTGTCTAGACTACATGTAAACATTCTGAGGGTTACATTAACCACTGGGGTTGCTCATTAGAGCACCTGAAATTTTGATTCTTTTTACTCTTAATTGGTACAACAAACAATATATTTTCCTCATACAAATACACTTCTCTACAATGAACTTGTAAGAGCTCAAGGCATGTTCTGTGAGCCTATTCATTCTATGCAGACAATTTTGATCCCAACCTTAGTCAAAGGAAACAAACTTTACAATTTTGCTAACATCCCTCCAAATGCTTTCAGTAACAAAACATTTTTCTTTATCAATACCTTCTTATTACAGTAGTTTAGATAAAGGGAGAGCTGCTTTCGCTTCCTTTCCTCTATTTCTTCACTTGACTGGTTGTCAACTTTGTCCTGAATTTTCTGTAGTAGCGGGCTTGAAACATTCTCAAACCACTTCTTGTACAGCATTTCCCTCCTCCTTAGAGCTAAGAAATCATTGTGCTTCAAATACCTGTCTACTTCCTAATTGACAGAGAGACTATTGTTAACAAAGCTGGGTCTCTTGTGAACCAGTAAAACAAATTACTTTAAACCAGACACTATTCAAAAATAAAGGACATCGGAAAGAGACAAGTCATTAATCAACTGAAACCCAAGGGGTGCTTGACACACTGAAATATCTGTACACAAAAGACATGCATTTTAATCAAATGTGTAGCCCACTTGTATACCCTTACGCTGAAAATTGCATACTTTGTTTTTTTGCTGTACCAATATCTGCTTTGAAACCATAGCCAATCATATGACAACTGAATGTGAAGATTACTACTGTGTATGGTTTGCTACATAGAAACAGCTTATCTGTAGGACTTTTGTAACATGTAAAGCAGCTGTACTACAACACAATGTTCTTAACTAGAAAAAGTGCATATTCAGAAAAGGTTGCTTTGCAGATAGGAATAAACTAATTAACAGCAAGGCTATAATTTCATAGTTGAGAGATGCAAAATATACAGACCACATGCCACAATTCTGTTTGGCCTTAAGGACTCCTGAATACTTTATGAGAATCTCGTTGATTTTTGAAAATTTTTATTTCTTGCTATTATAGTTTTGAAGAAAATCTTGACGGCGTGGCTTTCACAGGTGGGCTGACCAGAATGAGGGTGGGTTTAGGAGCTAACCCAGCCTCTCTCAACCTTGAATCCCCAGATGTTGTTGAACATTGGTCCTGATAGCTAGGGATGGTGGGAGTTGTAGTCCAACAACATCTGGGGACTGAAGGATGAGAGAGGATGGGCTAGACTATGCCTGAAATTCTGGAATGGAGCGGATTGTCACACTAACTGGCTGGAACTCCACAGGTGCCAAGGACCTGAATAAGAAGCCAGACCAGCTAAAGATATGATGACACTATGATATCCTGATGTACTCTCTGGCCAAGAACCTCCTTAAAGAACAAGGTGAGGCATGTTTGATGGGCAAATACATCACACATACTGGCATTTTCCAAAAGTAGCATACAAGACTATAAAGGCTTCCATAAAGACTATAGAATCATACAATTGTAGTTGGAATGGACCATAAGGGTCATCTAGTCCAACCCCCTGCAATGCAGGAACATGCAACTGTCCCATACGGGGATCAAACCTGCAACCTTGGCATTATCAGCACCACGCTCTTACCAACTGAGCTAAACAACTCCATTATTCTTATGTGAGTAGTGGAGCCAAGACAAGGCAAATCCACACCAAGGTACACATGGTGCAAGAAGACGTACACAGCCCAGCAGCTGATGCATTTGCAACAGCTCACTTCTAGGAGCTGGAAACCTACAATACCCCATTCTTCACCTAACTGAACTATGACCAACAACACCTGGTGCAGAGTGGCCAAGACACAGGCGTCAGACACAGTCCCAGGGCCCAAGTACACAGAGTGGAGGTAACATAGCAGAGTTTGTAAAAGGAGCTTAAGGTGATGAAATTGTAGAATGGTACAGAAGAAGAATAAAAGAGCAGGGAAGGAAATACATGGGATAGCTATATCCAAGGGTAAAGGTAAAAGTAAAGGTAAAGGGACCCCTGACCATTAGGTCCAGTCATGGACGACTCTGGGGTTGCAGCGCTCATCTTGCTTTATTGGCCGAGGAAGCCGGCGTACAGCTTCTGGGTCATGTGGCCAGCATGACTAAACCGCTTCTGGAGAACCAGAGCAGCGCACGGAAACGCCGTTTACCTTCCCGCTGGAGCGGTACCTATTTATCTACTTGCACTTTGACGTGCTTTGGAACTGCTAGGTGGGCAGGAGCAGGGACCGAGCAACGGGAGCTCACCCTGTCACGGAGATTTGAACCGCCGACCTTCCGATTGGCAGGCCCTACACTCTGTGGTTTAGACCAAAGCACCACCCGCGTCCCTTTATCCAAGGGTAAGTTAACACAAATGGAATAAGGCAACTTCCAATTCTTTCTAGCTAGTGGAAGGAGAGATTGCATGCATGATATTGCATGAGATCGTCATGTTCAAACTAATGAAAACTGATGTTTAAAGTTTTTAAAAACCCACATAATTTGGGTCTTAAAAAAGCAAATTATTTGTAAACTCCATTTCTTACAGGGTAAAAGACACATGGGATTTCTATAACCAACACATTTAACATTCCTAATTTTGTTCTTTAAATAGCATGCATGAGAGAGGCAATCATGGCACGTGGGGAGGGAGCCTTTATCTCTTTTCCCCACACCATGTGGTCCTGATGAAAACTACCCTCCTTAGCCCCAGGACAGTTTTCTCCACTCATGGCTGCTGCTTATGGAACAAAATGCAAGCATGCTAACCATTACATACATTTAACATCATGGCTAGCTTGTCCCACAGTAGTTTCCATATACCACATCTATAATGCCACTACATTTCAAGACCCAAGTCAAAAATGTGAAAGGTATCAGATTCAAAAGATATTTCAGCAACCATTGTTGTAGGAGAAAGCATGAGGGCTGGGCGATACTCCAATTTACTGTCTGAAACCGGTATGGCGTTCACTCCCCAGCCACCACGATGTATCGGCAGTTCAAATTGCCTTTGCCCAAGCAGGCAGGCTGCATCTTTCCTCTTGGGTCAGTTGGTCACTCCAGGAGGAAAGACGCAGTCCACCCACTCGGGAGAAGGCAGACACTTGACTGCAGCCTGCCTGCCTTTGCCTGGGAGGGCAGGCTGCATCTTTCCTCCCAGAGCAACCAACCGCCCCAAGAGGAAAGACAAAGCCTGCCCACTTGGGCAAAGTCAGGTAAGCGCCTTTGAGGAAGCTCCAATGCCCTTCCAGCTTGCGCATGAGCCGGAGCAGAATCAGAGCCACCCTCAAACTGCTCATCTGGGCAGGGGGAAGCCTCGCCCCCCCCCCCCAGCTGAGCAAGCGCTGACACCTTTCCGGCTCGTGACAGAGCTTCCTTGAACCGCTCAGCTGGGAGGGAAGCATAGACGCTCGCTCAGCTGTGGAGCAGAAGGCTCTCCCCTCAGCTGAGCGGTTCAAGGAAGTCCTGGGCTCATGCAAACTGGAGAGGCTTTGGGGCTCACTCACCATGTAGGGCTGGGCAATGTATCTCAGCTGCTTCTTCCATCCCTAAGATGGGGAGGAAGAAACAGGCTAGACACATTCAAGACATCATGATATATCGGCATACCACAGTATTTAGCTGCTGATATATCACAATGTGGAAAGCCAGGTACTGCCCAGACCTACTAGGCTTCTTCATATCTGTAGGTCTTCCTCAAACGTTAGAAAGACATATTGTAAACCGACACTGTATTTTGTTTCTTACCCTCACAAAGCAGTTCTCTCTTTCCAGCAGGGCCTGGGTGGAACCAACAACATCCTGTCTTTCATTAACTACAGCCTAATAAAATACCAGCAAAATCTGTGAAGTAAAACTGCTGAATGAAAAGCAGTAATTAAGAATCAATTCTATGAGCAGCACAGCACTGTAGGATAAGTAGATCCATGATTTAAAAAGACACAGGAAATAAAGCTACAGAAACATCTTTTTAAAATGAATGGGATTTGGGTAAGTGCAACTTTGAGGCTATATTGAATTAGAGATAATCTTGGAGTAGAATAAAAAGTGCAAAGAGAAACAAAAAGTGATAAAAGAAGTTGCCATTATTACTTCTTGTACAGATCAGAAGGTTAGAAGAAAAGCAGACTTTTCTGGCTGGAGCTATTAATCCAACATGCTTTAAGACATTTTAAATTAATTTAGAATATAAAGAATACATATTTAGAATATTTAATACTATTAGTATTTACATTAAGAATACATCCTAAAATTGTATAATAAACATATCAATAAAACATTAATATTTTGAGTTTTAGCACAAGTAAAAAAACATTCCCCAGAGTGTACAATACGTAGTGTGCTCCACTTCAGTCCTATTTCAGCTGTAACTAGATAGCTACTGAATCAAAAGGTCAATAATTTAGTGATAAGCATCTATTCTTAATCAAATTCAGGGGCAAACTTACAATCTTTCTTTTGCTAAGCAGACCCAAAATAATTCTAGTCATTAAATCGTCCTGTGGGAAGGATCCTGATGTCTTTTTATTTTTTTGTTGCTGTTTTAAAATGTGTTTTAAAGCTTCTTGTAAACCATATTGGAAATATTGCAGAACATGAACAACTGTAATAAATGAATAAATAATTTGCAGTCCTTCATACATATATTCTTTACCCAAACAGATGTCACATTTAAAAAGTTGTTTCATTTAAAAAATAATTAAAATATAACTGCAGTATAAAAATCCCCATGCAGAGCAGACAGGAACTGAGCTTCATCTGAACCCCAAACTATATGGAACTCAAAGTACAGATGACTTTACAACAACAAAGTGGCTGTCAGTCCTTGTGTACCTTGTACTAATATATTTTGTCAGCCTCATTCTCTAAGAAACCTGTTAACAAGAGTTTCCATCTTCTCTCCAAAGCTGAGAAAGCATAATTAGAGTAGTGCCAGTACTGATTTCTTACTACTGCCGCCAAACTCAGGTGTACCTGCGCAATGGAAAAATGTTTCAGCCAGTTTTCAGAATCTTTGGTCCCTCCAGGTTGAATACTTCTGCCAGCCTTGCTGGGTGATCTACTCAAGGGTGTAGAGACTGCTGGAAGAGACTTACAAGAAAGCAGAGTGGAGTGAGGAATCACAGTGAATATACCATATTCTATCAACCCCAAATTCAAAGTTGCCTACACAAAGGATACAGTATTATCCTCAGCATTCATCCAAAAGAAAGTTGAGAAGGATGGAAAACTACATCCTGAAATCTTTTGCTTTCAGTTCGGTGCAGACAGTACTTAAATGAAATGTAATTCCTTTCCCAGGTCTCTAGAAAACGGAGTGCCCCTCTCCAAATGGAAACAGGGCCATATGTGGGCCACCATAGTCTTCTTGCTCACAGCAGAATATGGCCACCATTTCAGGGCTATAATGGTCTGGCATCCACATTCTGCAACCACTGACTCACCTGCACTTAATCAACTGACCGACTTGATTTTTCTTAAAGCTAATCTTAAGACTACTGTCTTAAGATCCCCTTCATGGATCACTGCCTTGCCGTGGCGAAGGGGATTGAATAACTCAGAGAAGCTATGAGCTATGCTGTGCAGGGCCACCCAAGATGGACAGGTCATAGTGGAGTTTTGACCAAACGTGATCCACCTGGAGCAGGAACCGGCAAGCCACTCCAGAATCCCTGCCAAGAAAACTCCATGGACAAAGACAACAGGCATATAAAAGTTTTGATGCTGGAAGATGAGCCCCTCAGGTTGGAAGGCGTCCAACATGCTACTGGGGAAGAGCGGAGGACAAGTACAAGTAGATTCAGAGCTGATGAAGCAGCTGGGCCAAAGCTGAAAGGACGCTCAGTTGCAGATATGCCTGGAAGCGGAAGGAAAATCCAATGCTGTACAGAAAAATATTGCATAGGAACCTGGAATGTAAGAACCATGAACCTGGGTAAGTTGGATGTGGTCAAAAATGAGATGGCAAGAATAAATATTGACATCCTGGGCATCAGTGAACTAAAATGGATGGGAATGGGCGAATTCAGTTCAGATGACCATCATATCTACTACTGTGGGCAAGAATCCCATAAAAGAAATGGAGTGACTGTCAGGCCTGGTCGTTGTCCTCTTCAGATCACCACACAAACGCTTCTTGTTCTTTTATAACTTTTTATTGCGTATTAACAAAACAATCTTATAAACGGTTCTTAACTATTATTCCTCAGAGTCACTTATTTCAGATACCTTCTGAGCTCTGCTTCTCGGTGACCAGCCCCTCTCAAAATGTCGAAGGTACCCTTCCCTTCGCTTTCCTGCTCTTTTTCCTACCCTCCTGGCTAGAGCTGGCTTGTATCTCCCCTCCTCCCAATCTGAGCTAGAACTTAACCCTTGCCTTTCCTGTGAACAGCCAGTCTCTCCCTGTTGTTCCTCTTGCTCTCTTCTATTAGATTCACTGCTCTCCTTCCCCCCTTGGGGAATGCTTTCTCCCTCTGAGAAACTGGAAACTTCTAACTCTTCCCTGACAGTGACCCTCATAGTCAACAAGAGTGGCGAAAGCTGTACTGGGATGCAATCTCAAAAATGATAGAATGATCTCAATACGAATCCAAGGCAGACCTTTTAACATCACAGTAATCCAAGTTTATGCACCAACCACTGGTGCTGAAGAAACTGAAATTGCCAATTCTATGAAGACTTACAACACCTTATAGAAATGACACCAGAGAAGGATGTTCTTCTCATTATAGGGGATTGGAATGCTAAAGTAGGGAGTCAAGAGATAAAAGGAACAACTGGCAAGTTTGGCCTTGGAGTTCAAAACGAAGCAGGGCAAAGGCTAATAGAGTTCTGCCAAGAGAACAAGCTGGTCATCACAAACACTCTCTTCCAACAACACAAGAGACGACTCTACACATGGACATCACCAGATGGGCAGCATCGAAATCAGATTGATTATATTCTCTGCAGCCAAGGATGGAGAAGCTCTATACAGTCAGCAAAAACAAGACCTGGAGCGGACTGTGGCTCAGATCATCAGCTTCTTATAGCAAAATTCAAGCTTAAACTGAAGAAAGTAGGAAAAACCACTGGGCCGGTAAGATACAATCGAAATCAAATCCCTTATGAATACACAGTGGAAGTGAGAAACAGGTTTAAGGATTTAAATTTGGTGGACAGAGTGCCTGAAGAACTATGGATGGAGGCTTGCAACATTATAAGGAGGCAGCAACAAAAACCATCCCAATGAAAAGGATATGCAAGAAAGCAAAGTGGCTGTCCAACGAGGCCTTACAAATAGCGGGGGAGAGAAGGCAAGCAAAATGTGAGGGAGATAGTGAAAGATACAGGAAATTGAATGCAGATTTCCAAAAAATAGCAAGGAGAGACAAGAAGGCCTTCTTAAACGAGTAATGCAAAGAAATAGAGGAAAACAACAGAATGGGAAGAACCAGAGATCTGTTCAAGAAAATTGGAGATATGAAAGGAACATTTCATACAAAGATTACCATAATAAAGGACAAAAGTGGTAAGGACCTAACAGAAGCAGAAGACATCAAGAAGAGGTGGCAAGAATACACAGAGGAATTATACCAGAAAGATATGGATGGCTCGTACACCCCAGGTAGTGTGGTTGCTGACCTTGAGCCAGACATCCTGGAGAGTGAAGTCAAATGGGCCTTAGAAAGCACTGCTAATAACAAGGCCAGTGGAAGTGATGATATTCCAGCTGAACTATTTAAAATTTTAAAAGATGATGCTGTTGAGGTGCTACACTCAATACGCCAGCAAATTTGGAAAAGTCAGAAGTGGCCAGAGGATTAGAGAAGATCAGTCTACATCCCAATCCCAAAGAAGGGCAGTGCCAAGGAATGTTCCAACTACCGCACAATTGCACTCATTTCACATGCAAGCAAGGTAATGCTTAAAATTCTACAAGGCAAGCTTAAGCAGTATGTGGACCAAGAACTCCCAGAAGTGCAAGGTGGATTTCGAAGGGACAGAGGAACCAGAGACCAAATTGCAAACATGCGCTGGATTATGGAGAAAGCTAGAGAATTCCAGAAAGACATCTACTTCTGCTTCATTGACTACACAAAAGCATTTCATAGAATCATAGAATCATAGAGCTGGAAGAGACCACAAGGGCCATCGAGTCCAACCCCCTGCCAAGCAAACTATGGCAAGTTCTCAAAGAAATGGGAGTGCCTGATCACCTCATCTGCCTCCTGAGAAATCTCTATGTGGGACAAGAAGCTACAGTTAGAACTGTATATGGAACAACTGATTGGTTCAAAATTGGTTCAAAATTGTCTCCCTGCTTATTTAACTTATATGCAGAATTCATCATGCAAAAGGCTGGGCTAGATGAATCCCAAGCCAGAATTAAGATTACCGGAAGAAATATCAACAACCTCAGATATGCAGATGACACAACCTTGATGGCAGAAAGTGAGGAGGAATTAAAGAACCTTTTAATGAGGGTGAAAGAGGAGAGCGCAAAATATGGTCTGAAGCTCAACATCAAAAAAACGAAGATCATGGCCACTGGTCCCATCACCTCCTGGCAAACAGAAGGGGAAGAAATTGAGGCAGTGAGAGATTTTACTTTCTTGAGCTCCATGATCACTGCAGATGGTGACAGCAGCCACGAAATTAAAAGATGCCTGCTTCTTGGGAGAAAAGCAATGACAAACCTAGACACCATCTTAAAAAGTAGAGACATCATCTTGCCAACCAAGTCCCATGGACTGCAAGAAGATCTAATCTATCCATTCTGAAGGAAATCAGCCCTGAGTGCTCACTGGAAGGACAGATCCTGAAGCTGAGACTCCAATACTTTGGCCACCTCGTGAGAAGAGAAGACTCCCTGGAAAAGACCCTGATGTTGAGAAAGATTGAGGGCACAAGGAGAAGGGGACGACAGAGGACGAGATGGTTGGACAGTGTTCTCGAAGCTACGAACATGAGTTTGACCAAACTGTGGGAGGAAGTAGAAGACAGGAGTGCCTGGCCTGCTCTGATCCATGGGGTCACGAAGAGCATTTGTGCAGTACTTTGAATATGTTATAATTTCTTGCAATCACTGTTGTCTCCCTGTGGCCGATGGGGGTCTGAGGCTGAGGGAGAAAAGCTTGTCCAAGGCCATGTAATGCAGGCATGGCAGAGGTAACATTCAAAGCCAGGACACAAGTGCTTAGCTCAGTACATTATTTTTCTTATTTATCTCAAGTACTTATATACAACTTTTCATCTGGAAATTTTCCAAAGAAGTTCATTAGCCATTGTGTTATGCCTGCTTGTAAATATGAAGATCACCCTTCTGAGCAGGGTAAGGAAAATTTCCCCAGATTATTTATATCCCACCTTTTCTCAAAGGACCTCAAAGTGGTGCGCACACTTTCCCCTCCCCTCTCCATTTTATCCTCACAGTGACTCTGTGAGGTAGGCTAGACTGAAAGACTGTGAGTGGCCCACGGTCACCCAGTGATTTTTGGGGCGGAGTGGGGATTCAAATCCTGCTTTCCCTGGTCCTAGTCCATCACTCTAGCCCCCATTGGCTCTTTTGAAATGTAAAGAATCAAGGTCTAGCTAAGGAATTTGGCTACTTATGTTTAGATCAGCTGACCTCACAATGGGAGTTTTAGATTTATCAATTTTTTAAGAAACTTAATTAAATCAAAATGAAATGCTGCTTTAACTGTTTTGCACTGCTAGCACTACATATTTTGTGATAGTACACTGCCAAAGTAGTGGATATAGTCCCACGTTAAGCACCTAGTCACTCACTTGCTTTCGCTCCGCCCTCATCTGCTCCATCTGGGCCCTTGGACAGCGAAGTCTTATGAGCCACTCCAAGTCTGTACTTTCCTGCCTTGGCACTCCAGGGTAGACCTAGTATGAGATTGTTGAATTAGCAAAAAGGGGGGGGGGGAAGAGCCCACTAGTCTTAACAAACAAAAATATTCAGAGGCCTTTAAAGAATATACTGGCTCCTCTCAACAGCTTCAGATCACAGCTTGTCAAGCCAGACGTCAACTTTCTAATAACTCACTCTAAAAGTATATGTATCTTGTAGGCTACTGAGTGGAATGGGGAACCAGTACTTAGTACAACAGAACTTCTCTACAATAGACAATAAGTGTTCCAAAGTTAGGTCATAGGACTGTGACATCAGTCCTCAATTCCAACTTATTCAATTCTTTGAGATGTTTTTCTTTATTCCCTAGAAGTTCTTTCTACCTGAAAGAACATGGCATAACAGCAATGGATATGCAGAAATTAGATAAGGTGACTAAGCAGAATGTACTTGGCATAGTGTTATGGAAATATTAAGTGCTGTATCTTAGAAGTACAATGCACACATACAGTGCTTCCCAAAATTCTCGTCTTCTGCTATAGTTCTGAGAAACTATGAAACAGGCCAATTACAGCACAAACATGCAATACATCTTTAATGATACATAAGAAACTGGTTTAACAGTGTTTCTATGTAGCTATCACACTAAGATTTCAATAGCTGTACAGTGGTACCTCGGGTTACGAACAGTCCTGCTTACGAACGCTTCGGGTTACGAATTCCACAAACCCGGAAGTAGATGTCCCAGGTTGTGAACTTTGCCCCGGGATACGAATGCAATCTGCTTCTGGGGCCGCGGGAGGCCTACATATGTAGGGAATGCATGCCTCAGGTTAAGAATGCTTCGGGTTAAGAACGGACTTCCAGAACAAATTACCGGTTTTTTTGCTCTTTAAGACTCACTTTTTCCCTCCTAAAAAGTAAGGGGAAGTGTGTGTGCATCTTATGGAGCGAATGCAGGCTGCACAGCTATCCCAGAAGCCAGAACAGCAAGAGGGATCGCTGCTTTCACTGCGCAGCGATCCCTTTTGCTGTTCTGGCTTCTGAGATTCAGAATATTTTTTTTCTTGTTTTCCTCCTCCAAAAACTAGGTGCGTCTTGTGGTCTGGTGCGTCTTATAGAGCGAAAAATACGGTAAGTTTGTAACCCGAGGTACCACTGTAAATGATTGCATTACCACATCTCAATTTTTATGCTTTTTTTTTTTTTAGATTCTCTGGGAGCTACAACCAAAGAATGGCTAATACAATGGTACCTCGGGTTAAGAACTGAATTCGTTCCGGAGGTCCATTCTTAACCTGAAACTGTTCTTAACCTGAAGCACCACTTTAGCTAATGGGGCCTCCCGCTGCCGCTGCGCAATTTCTGTTCTCATCCTGAAGCAAAGTTCTTAACCCGAGGTACTATTTCTGGGTTAATGGAGTCTGTAACCTGAAGCGTCTGTAACCCGAGGTACCACTGTATATCTTTTAAACATATAAATAAATAGTCCTTAAGGGAGCTGAAAGTGGGTGGAAAGAATTACAGCTTCCCATGTTTAATTTGCCACACTTATAACACTTTCATACAGATGTTCCAAGTTTTTTAATCAACACAAAACCTGTAAAACCTATTTGAGTTGAAAGTTAAATGTATAAACAACCAACAAACCATAATTCATTTCCAAATCACCAACTCTAAAAACACTAGCATCCATCTGTCACCAGCCTTAGCCACAACAGATTTCTGAAAATTCATTTGTTTAACTTGTATCTGTTTCCCTTCACACAACAGGAGATAAAGAATATTTAACAAATTAGTAGATAGATTATTTTTTAACAGTATCCAGCTCCTTCTAGTCATCTATCTTCAATTGCCAGTTTAGTTTACAGTGGTACCTCTGGCTATGTACTTAATTCGTTCAGGAGGTCCATTCTTAACATGAAACTGTTCTTAACCTGAGTTACCACTTTAGCTAATGGCACCTGCCGCTGCCGCTGCGCTACTGCCGCGCAATTTCTGTTCTCATCATGAAGCAAAGTTCTTAACCCAAGGTACTATTTCTGGGTTAGCGGAGTCTGTAACCTGAAGCATCTGTAACCTGAAGTGTATGTAACCCAAGGTACCACTGTACTTATACAGTCATGCCTCGGGTTGAAGTAGCTTCGGAATAAGTATTTACGGGTTGTGCGCTGCGACGACCCAAAAATAATGGAGTGTGTTACTTCAAGGTTTCGCTGCTTGCGCATACGCAGACGGTCAAAATGATGTCACGCGCATGCACGGAAGCGGCGAATCGCGACCCGTGGGTTGCGTTCGCTTCTGGATGCGAACGGAGCTCCAGAACGGATCCCTTTCGCATCCAGAAGTACCACTGTAAAATGTGTTGGCTGATTTTCCACCCAAAGGTGCACAAAGACAATAAATATCCATATGCTATTTCCTGGGCAGATGAAGTTTTGTGGCACATCCTGTTCTACATTCTGTCTCTCTAATGTTATTGTTGTTTATTAAATTTGTATACCTCCCATCATCCATAGATCTCAGGGCGGTACACAACATAAAACAGAGGATTGCTTCATGGGATCAGTAGGAAACTAAGTAACAGTGCTCTCTGAAATCCCCCTCCCAAGTCAGACACAGCTTGTCTTTAAGAAGGGATAGCATTTTTGAAAATTTTAGAAGCATTGTGGCGACATATATAACACAAATCTTAAATACTGTGAAAGAAAGGAAAAGCAAACAGAAGAAGGCTCTTATGAACTGATGCACTGTTACCGTCATCATATCCATCAAAAATTAAGAATCAGTTGTGTCTGGAATTCAGAATGCATCAGCTTTATTGCATTTCTTCAAGAAAACATTTGACCTTCTGTACCTGGTAAGGTGTAATAGGCATCCATTCTGTAAGCGCTATAAAATCCTCTTCTTTATCCAAATGCGAGAATCCAGTCTTTGTAGGCTGTAATGATATTTGCTGGATAAATTTAAAGTAAAAAAACCATCTAAGGCAATGCTTACTTGAGAGTATGTCTCATTGTCACATCCTTCTGACTTAAGAGTGAGCAGGAAAGGTCTCACAGCAATAGGCTGATGAGCTTTAAGTTCCAAGGGATTTCCCAGTTTCAAAACAAGTGTGTTTCTTAAAAAAGGGTGAGAGCCAATGTAATGCAAGTGTCTGCTCACACAAGGGGGTTTCTCTTTCCTCTCATCCCTCCTGCACCCTCCCAACCCCCTCAAACGTTCCTCTAGCATGCAAGGGGGCTAGATGCAGAAGAGAAACTGAAAATCATGTTGCACAAGCCAATTTCCATTGAACAAATGGACATACTGTATATCACCGCATGTTGCCCCAAGAGTATAAACTTAGTTTATTTCAGTCATTAAAAAGATGATTTAATTGGCTTGGAAAAAATGCCAATATTTTTCACCTTCACAGGACAACCAAGCACTGAGGAAAATAAAGTGAGGGTTGGGAGTAGGAATTTTTAAAAAATCAGACTAGAAAAATTGTCTTTCCACTAGGGAGGGAAATGTCGTCGCGCCATTCCTTGGTGTGTGGAGTGCCGCAGGGCGCAATTCTCTCCCCAATGCTTTTTAACATCTTTATGCGCTCCCTTGCCCAGTTTATCCGGAGCTTTGGGCTGGGCTGTCACCAATATGCTGATGACACTCAGCTCTATCTGCTGATGGATGGCCACACCGACTCAGCCCCGAACACACTGACCAGATGCTTGGAAGCTGTGGCTGGATGGTTTCGTGGGAGCCGATTGAAACTAAATCCTTCGAAGACTGAGGTCCTATGGCTGGGTTGGGATGGCATGGGGATGAGGGACCAACTCCCTTCTCTTGCGGGGGCCCAATTAGTGCCATTGCCTTCCGTTAAGAGTTTGGGTGTAATCCTTGATGCCTCCCTTTCCATGGAGGCGCAAGTTACAGCAACAGCCAAGGCGACATTTTTCCACCTTCGCCACATCAAGCAGTTGGTCCCTTACCTTTCCCACCCTGACCTGGCCACAGTGATCCATGTGACGGTCATCTCCAGGCTTGACTACTGTAATTCGCTCTACGCGGGGCTGCCCTTGAAGCTGACCCAGAAACTCCAGAGGGTGCAGAATGCTGCAGCGAGGCTCCTCACGGGGTCTCTGCCATGGGAGCATTTCAAACCCAGTGCTTTTCAAACTGCACTAGCTTCCGGTAGAGTTCAGGGTCAGATTTAAGTTGTTGCTTTTGACCTTTAAAGCCCTTCACGGCCTAGGACCCTCGTACCTATGGGACCGCCTCTCCCGGTATGCCCCACGGAGAGCCTCAAGGTCCATAAATAACAACACCCTAGTGGTCCCAGGCCCTAAGGAAGTTAGATTGGCTTCAACCAGAGCCAGGGCCTTTTCAACTCTGGCTCCGGCCTGGTGGAACGCTCTGCCTCATGAGACCAGGGCCCTGCAGGATCTGATTTCTTTCCGCAGGGCCTGTAAGACAGAGTTGTTCCGTCTGGCCTTTGGCTTGGAGCCAATTTGATTCCCTCCCTCTCTTTCTTTTTTCCTTTCCGTCTCCTCCTGCGATGAGGCTACATTTTAATATTTTAATATTTTAATGTTGTATTTTAATTTTGTTTTTAAGTTGTAATCATTCAACTTGTTTTTATTATTGCTTGTAAGCCGCTCTGAGCCCGGCCTTGGCTGGGGAGGGTGGGGTATAAATAAAAAATTATTATTATTATTATTATTATTATTATTAAATCAGATGCTTAAAAAAAAATCAGACTATCTGTTTTTTAAAAATCATACTATATGCTTGGAGATATTGTGTGTGTGCATCTGACGTGGCACAGCCCTTACTACTTTATGCTCACAAGATACAGGAAGCCCCAGCTGACACAGCGTCCAGGCGAATTAAGCAGATGTGCAAGAAGAGGGTAAGTAGAGCCCCTTAAGTTAATAAGTTTATTAAAATAAACAGTGAGACAGAATAGTAAGGGCGCAGTAAGGGCATTGTGTGCTAAGACCCAAATCTAGAAAAAACTTTTAACTCAGGAGCTAAATTCTACGAGTAGGAAGTCTTTAGAAAAGCTCTCAGGAGAGGGAAGTGCTCACATGCCCATGTGCTGCTTGCAGGTTTCCCACAGACATCTGACTGGCCAGATCCAGCAATCTTATGTTCGTATGACATGGGAATTTCATGGGGTCTCCTACATTTTCATGTATCACATTAAATTTATTTTGAAATATTCAGTGTTGTTGTTTAAAAGTACTTAATATGCTATGCTTTGAACTGCATATGCATAAGCACTACTACTTGTTATGTCCAAGTTGCACCGGTCAACTGGATCGAGGAGGAGTTTAGAGCAAGAGGGAATGAGTTTATCCCCACTGCATTTTGAGTATATGTGACACATGAATTTGACTAATTTTTAAAAGCAAAATCTAAATATAGAGGCAGAATTTGAGCAATTATGTAGTTCTTTACTAAATCAACCCAATGCCCAATTATCCAGGTTGCACACTGAGAACTGTTGTGTCACAAAGGTTCATAGACATTGCTGTCCTCTTCTCAAGTCTTAGATACATTAAAGTCAGGTTACTAAAATATCGACCTTTTTTCCTTGGGCGTATCTACGATATCGATGCCGGGCTTTTGGACAGCAAACTTTTATAAGCCAGTCTTCTCCTGAGCTGTCACTATCTAAAGATGTTGCTGAATCAGTCTAGAAAAAACAACAAGCAAACACATTAAAGTAAGCATAAACAATGAAAACTTTCTGCATAGATGGCTTTCCCCACCCTACCGCGACCAACCAACTAGAACTGCCATTTGTAGAAATGCCAGTGTGTTTAGAAGCCTATAAAGAATGTTCTTTATAAAGTTCAGGTTCTTCTCAGATGTCAACTGCTAAGTAATGGGGGAATCCTCCTAACTAAATAATCAGGTGTGATCCCTACCTCTTGCTGAACTGCCCATTCTAGAACAGGGATGGGGAACCTGTGGCCCTCCAAAGAGTTGCTGGGACTACATGTCTCACCACTGGCTATGCTGATGAGGCCTGCTGGGAACTGAAGGCCATGAAGATCTGGAGGGCCAAGGGTTCTCCATCCATGTTTAGAACAGTATCATTTATAGAGGGAAATGAAGGTTGGAGTTGGATGGGGAACAGACGACTACCTCAGTGCTTAAGGTGGCCCAAACATAACTAACATACTTAAGCTGCAGGATACATGCACCACTTGGAGAAAATCTGCTGTCTACTTCATGGGGGTGGGGGGGAAAAAACTCTTTGCATATTCATGTTATCACTAACAGGGTATTTATAACAAGAATTAAGATTTTGCAGCTTCTGATGTTTTATTGTTTATTATTACATTACATTTTTGTGCTTGTAATTATGTGTTTTTTCATATGGTTTTAACTACTGAAAGGCGGCTAAGGAATAAAACTATGAATGGATGGGTGTAAATGCAGTCAGTTTAGATTATCTGTGCAATTATGAGACACCCCCCCCCCCCGGGTTTAAGATTGTAGCTTGTTGTTTGCCCTCTGTGGTTTTAAGCACACATGTAAATATTTTGCCCAAGCTATGCAGTTTTATGGTTCTGGGACTCTTAGCCCCGAGTTTAAACTTTTATGGCAGTGGTTTCCTCAACTTGCCTTGCCTTGTAGAGACAAAGGAAGGTCTTATCCCAAAGATGCTTCATGTGGTTAAAATCTGCAAGCGACAGAAGGTAAGTACACCCCCCCCATGAAACATCAGGTGATGCTGTACCTTTTAGGAACTTCAGATACTTGCTTAGACACGCTTTTAGTAGCAATGTTTACTCGTTTTTGGAAGCCAGCAAGTTGCCCAGGAAGCCAACTACACAACTTCAGGTGAAATGTGCAATGTGTAGTGCCTTATATATTGCCATTTATTTTAAATCAGGATTGGTTTAAACCTAAATGGGGCTTATGTTATCTTGCCAGTGGTGTTCTATGGATTTTATTATAGATTTTGTGTGGAAGCATAACTGTAATTCTACTTCCAGCTGGTTATGGATGAGCAATGCCTCAGCAGTGCTAAAGAATCCTAGTGCTCAAATGACCTACGGTAAATCTAGTTTGCATTTTGAAAACTGAAGGGATGGTTCTGGCTGTTGTGTGTGACAGACAGCAGCGCCAGGCTCAGAAATTCCAACAGAGGGCTGAAGCCTCTCTCTGATTGGCTACCCAGCCAGCCAGCCAGAAGGGGGTGGAGCCAGCCCTTTTGGAGGGAAAATAAACAGGGCTGCTTCTGGGGGAGAGTTAGGGTTGGCTTTGAGGGGTCAGACAAGGTTCAGGCTGAGAAATAGGGCTTGGTTGAGATGGGAGAAAGGGATGAGGAGAGGATTTGACTGAGGGAGAACTGGCTCTGATCCAAGTGGCACATCCGCTCGGAGGAGACTCTCTAGCCAGAGGAAGGAGCCTCGCAGCTTGGCTAGGAAGAGCGGGTGGAGGGTCTGGGGAAGGTCTTCTGACAGGAACTAACTGGAGGGCTGAGTCTGAGCCAGGAGAGGGAGAAGAAGATGGGGGAAGACAGACGAAGCGGGGTCTCCTTCCAGGCGGGAGGGAGAGATCTTCTAGGCCAGAGCTTTCCAGACTTTTCATCTTGATGACCCACTTGTCAGAGATGCCTCGTTTTGGGACACACTACTTCCGATTTACTAGCAAACGGGAGGCTAAACAAAGCCCTTTCTAGCCCCGGAAGGAGCGCAGGGAACATTGCTCTCTTCTTGGCAAAGAAGACCCCTAAGCCAGTAACAAGGGGGAGGGGATCCCCTGGGTCTGTTGTACTATTTGAAAATACCTCAGTACAGTGGTGCCTCGCAAGACGAAATTAATCCGTTCCGCGAGAGTCTTCGTCTAGCGGTTTTTTCGTCTTGCGAAGCAACCCTATTAGCGGCTTAACGGATTAGCGCTATTAGCGGTTTAACGGCTATTAAAGGCTTAAAGGCTTAGGGGATTAGCTGCTAAAAGGCTATTAAAGGCTATTAAAGGCTTAGCAGATTAGATAAAGGGGGGGAAAAGCGAAAAAAAAATCTCAAGACTCGCAAGACATTTTCGTCTTGCGAAGCAAGCCCATAGGGGAATTCGTCCTGCGAAGCAACTCCAAAACGGAAAACCCTTTCGTCTAGCGGTTTTTCCGTCTTGCGAGGCATTCGTCTTGCGGGGCACCACTGTAGTGGGATTGCTAAGAGAGGGGAACTGAGGAAAAGTGCCCCTCACTTATGAACCAGGGTATTCAATTGGGAAACACTGGCCAGTGAGCACTCCAGTTGGAGAACAGCCTTGACCAAAGGTGTCATAGACTTTGAAGACACTCGAACTCAGGACGCAAGGGAGAAACATGCTAAGAGGAAGGCACGCTTGGCAAATCCTCACCGTGACCAACTCCCGTCCGGAAACCAATGTCCCTGCTGTGGAAGGACGTGTGGATCCAGAATTGGCCTCCACAGTCACTTACGGACTGACTGTTAAAACCGTGTTCATGGAAGACAATCTTACTCGGCTAAAGAAGATTGCCAAAGAAGCAGCAGCAGCAGCAGCTGTGTCAAAAGTATTTAACTGTAATACCTATAACAGCTAAGTAAAGAAACGAGAGGGAAGTAGCAGAAACTGAGTTAAGCATTTTACCACCTATTCAAGAACCTTGAACATCTACCTGAAGTGTAACAACTGATTTTTAGCATCCGAAGTTTAAGAAAAACTGTGTGTTTAAGCCTGCAATATCCTTATATTTAGTTTAAGTGATGTTGACTTCTACCTGAAAGAACACATCTCACGACCCAATTTTGTTTCACAAACTACTTCTTTTTGTAACTAAAACTTTTATTGTTTGATCAACTCCTACCTCCTCTAAATCACACAAGAATTGTGGTAAATTGTAGACTTTCATTTAATTGGCATACTGTGAGGTGCATCCACTATATTTAATTGGGGGCAGTAAAAGGAGTAAATCTACATATTAATTGGGAAATATATAAAAAAAATGTCCAGTAGCACTTGAGAGACTAAGTTTGTTCTTGGTATAAGCTTTCGTGTGCATGCACACTTCTTCAGATATTAATTGGGAGTTAACGGTGAGAGCTGCTACATGTAAGCCAGAAAGTCAGCCGGCAGCTTTTTTGCCCCGTTTGACATCTTTATCTGCTGCCGCCCAGAAGAGCCTTCAAAGAATTGCACCCGTTACCAAGGCGGCAGAATCCCAGGCGTGGTTGGCCTACAGCGCCCATCATGCACGGCTTAGAGCGCCGGTGCTGCTCACGCCAAGGCTGCCGGTTCGATCCCCGTGCGGGACAGCCGCCTCTTCCTGCCTTGCAGGGGATCGGCCCAGATGCCTCCCAGGGTCCCTTTCCAACTCCACCGTTCTAAGGCCCTGCGCCCTCTGGGGAACCGCGTCCCGAGGCGGAGAAGGGCTGGTCCGCAGGGGCGGCCTTCGGAAAGCGAGGCCCCGGGGTCCCTCTGGCCGTCGCCACTCACTCGGTCGGGGAGGCCCGGAGGAGGATGGTGCTCTTTGGGCGTGGATGTCATTGGCCCCCGCTGCCCTCCGGCGGCCCCGCTGCCCTCCGGGGCCTCCATGCCCGCCGGGGTCGGGCGCGGCCTCGCCCAGCGCAGCCCGCCGGGGTCAGAAGCGTCCTCGCCGCTCGCCGGCGGAGGGGCTAGGAGGGACGCAGCGCGCCGGCGGAGGGACGCCCCTCCGCCGGGGGAAAAGAGTCCCTCGGCTTCTCCTTCCCGGAACTCCCTACGGAGTTCCGCTGCTCCCGAGGAGTGGCTGCCTCTTACCGGGCTGGGAACGGGGCTTCGGTTGGAAACACACGCGAGTCCCACCAGCCCCAGGAAGAAAACGGCAAGTCGCCTTGCTGTATTCATCCGCGGAAGGCGGCCAAGGCGCCCGAAGTCCCGCTCGTAGCCATGGCGATTCGGGACGAGAAAGGAGCTCCAATCAAAAGGGAGCGCGCTGCCCGAGGAGCCAATCGCTGGCCTCCGCCATTCATCCGCTGAAGAGGCTCGTGGTTGCAGCGATTGGCTTCGGGGAGACGACGGGGCGGGCTGGTCCTTCAATCCACTTGCAAGTAATTATCATCTCAGCCAGGGATGGTGCGCCTGAGCATGTGCAGAGAGCCAGCCCCTCCCCAAGCGCCTCCCTGGCAGCAAGGATGTGGGGACTAGCCACTTGATAACTAGTTATAAATTATCTGGGGAACCCAGAATTTCCATAACAGTGGAGACGCCCAGAGGGCATGTGCGGTCTGGCTGCACACATTCCATGCTATAACCAATTCACCTGAGAGAGCGAGAGCGCAGATAAAGTGACCTAGGGGAGCATTTGCTGATTAGTGTGGCACTTTCCGGCTTAACATGCCTCTCCTGTCTGTTGGAGCTATTACATGTGCTGCTGAAGCAAGGTTGCATTTTCCATACTCTGCAAGTGATCCGATTTTCCAGGGACAGTCCCAGAATTACGAAAGCGACGCCAGCTTCTGATCTGATCTCGGAATGTCCCTATCCCCCACCCGCACCCCGCTCCGTGCTGCTGCTGCGGATTTCAGGGAGGAAAATGAGCCGGTGCTTGTTCTGAGTGGTGACTGCGACTGGCGGCTGCGAGGGAGCATCCCATTGCTTCTCCATGGCCATCGCTGCCAGCCTCCTCCCTTGGGCAGCTGCTGGAGAGCGGGTCAGGAAGACGAGAGGCGGCTGCTTCGCATGCCCAGCCTTTCAGGAGGCACTGGCCCGGCACTGGGCAGGGCCGCCCAGAGTGGGAAGAGTGGGGGAACAGAGCACAAGGAGTCTTGCTTTTCCATTCAGAAATGTGTCTAATCTTGCCCCTTTCTATAATTTATCAGTGTATGTTTTTCTTTTTGTAAATCTACCAAATAATGAATTAAAATCGGGATTAAGGGGTTTTCTCAGACAGTGGAGGATGTATGTACTGTGTCCTGCTGGTGTAGGGATGGTGGCACTTGCTGTGAGGGGGGGAAGGCAACAAATGGGGGTAAAGGAGGATCAGTTGGGAGGAGTGAGAAATGTCCCTATTTTTATCTGAGGAATGTTGGAGGGTACACGTTTTCAATGGTAAATCTTTGTACATGAATGTTTTTACTTTACTTTAATTTTACTTTGCGGCCCAACTAATTAACAGCAGTTTATACCACATATGCAAATGACAGTTTTGTCTTTTCAATGTATTATATATGCAAGTAATTGTAATACTTGGCATGTTGTAGGACATTTTTGCAAGTTCAGAACACTTCACATGCATTACCCCAGTAATTCTTCCACCAACTTGGCATAGGTCAGTATTACTTCCGTACTGCAGGAAAAGGACAGGGTAACACTTTGGGGTTACATCTGGTATTTAGCTGCTGATGCTAAAGTACAAAGTAAGTGCAAACAATATAGGTGGCATTTAGACCTAACAGCAAACATTTACCATTATGAGTAGAGCAGCCTTGAGCTTGCAGATTTCCTCTTCCTCATGAGTAAGTAGACACTTCAGCTGGTTTGCTATTCTCTTCCAAACCATGCTTATAATGGCAAGCAATGGTGATGTGAGTGGGCTAACTCTTCCTGTACCCCCTTTTCTTCAGATATACCCTCAAATCACACACACACAACCCCAGTTTTACCCTTCACCAGCACATCCATTCACTGAACATAAATGGAGAGAAAGTTTGGTGTACAAGTACATTGTTAAACACATATCATTTAAATTCTCCTGATAGCTTAAAATGAAAGAATGATGCCTTCGCAACACTAAGAAATTCTGTGGAATCAACCAAAGTAGGGATTTCTGCATTCTTGGGGGACTCCCCAAATATGCAGAAAGATACTTGTTTATTAATCAAACCAAACATCATGAGGATTGAACATGCTCACTAAACTCCAGGAGGTATGCAGTGTTGAAGTATTGACTTCCAAAGCTAAGAGTCTTTAAAACACCATCCACAGCAGGGAGGGAGAGGAAAATGTGCTCTGGACCCCATACTCTTACAATTGGTACTTTGGTTCTTGAACGCCTTGGTACTCGTACGTTTTGGCTCCTGAACGCCAAAAACCCGGAAGTAAGTGTTCCAGTTTTCAAATGTTCTTTGGAAGCCAAACGTCTGACACTGCTTCCGCTTGAGTGCAAGAAGCTCCTGCAGCCAATTGAAAACTGTGCCTTGGTTTTCGAACGTTTTCAGAAGTCGAATGGACTTCTGGAATGGATTATGTTCAAGAACCAAGGTACGACTACTTGGGGCTAGATGGGAAAACGTTATTTCACCTAGCCCCAACCCTCAGCAGATAATGCTATTGGAACTTACAATATATTGCTAAACTGATTAGGTTCAGGGCAAGCAGCTTCCATTCACCTTGCGCCAAATCTCAGCTTCAAGGGCAGATTAGAAAACAACTCCAATTCCAGAGCTCAGCAAAACTGCAGTTTCACGATCGTCACCCTTGTAGGGCAGTGCTTTTTTTCAGGGGGCACTCAAGGGTACGCAGTACCGGCACATCGTTTGTTGTTGTTAAAAAGTGTGGCACTTGCTGTAACGACTTCATGGTGAGTACGGGCACCTATTTTTTCTAGGGAAAAAGCACTGCTGTAGGGCCCCAGTCTATATCCTTGTGTAAGCTAAGTACTTCAGAGAGAGTATGGCCTTAAACTTGTGCCTGGTAACTAACAAGAGGTGTTAAGGAATAGTTTGTGCATTCATGTGACAATCACAGAGTGGTTCGCTTGCAGTGATCATCCATAGTTAATAGGTCAATGCTTCTAACGGACTCTGACTCCTCTATCAGTGTAGCTAGCTTATAGCCAGAAAAATGCTGGAGAAATCCTGCATTTACAGTAAGTGAGCATTGTGTCAAAATATAAAGACAAATGGCCTAATACATTTTAAAGTATTTGCTTTATGTCATATATCAAATCTCTTGTTACCTGGTACAGATCAGCAAGGAGTTCCTTTTCCTTTAAGCAGTAATGGGAAGAAAATTTTCAGCAGCTGAAGCTTTGCCTGTTATTGATGCTTTGTCAGAGAAGTTACATTTCACAACATCCTGCTTTGGGGGCAAAGGGCATTTTATAGTCTGTGCTTTAGCAGCAAACACCCTTTAATTGGCTGTCAGATAGAGTTACTCAGGAAAACTCTTGATAAAAACCAGCAGTTACACTGGAATGTTTATTGCCCTCATCGAAAGCTGGGTGTGTTCTCTTCTCTCCTCCATTCTCAAGTCAAGGCTTTCTCCTCCCATTCATTATGTTCCGTGCATGGCTGGCCCAAGACATGTTTCTGCCTGAGGCAAAGAAGATGGCACCTCTGCATTCCACATGCAGAAGCTGACAGAACAGCAAATTGACACTGGAGGGACCCTCAGGGTACCAAACCTTATGGGAAACAGCCTTACTAGAAAAGCTAACCAACAAATTGAAATTAGCACGAGGACAAACAAGAGAGGATGCCTTCCACCCTGGAGTGGCTCCCTTTTATTACATATACAGCCCAAGGAGACAACAACATCGCCTCCCCCCTCCTGCCCCAACAGCATACAAATCAATATGGCTAACTTGACCCAACAACCCCTAGCCACCCAAGCCATGAACAAAACTCACTGCGAACAACCATGCCCTAGCCTCCCCAACAGTGTTTGATACTCCCATTGTTCCAGTCACATTTTGCCACTGGCAACCCCACATCTTTCTCCCCCCAATCTGACAGTGTCTATGACAGCAACATCTCACACCAAATGTAATTGACCTGTGGATAGGACTCTATGAACTGAAAACAGAGACATTATATGTATGTTTGTTATCAATGACAATCTTTCACAAAAAACAAATTTAAAAAGCACTCGTCACAGGATAACATCCTTCACTGCACTTTAGGACAACATGTGGGCTTAGGGAGTGTGGGCATCTCCATCCAGAGATCAAAGATTACAGATTTCAGTTCCTTTCCTAACCAGAAAATCTACGTGGAGTATAATCCCGATTACTGCAATGCTGTGATACAAGATGATTGCTAAATATGGAAATTGCAAATGAAATGTCTTGGTGCACTTATTTCGGATCAACCATTCAGACCATGATGCTCTTGTTCTCTGTGAGGATAAGTATACTTCTCTGGATTTACCTTGCAATAGGTCCAGTAGCATGTGGTAAAAGCAAATAAATATAGTAGATAGAAAAGTTTTTTCATTGGATGTGATAAAATTGGGTATCTGGTTATTTTAAGTTAATGAAGTAATTTAGACAAAGTTCCATATTTACCATTCAAATATCCAGTATTAGAAATCCAACAAATAGGGTATATTGTCAGCAAAAATATGTGTGCTGCTATTGTAATAATTCTTAGCCTTGTTAATTTCACACTCGGCTTAAAAGATCTTCATTATTCATTTGCGTTTGTGCACTTGGATTGGCTGTGATATAGTGGTGCCTTGTTGTGTTTGGCACATATTAATGGAAAAGGTGTCTGGCTGCCTTTTTCTTTCAAAACTATAACATTCAATTTTTTCTTCAGCCGAGACAGTCCTAGTGCTTATTAAACGAAATCCTTCTTTGAGTAATAAGTCAACCAGCAGGCCCAGCACATTAGTTCCATTAATCAATTTCCTCTGATCAGGTTTTATAGAAACATATCTGGAAAAAACCATGAAAAAAATGTTAGTGCCAGCATGTACCAGATAGTATACACCTACGCTTGGTATTTTGCCTGCTACCAGTGCAATAAAAATTATCAGTAGCAGTCTTGCCTTAGTTATTGCACATGCCTAAATATAAACTAGAAATTGATTAAAGCAGACAGCTGAGGTATAAGGTATATGATGAATGTAGTAGAATTAGAGTTGGAGCAGGAAGAACCTATTTGTATGAAGCAGGGTTTAAAAGAGAACGTCTGAAAAAGGTATGAAAACTTGTCAGAGTTGCATGAGAGTACATATGCTATTTGTATTGTGTTAGCTTTGAAATTAAGAAAAATACCTTGCTATAAACTGATCACTGTAGTCAGTGCCACACTGGAAAATGACATCATGATGGGAAGGCCTCTCCAAAGAAAGGGGAATCAACGACTTCTGTGAAGGGTCATTATGGCTTTTCCAAGTTGTTCCAACAAGCTTTTCTGAAAATACAGTGATTCTTCCAGCCAGTTCACCAATAGTGATGCTACAAGAGCCAAATACCCGGAAAAAAGCTTGCATTTCTTGGAGCAAGAATCGTATTTCCAAGATCTCTAGTTTTGGTTTCAACAAACTTTCTGGACTCAGAAGGTCAGCCAGAGAGTAAATTTCATAGAAATCAGCCTCTCTCTGCAGCCTCTGGTAGTCTGAGAAGTCACTGGGCAGAGAAAGCTGTCGTGTTCTTAGGAAGTCCAGGATATAGCTGAACAGAACTCCATCACGGTCTATAAAGAACTGGCCATTCACCAACCTACATTCTAAGTCATCGCCACCCAACATCCTTGCCAATCTAGATTCAGGGAATTGCTGTAGCGTAGAACGCCATGTTGTGAATTTCACTCCTCCCACATTCAAAATGCTCACATCTTGATTGTTCATTTTTCTCTTCTCCACAGGAAAACTGTGTCTTCTGGCAGTGTCTCCAAACTACATACGTAGAGGCAAAGAGCAAATCCTGTCCTGTGTTATGGGAGAAAAAGGCTGAGCAGACAGGATTCCCCAGCAACAACGCTGAAGTGTATAGTTTTGTTTACAAGGCTGGGTTGGTTGCTTGGGAAACAAAATACTGCAACTGAAATAAAGCATCATTTTAAAAAAACATGTTGAAAGTCAACCAGTAAGATCCTGACTGGCCAGAATAGCATCCAGTTTAGGACAGATCATGACCTACTTCCTTCACCCACAACAACAATCTACCCAAATGAGCTGCCTATCTGTGAGGCAGATATTCACAAATGCTACTATAGCTCAGTTTTGTGATCAAGGAGCTACATAGGCCTGTCCTGAAAGCAAACAGATTTGTAAATTCCTATATTGGGCTACAATCCTAACCCTTTACCTGGGAGTAAAGACTTACTTCTAAGTAGACATGGTGGATATTTCACTTTGGGGACAGAGGCTGATCTTAGGATCAAGTTCAAAATTTTTGTTAAGATAAGCAGCAATTTGGTATTGGAGTTCTCAAAGAACTCTCGGGTCACCCTAAAGGATACTAATATGCCAAACCCTGGGTACGTGTGGGGTTAGGGGAGGAGTAGTACCTCTGGTAGGGGACAGATCGTGTTCATTTGAGGGCAGTTTGTCCACCTCTGGGCCCCACCCTGCACTCAGCTTGCAGCTCGCAGCTGTCATCATGGGACAGTGGCCACAACTCAGGAAATTCCTTCAACTTGCCAGCTCATCCAGGTGGGGGTAGCCAATTGGTCTCAAAATCCTTTGTGGATTAGGGACTTCCCTTGCATGTGAAGATGGGCTCCAGTGGATTAAGCAGACAGGAATAATAGTGGGTCCAACAGTCAAGGTGGTTTCTGCACGTGCTGTAGAGGCAAGTGAGGGGCAGATGGGGCTCATCAGTCTGGGAAGGGAGCCCATGTACTCATCTAGCAGGACAACTCTCTGATCCTAACCATCTGCTACCTTGTAGGATATCTTTGGGGTGAATAAGCTAAGCAGTAAACCCTACGAAATGTGGAGAAGACTCCCAAGATGGCTTCTTGTATGCCTCCTTCCACAACTCCTGCAGCCAGACTGATGCCAAACAGTGCTCTACTTTCCTTTGGACCCCATCAGTGAGGCAGAGGGTGGGTGGGTCTGGACAGCCCAGGACCTCCAGACCCCGCTATGCTGGCAATCGGCCCAACACCCAAGTGACAGTAATGAGTCTGACTCAGAAACAAATGGATCCCAAGCTGGCTCAGTGTCTCCCAGAATGCCCCATTTTGGAGCTTCCCATCAGTGGTATTTTTACTGTACTTTTCAACTAAGGATTTCTGTACGTTATAGGACAGAGCTGTTTTGAAATTTATATAGTACTTTATATGACAGAGCTGTTTTGAACAGGGCAAAGGAAGACTTTCCCTCCATCGAAACCTCTGGAACAGTGTTTGGACAGCAGGCTAAGATGGCCTGATCAGCACCAGCAGCCTTTTTTCTTCCTCCTTTTAACATCCATCCTGAAGTTTTCTCAGGAATTCAAAATATTGCACACCACTTTGTAACAATTTGGTTGGCCTAATTTATTTCCCTAATATGAATTTAGATTATATAGTTTGGGTGGGATTCACCTAAACAGACCTGTCGGCAGAATCCCTGGATAAGGACTTCCACAACAGGGCTTACCCCCTCTTCTGCCCCTGGTACTCCCTGAAATTGGCTTGGCAGCATGAGAGAACCCCCAGAACAGCACATGCAGGGGAAGGGGTTACTGCTCTGCCTGGCAAGCTGGAGTATTTGCACGGAATGCACAACTGGAAAAGTGTGAAGTTGAATTCCACCCTTTTGGATCAACACAGCTACCTTTAAAGCCAGTGAGACTTACTTTCAAGACAGGGTATATTTAGGATCAGCGTCTAACTAGAAACAGTTTTTTAGAAGTTAGTAGTATGTATTTGTTCTTTCACATGTACATCCACATCAGGAATTGTTTTGCAATGTGCCGTACTTCTGAAGTTTGGTACATCAGTGGTTATTACTTATATACTTGACCTCACAACCTATTACTTACACATTTCCTCCCCATGTGTCCTTCTTAACGTTGAAACTCAACAGCAATGCACATACCGTATTTCATGAATTTTTTTACATAATCTGCAATGCCTATTGATTCATACTGTACACACAACTGATGTCTTTCACCTTGGGAAAAACAAGATAAATTGGCACTTTTTACCTAACTAGGTATCTCCTTTCAAATTCAATGTGCAAAGTATTTCCAAGTATCAGTAGTTGGACCTGAGAAAAATGACATAAATGATTGCTTAATCACTTTTTAAGAAGCTTCCAAAGTAATCAGTTTGAACATACTTTTCTTATTATACAAGGGTAGAAGTTACAAAATTTTGTATTTGCACATAAATTGGGCAATATTATCCAACATCACAAGGGTGTAATTTACACATTTTTCACTCAGAATGGCAGCACCACCAGTCATCTTCTCCCAGTAGATGATAGCATGATCTGCCATCTCTGCTGTGTCTGCCAGATAACCTGTGCCAAATGCAGATATAAGTATTTTCCAGTGCTGGAGACTGTTAGATAGAAAGTCCATAAAAAACATCTGTGTGGCAGCAAGTATAAGGAAGGAAAGCAAAACAATCACAATTAACTTATGTAAGGACAATGAAGAAAATGCCCAGTTAAAAGTACTTTTTTCCTGAGGTAAAGAAAGTTTGTCCACATCTGCAAGCTTAAATTGTTCCCACTGGCTTGTATCAAATCCTTTCATTGTGGAATTGATGTTGACAGTAAGACAAGGCAATTTGGTTTCCTTGATCACCTTGATTTTCTCTCGGAATTCCTGCATCTGTTGCAAAAACACAATGGGTTCAGACACCTCTTTAAAGGCTTCGGCAATATTAAAAGCGGTTCGTTGTTCTCGTATAATAGTGTTCAGTTTATTAATTTCTGGATCGTATGCCTGCATGACTGCAAGCTTCATTGTCTCAAAATCTGAAAGTATCTCATTCTTTTTTTGTTCCAGTGTATACTGCAATTTCTCAAAAAAATCTTTTACTCTGTCATAGTCCTTTGTCAGCATCTGGAGGGCTTTGCGCTTGCTGGCTTCCAGGGTGTCTAGCCGAGAAAGTGCATCCCCACAACGCCATGTTTCAAAACCCTGGAACAATGTCTCAAAAGCAAGTTTTTCCTGAAAATAAGCATCTTCAATAGAACAAAATACATGCTTTATATGATCTCCTCGAGTTGCACAGATACCACATATCAACTGTGTGTCTGTTTGGCAGAAAATGTTGAGAGGCTGACCGCTGTGTACTTTACACACAGGCATCTTTGAGGTTACCTTAATCTTGTTATATTTCTCTACAATACCTTTGAGGGAATAGTTGACTTGCAGGTTGTTAACCCCTGTCACAGTGGTTTCCTTCCGACATGTTGGGCATTTGAAGAGAGACTGTCTCCAAATTACATTCCGAGCATTTCCCTCCAAAATCCCTTCCAAACATTTCTTACAGAAGTTATGTGAGCAGGGTAGGGCTCGGGGATCCTCAAACAAACTACAACAAATGGGGCATGTAAGATCTTCTTCAAGGAGCTCCATTGCGGTCTGTAATAAAAGGAGAGAATTCAGAGAATTATACTGTATAATGATCACAATCTAAGAAACTCAGGCATCTTGTCTGCCATCCTACGAGTGTATTAAGTCCTTCAGCCAAAGCAGTGAATGTTTAAATACTTTATTCCACAAGAGATGTGGATAACAAATTCTACACCTGCTAAAAATACCCAACTATCAAAATTCTACATTTGCTTTTCACCTTCCTTTCTCAGAGCTATGCAGGGCACAACAGGGATGGGGAGGTGCCTGCTTCATGCCCCCAGACTGTGCGCCCGGGGCAACGGGCACCACGGCAGCCCCCCCCCCCATTATATGCTGTTGATTCGAGCCCCCCCATTGGGCAAAAGATTCCCGCACTGCAGTGGGTTGGACTAATGACCCAGAGGATCCTCCCTTCCAGCTTTACACTTCGGCGATTCACTTTCGGAGCTAGGCGAAAACGTTCCCATATAACCTGTAGCCTTTCCGAAGCGGGTGGGGGTGTTTTTAAGGCATTTCTCTGGGGGATTTCTTCTCTTCGTCCTCTGGGCCACATAAAGAGACCCGCACATTCAAGGAATAAAAGTAAAAGTAACCTCGCCCCCCCCCCATGACCAGACGGGCCCTGGCGCAAAGGGCGAGGGAGCCGAAGGCCGCGCCGCCTCTTCACGCCCCGTCTCCCTCCGCCGCCCCCCTCGCGCAGCCCCGCCGCTTCTCCGTCCCGCTCACCAGTCCGTCGCTCGGGAGGCCGCAGAGCCGCCTCGGCCGCCCCGGAGGCGAGCAGGCCCGTCTCTAGGCTCCTCGCCCGCCCGGGCCTGCGCTGCTGCGCCTGCGCACAAGTGCCCCGTCCCTCTGCCCGCCTCAGAGACGCTCGGCGTCGCGCGCTGGAGCCGCCGCCGAGTCCCCGTCCCGCCCCCGGGGCTTGTGGCACAAAAAACCCACGGCGACCCCTTAGGATTATTTATTCCATGATCAGTATTAAATTCACATGCCGCCCTTTCTGCAAGGAAGCCCCTTGGGGGCAGACCGGGAAAGCGGCCTGGAAGGAAACTCTGCCTCTTAGCGACGCGACAGGCGACGCTCGGCCCCCCGGGGGGGCGCCTGAGGGACACCGGGCTCCTGTGGGGATTTGGCGCAATACGGGGCTGTTCGGGGGCAGACGCGGGGCAAGAGCCTCGGGAGATGAAGGGCGAGTCGCTTCGTGGGGCCCCCGGGAGTCAGTCGAGAGACGCAGCCCAGCCTTGTGGAGGGGAAGGGGTCCCCGATGTCGCCGGGACTACAGCTCCCATCATCCCCGGCGGCTGGCCCTTGTCGCTGGGGATGATGGGAGTTGCAGTCCCGGCGACGTCGGCGGCCGTGTGGGACTCGGGCTCGCGCAGAGACGGGGCGGGCGGCGGCGGCGATGCGGAGCCTCTCCCGGCGGGGCCAGCAGCACCGGGCGGGCGCCTAGGCTGGGGCGGCGGCGGCGACGAGGGGCTCCGGCTGCGCTCTGAGCGGAGAAGCCGAGGGCGGGAGAGGCGGCCATGGCGGCCTCGTCGGGCTCTTCGGCGCCCGGCCCCGTGTGGTGCTGCCTGCGCTGGGCCTGCTGCGGAGACGCCGGCGGCGGACATATCGCCCTCAAGGAGATGCCGCTGGTGCAGCTGGACACGCACAGGATGGGTAAGCGGAGGCGGGCGAGGCCCAGTCCGGGGCGAAGGCGGGCTGCGAACACAGAGAGCACGATTAACACCCCCCCCCCTTTTCAAACAAGAGCGACTGCAGCGAGCCTGGGGCTGAGGCAAGATGTCTCTGCCCCCGTCAGCCGAAAGCCCGACGCTCCCCTCTGGGCCTCACTGCCTCCCACAGCACAGCTAAGGGATGGTGGGAGCTGTAGAACAACAACATAGTTGAGAAAGGCCGGTAGATTTTAGCAATACTATTTAATGCTAGACTAGAGTGAGTAACCCTTTGAACACCCACCACCACCCCAGAGGGGAGGACACACAGCCCACCTGGGGAAATGCTTCTGCTATATATTTTCTCTCAACTGCAAAAGGTGCTGGTCTGGGAGAGACAACGATAATTTCCTCCCATAAATTGTTACCCACCCTGCCATTTCAGTTGGGAAATAAATTCTTCCTTTTATTTTCCGCCTTCTTCCAAAGCTTAGCAGAAGAGCAGTGGCTACCTTGTTATCTTATTTATTTAATTTTTTATTTCTTTAACTTCTACACTGCCCTTCATCTGTAAATCTCAGGGCAGTTCAAAACCTTTCACTCGCAGTCGTAACATCTGGTCAGAATCCTATTAAAAAATAGGTTTGATTAGCAAGAAAATTAAGTGGATGCCAATAGTTGATTCAGCCTTGACTCCTCTTGCATACCAGGCTGTGTACAGTGGTACCTCGTGTTGCGTAACCTCAAGGGTGCGGAATCTTTGGGTTATGGCCGCGGCAAACCCAGAAGTGTATACTGAATCAAATTCTTTGCTGAACTTCAAATAAACTGAATCTACTGCATTTTTCTGGTCTGGAGCACTAAGCATCATCTCATTTCTATTTTCATCCACATCTTTACTTTGTTCTTTGATCTAAGGTAGCAGAAGGGAATCTGTGATTACCCAGGTGTTCATAGAATCATAGAACTGGAAGAAACCACAAGGGTCATCTCTAGCTCAACCCCCGGCAATGCAGAAATCTTTTGACCAACGCGAGGCTTGAACCCACAACCCTGAGATTAATACTACAAGTTTGAGAATCTCATAATCCCTGACCACTGACCATGCTGTCTGGGGCTGATGGGAGATCTGATCTGGAGGGCCAGAAATTCCCTATCTCTGACCGTGGCAGGTTTGAGATAATGGGGATAAAACAAAAGGGGTAGTCATTTGAGCATCTATTTTCTCAACTGTGGGGTAGGCAAATCAAAAATGTACCAGTACCACACAGATCCAAGACACACTTTCTAGATCCTTCTGAAAGAGAAATTAGGAAGGTTGCATAAGGAAGAAAAGATGTCAACTGAACTGTAGTGATAATCAAAACAAAAACAAACGGGCACATAACTTCTTTCACTGCCCTGGCAGCTAAGTTTTTGATACTTTCACTCTTGATTTGAAAGATAAAGTAGGAACTCCTGCTTTCCATTACTTCCCCATCCATGTTTTTTCTAGGGAAACATATTTCACAACCTGGGGACTGCTTCACACTTATTGAATTTCATACTCTGAAGTGATGTCTGTGTGTGCTCCCTTGTGTGACAACTCAAAACACCTCTTTCACAGCATGAACATTAAAACATGATTGCAAATATATGCTTTTTCTACTTTTTATATGTGGTAGGAGCAATCAGGATTCATTCACTGCTGGAGTGTATATATGTTAAATGCTATAAAAAATATAAAAAATTTCCTTCCAGTAGTATCTTAGAGACCAACTAAGTTTGTTATTGGTATGAGCTTTCGTGTGCACATACCAATAACAAACTTAGTTGGTCTCTAAGGTGCTACTGGAAGGGGGGGGGGAATTATTTTGTTTCGACTAGAGCAGACCAACAGGGCTACCTACCTGTAACTAGAGCTACAAAAAATAATTGTGTAAATGTCATGTGAGTAACCACAGGTCTTCTTCATATCCAGGAGTGTCTGTCCGGCATATCAGGTTTCCATGATCTTGGATTAAATAAATGCAGATTATAATAGGACAACTAATTTTTGCCCCCTTCTGTTATAAAACAATGTGAATTATTGCTGAACAGAGTGTGAGGAAAATCTAAGGACAAAACTGGAGTTATACTGGGAACTGGTTTTTCTCTATCAAGAGGTGTTTCAGTCTCTTTGGATTTTGAATACTTAACTGGAATTAATTTAGAGTAAGCATCAACCTTGTCTTGTTTTGGGAGAGTGCATGGATTTAATTCATAGACTAATGAAACTCCTTAGAATTTTACAGTTTAAAATTAAAGTAATTCAAGGGCATCTCTAATCCTTAACACACTATCACACAGTATAAAGACTGGGCAGAAACTGTAACTCCCTTGGCTTCCCAGGGCTTGTCCATGGTGGAATTTAATGTGGATTTGAAGCTTCTTGGATTTTCTAATAAATCCAACAGCAACAGCCTCACAATAACCTCTATCCAAGTGGCAGCCTGCGCTCCTCCCACCCACACCAAATAAGGATTTCCCCACAGTTTAAGGCTACATTCTTAAACATATTTATAAGGTAGAAAGACACAATGAACATAGTATGACTTGGTTCCGACTAGATAGGCATAGGACTGAGCTGCATAGCTGCAATCCTAACCATACTTTTAAAAAAAATTGTGACAAAAACAGAATAACAATAAAGAGGGGACATGTCTCTTGAAACTTGTTTTGTCTTTTTAAAATTGTTTCTGTCTTTTGGGTTAATTTTCCCATCAATGCAATTATCCAAGTTTGCTGGTATCATTCATATAGCAAATTATCTTTCTGTAAATCTTTCTGCCTTCCAGCTATTGTCAAGCATGCTGCTGATAGTAAGAATTTTAATAAGTTCTTGCTTAAATGGGAGCAAGTTTCTCTGAAATCAGTTGGACTTATTTCCAAACATACTTGTTCAGAATTGTGCTGCATGTCTTAAATGGAAGTTCAGAATGTTTCAGTTTGATGCTTTTAATTCTGCAGGAACAGATGTTGTCATTGTCAAAAATGGACGACGAGTATGTGGTACGGGAGGCTGCCTAGCCAATGCTCCTTTGCATCAGAACAAGAGCTATTTTGAGTTTAAAATCCAGTCTACAGGTCAGTCAAAAAGTTAACGCTCGCAAAAATTCATCATGTTTTGCTCAGATTGGATTCAAATCGCTGAGTAAAATCCACTGTTGCATGAGCAGGCTCCTGCTCACACCCTGGGACTTCATCCTCCTCTCGCCTTCCATCTTGTGGCCCCTTACTGCTCAAATCTGAGAATCATAGATTTATATGAAGGAGAGCCAACAAACTGAAGCTCAATCCAGATAAGACTGAGACATCGTTAGTGGGCAGTTTCCTAGACCAGTTAAGGACTTTTACTGTTTTCATTAAATTATTCACACCAGGATAGCAGTTCACCAGATAATTTCTAATGTAGCTATTGCAATAAAGTTATTTTTTTCCAGGGAGGTGTCACGAAGTCAGCTCCTTGCTAAGGGTGCAAGGTATCCTAGAGAGGCTTCCACTGGTTCAGTCCTAGCACCTCCACTTAAAGTGTCAGATTGCCTGAGACTTTGGAGAGCCATTGCCAGTCAGAGTAGAACCAGTTGGAGCCCTTGTTAGCCATGTTGATTTGCAAAATGCTTTGCTGGCAACCAAGGGTTCCTTCAGCTTCCTTAGGGAGCCAGGTTGCAGCACCTCATTGCCCATAATTCAGTGTAGTTGGGACCAGTTCAAGATGAGGGTTCATTAAAAAAAATGGCAAGGGCTTTTAAAAGGGTTCTGTTGCAGTTAAGCAGGGGCGGGAAGATAAAGGTTTGGTTTGACTTCCTGATCAATATATGCTCATTATTTCACCTACTATCATGACATAGCACAGTCAGTTGTGTGTGGAAATAAGCTACTTGGGCAAGGCTGGGGGAACGTCTTGCAAGTTCCCCCAGCTTTGCCCATTTCCACTGTACTACACTAAAGTACATTCTCTCTCTCTCTTCTCACTTCTCCCATGGCTGTGCCATTCCATTTCACCCCTCGCCATGTATTCAGGAATCTGGGGTATTGGTGTTGCGACTCAGAAAGTCAATTTGAATCAAATTCCTCTTGGGTGTGATGTGAATAGTCTAGTACTGAGAAATGACGGAGCTCTGTACTACAATAATGATGAGAAGAACAGGTTGCCAGCAAACAACCTTCCACAAGAGGGTGATATTGTGGTGAGTTTCTTTCAGTATTGCTTATATGAATCTGACGAGAATTGATGGTGTTTCCTCCAAGCCAAAGCTAACTTCAAAGCAGATGTGATAATCTCTGCTATATATATGTGATAATCTCTGCTATATTTGCAACAACAGAGTCCAGTTAAGCTGGTCTTTATGTAAAGTTGGACTTTAATACAGAACCCCAAGGTCCTTAAAAGGAACCTGTTGTTGCCATAATTCAGGCCAAAGGAAGAGCACACATTCAATCAAATTTAATTCATAATAATAAATCTATGGCCTTTACAATGTGGTGGAGTGCGTGGGTTTTTATGCATTTTGTGTCATTTGTATTTTTATGTTGTGAACCACCCTGTGATATTTGAATGAAGAGTGGTATACAAAACAAACAAACAAACAAACAGGGCTGTGGGTACTTGACGTAGTGGGGTATTGGATGTAAGTAGCTCCCTGAAAATGTTCATATTTTTAAAGTAAGTTTGTAGCTCTTATAGCTGTGAAGTTAATGTTGAAATGTCCACAACATTCAGAAGTAAAATAAATAAAAGTGGAGTCTAAATGTCACATTTGTGTTACAGGGAATTACATATGACCATGTAGAACTAAATGTTTATTTGAATGGGAAAAATATGCACTGTCCAGCCTCAGGAATTAGAGGAACTGTCTTCCCTGTGGTATATGGTAAGTTTGGGTTCTCAGGACTTATTAACACTTTGACCTCCCTACTACACAGCTTCCTATTTTCCACATAGACCAATATTCTGAGAATGGGCTTATATTTTAATAGAACATTCCTACCCCCAGTGTGGGACGCGGGTGGCGCTGTGGGTAAAACCTCAGTGCCTAGGACTTGCCGATCGTATGGTCAGCGGTTCGAATCCCCGCAGTGGGGTGAGCTCCTGTCTTTCGGTCCCAGCTCCTGCCCACCTAGCAGTTCGAAAGCACCCCTAAGTGCAAGTAGATAAATAGGTACCGCTTTATAGCGGGAAGGTAAATGGCGTTTCCGTGTGCTGCGCTGGTGCTGGCACACCAGAGCAGCTTCGTCACGCTGGCCACGTGACCCGGAAGTGTCTTCGGACAGCGCTGGCTCCCGGCCTCTTAAGTGAGATGAGCGCACAACCCTAGAGTCGGACATGACTGGCCCGTACGGGCAAGGGTACCTTTACCTTTACCTTACCCCCAGTGTAAGATTCCTTGTAGTCTCTAGGGTGGTCTGGTGGAGAGTTGGACAACAGCTTTTCAGAACATCCACTTGAGACTTGTTGATCAAGAACTTGGACCGATGGCCATAGCTGCTATTCTTTTCTAACCATGGAAGATTCTTATCATTGCTCTGCATAATCATAAGGACGAAAGGTGGTGGTTCCTTTGGGATTTAGGCCACATCATCTTTTTCCCCTGCCTTAACAACAACAAAAAGTAGTTCTTTGTGCTCAAATGGGTAGTGCTGGGTGAATTTTCTTATTATGCAAAGGTAATTTGTTATTAAGTGCTATTCGCCTGCTCACTTGTAATGTGTTAGAATTGCTTTTGCAAGCTGGATGAGAACAGGTCAGCTGTTGATGTGCCACAAAGATTTGTGAGCTTTTAACTTTTGTTGTTTGAGTTGCAAGGCTTTGTTAGACTCCATCATAATTTCCAGGAGTATTGTTCTGCATTTTGTCAACTTAAGTAATATTTTAATCAAGAAAACAAAGGTTAAGTCTCTGCCAAGGCTGGTTGAATGTGAAGTATGCATATATGCAAGTTTTTCACTATTTTCTTCTTCCTTCTTATAGTGGATGACAGTGCCATTTTGGATTGTCAGTTCAGTGAATTTTATCACACTCCTCCAGCAGGGTTTGAAAAGATACTCTTTGAGCAACAGATTTTCTGAATGTCCCTACTGAGGATTTACTCCCTAGCACTTTCTACAAAACCTATTCTTTTAAAGCTTCTCATTATTCCTAGGACACAAACTTGTATTTAGTAATGTTTAGGTGCTTGGGCTGGACAACCATATTACCAGAGAAGTATGTTGCAAGTGTTAGATTTGACTATGGTTTTGTAACATGGACAATATTTCCATTTGATGTAAAGGTATGCAGTCCACTACACTGTGATCCCTGTATGCCCATGATGACACTGTTCAATACATTAGTGTTATATGCTGTTACATTCTTAACAAGTCTGAGAAACCACACAACAATTTATGGATTAAAAGTATTGTCCACAGCAAGTGTTTCATCTTTTTTTCTAGCAAGAGATTTTAATAAAAGTGTTCTTGTGTTAAATTAGGGCAAAATGCCGACTATAATAAGCGAAGCCAACCTCTCATTTAAAGTCTGCTTACTGGAACAAGCAACTGTGGTGAATAAATTTTTTGATATTGTAATAAAGCGTTTCTTTTGAACTCTTAATTAGTTCTTTGGGGGATATTTCATTTACCTCCCCCAGAAAATAATAAAAAAAATTATAGGTTGTTTTTTTCTCCTGTTTTTGTGAATATTTTAGGTTGATTTTCTGTGTACTCAGAATATCAAGAATTTTGTAAAGCTAATACTATAAATCCAGAAATCTGAAGCATGTTGTACATGGACTGCTACATTAAAATAAATACTTTTTACCTCTGAGAAAGATTTATTGGGAATAGTACAGCAGGTTTTTTTTAAAAAAAGTTTGTACTTCAACATAGTTGCCCCCCTTTCTTTGCTATTTTCTTTATTTGCTAATTGTGGGAAATTATGTCTTTGCATTTCAGATCCTTGGATATATTATCTTAATTCTGTTTGCAAGTACAGTAGATTGAAAAAGCTAATTGCTTTATTGTTACAGTTAACACACATGCATACCCTGGCAGGTTTTTCAGCCTTATGAAGGAAATTATTTTGGATTCTTTATAATCCACTGATACTAGAAATACTTATTTTTCTGTTATTGTGGTATTCTTCAGAGATGGAACTTTTCACAGTTTTCATGGACTAGTGCTAGAAGCTATGTTTATGCCGGAGGCTTATTAATCCAATTCCTATCAGTGGAGAAGATATTCAGAATTCCTACATTCTGCTTTTAGAAAGATGTTTGTGCAACTACTTTTGCCCACTGCTTTTAAGATTCGGCATGTATTAAAACAAAACAAACATTACATCAGCCAGACTTTTAAGAGCTTTAGTTATAATGGTGCAGGAGCTTGAATTAAAATCAGTGTGAATACATTGCCAAGGGGGGAAAGCACTAATGCTCCTGAATATGTGTTAACTGCTTGCCCCAATGAAGCATGTGTGGGTGGCAAATGCTATTGGCTGGTTTCCTAAGCCAGGAAGGTGTTTTCCCTGGGGACAAACATATATTTACATTTTGTATATCAGCATCAACATCATGAACAGCCACGTTATGACCTTGCTACAGCAGCATTTTCTTGCTACTAGCTCCCAACACCTTAAAGACTGGGACAAGCTACAAACCAGGAGGTGTGTCCAGGTTACTGATTTAAAATTACCATGCACATTTGAGATGTATATTTATTCATAGGTAGCTGAGACACATGGATGCCAACTCCCTGGGTGCCCAAGCACCCACAAAATTCCCCCTGAAGGACCAGGCACCCACAAATTTTGGTGCCAGGGCCATGCAGGCTGCATGGCACCCACGGTTGCAGGGCCAAGCTGGCACTCACTCCTGCTAAGAGCACTTCAAGCATTAACTCTGAATGCTAAGCTGACCCATAAATTTGGGCTGGGCACAGAATAGCTTTTCAGAATGCGTGCACCCACCCCTAATACATCTCTAGTTTAAAAAATTTTTATTTCAAAATCTTAAAAAACTTATTTGAGGGAAAAGAGGGATAAAAGAGTACACATCAAGCAAAGCAATGCCTCTATCAGAAAAGTTGTCTCTGGTCTAAAAAGGAAACTAGCAGTACACCAAAATGAACAAGCAGGAATGTTGCCTGTCAAAACTCCATTTAAAAACCCAGCAATTGGGGACTGAGTACCACTGAGATACATATCCCACTTCCACTTACCTTGTTAGCTGAACACTCTTTGAGGGCCAAGCAGAATCCCACATGGGTATGGAGAGCCAAAGGTCATTTACTGCCCCTCAAGGCTTCCCCTTCCTCTTAAAATTGAGAGAGCAAATCAAGTACATGCAAACAAAGTCAAGTGCGCAGAGCACAAAGCTCCAAGGAACACAGAGAGTAGAGTAAGCTCACAACTTAGATGGGGGTTACATTGCAAGGATTGTGCCCAAAGTAAGGTTACCAGATGTCCCTGTTTCCAGGATATAGTCCCCAGATTTACAAATCAGTCCCCTGACAAAATCCATGGAAGTTGAAAAGTGTCCCCTGATTCATTGAAAAAAAATCTGGTAACCTTAGCCTAAAGCCAACATTGTGTATAGTCAAAATACCGGTACATGGGGTTCATTGGCGGGCAGAATTGCCAGTGTCTCCCTGGATTTTTGTCAAGTGAACAAAGTTCAATGTGCACAAGTTGTGGGCTTGCTGTTTAGTGCATATTTACAGGACACATTTTGGGGAATGGTGGCTTAGTTCTGGTATTTAACAACTTGACAACCATCTTATTAGTTGTTAATCGGCTACAAAAGCAGCCACCCAGTTTCCCTTGGTGCTAAAATCAGGTCCTTGAAGAATTAAGGTACTTTCAGATGTGGGCATCAAATCATAGAATCATAGAGTTGGAAGAGACCACAAGGGCCATCGAGTCCAACCCCCTGCCAAGCAGGAAACACCATCAGAGCACTCCTGACATATGGTTGTCAAGCCTCTGCTTAAAGACCTCCAAAGAAGGAGACTCCACCACACTCCTTGGCAGCAAATTCCACTGTCAAACAGCTCTTACTGTCAGGAAGTTCTTCCTAATGTTTAGGTGGAATCTTCTTTCTTGTAGTTTGGATCCATTGCTCCGTGTCCGCTTCTCTGGAGCAGCAGAAAACAACCTTTCTCCCTCCTCTATGTGACATCCTTTTATATATTGGAATATGGCTATCATATCACCCCTTAACCTCCTCTTCTCCAGGCTAAACATGCCCAGCTCCCTTAGCCGTTCCTCATAAGGCATCGTTTCCAGGCCTTTGACCATTTTGGTTGCCCTCCTCTGGACACGTTCCAGTTTGTCAATGTCCTTCTTGAACTGTGGTGCCCAGAACTGGACACAGTACTCCAGGTGAGGTCTGACCAGAGCAGAATACAGTGGCACTATTACTTCCCTTAATCTAGATGCTATACTCCTATTGATGCAGCCCAGAATTGCATTGGCTTTTTAGCTGCCGCGTCACACTGTTGGCTCATGTCAAGTTTGTGGTCAACCAAGACTCCTAGATCCTTTTCACATGTACTGCTCTCAAGCCAGATGTCACCCATCTTGTATTTGTGCCTCTCATTTTTTTGCCCAAGTGCAATACTTTACATTTCTCCCTGTTAAAATTCATCTTGTTTGTTTTGGCCCAGTTCTCTAATCTGTCAAGGTCGTTTTGAAGTGTGATCCTGTCCTCTGGGGTGTTAGCCACCCCTCCCAGTTTGGTGTCATCTGCAAATTTGATCAGGATGCCCTTGAGTCCATCATCCAAGTCGTTGATAAAGATGTTGAATAAGACAGAACCCTGTGGCACCCCACTAGTCACTCTTCTCCAGGATGAAGAGGAACCATTGATGAGCACCCTTTGGGTTCAGTCAGTCAGCCAGTTACAAATCCACTGAGTGGTAGCATAGTCAAGACCGCATTTTACCAGCTTCTTTACAAGAATATCATGGGGCACCTTGTCAAATGCCTTGCTGAAATCAAGGTAGGCTACATCCACTGCGTTCCCTTCATCTACCAGGCTTGTAATTCTGTCAAAAAACGAGATCAGGTTAGTCTGACATGACTTATTTTTCAGAAATCCATGCTGACTATTGGTGATCACAGCATTCCTTTCTAGGTGCTCACAGACTGTTTGCTTAATGATCTGCTCCAGAATCTTCCCTGGTATTGACGTCAGACTGACTGGGCGGTAATTATTTGGGTCCTCTCTTTCCCCTTTTTGAAAATAGGGACAACATTTGCCCTCCTCCAGTCTGCCGGGACTTCGCCTGTTCTCCAGGAATTCTCAAAGATGACTGCCAGTGGTTCTGAGATCACATCTGCCAGTTCTTTTAATACTCTTGGATGCAGTTCATCTGGCCCTGGAGACTTGAATACATCTAAACTAGCCAAGTATTCTTGTACTATCTCCTTAGTTATTCTGGGCTGTGTTTCCTCTGCTGAATCATTTGCTCCAAATTCTTCAGGTCGGGCATTGTTTTCTTTATCGAAGAAGACTGAGGCAAAGAAGGCATTGAGGAGTTCAGCCCTTTCTGTGTCCCCTGTTTGCATTTCACCATCTTCTCCTCTGAGTGACCCCACTGTTTCTTTGTTCTTCCTTTTGCTACGAACATACCCATAAAAGCCCTTTTTGTTGCTTTTAACCTCTCTAGCTAGCCTGAGTTCATTCTGTGCTTTAGCTTTTCTGACTTTGTGTCTACACGTGCTGGCTATTTGTTTGAATTCCTCTTTGGTGGTTTCCCCCCTTTTCCATTTTTTGTACACATCCTTTTTAATCTTAACTCAGTTAAAAGTTCTTTAGATAGCCACCCTGGCTTCTTTAGGCACCTTCCATGTTTCCGTCTCATTGGTATTGCCTGACGTTGTGCTTTTACTATCTCCCTCTTAACAAACTCCCAGCCATCATGAACTCCCTTTCCTTTTAGTATTACTGTCCATGGGATCTCACCCAGCACTTCCCTAAGTTTTATGAAGTCGGCTTTCTTAAAGTCAAGAAATTGAGTCCTAGTATGCTTGGCTGCTCCTTTCCGCTGTATAAGTAAACTTCAGAAGAGCATGATCACTCGCGCCTAATGATCCTTCCACTTCTACCCCACTAACCAGGTCATCAACATTGGTTAGGACCAGATCTAAAATGGCTGTTCCTCTTGTTGCTTCTCCCACTTTCTGGACAATGAAGTTGTCTGCAAGGCCAGTGAGGAATCTGTTTGACCTTATGCTCTTGGCTGAGTTTGACATCCAACAAATATCCGAGTAATTGAAGTCCCCCATTACTACTATCTCCTTCCTTTTGCATGCTTGGCCATCTGTTCCAGGAAGGCATCATCTATGTCCTTCGTTTGGCTTGGGGATCTATAGTAAACTCCCACAATGAGGTCACTGTTATTCTTCTCTCCCTTAATTTTGACCCAAATGCTCTCACTTTGGCTTTGAGGTTCTAAATCTTGGATCTCTTCACAGGTATACACATCCCTGACATATAACGCCACTCCTCCTCCTTTCTTGTCAGGTCTGTTTCTCTGAAATAGATTGTATCCCTCCATTATTACATTCCAATCGTGGGACTTATCCCACCAGGTTTCAGTGATGCCTATTATGTCATATTTAGTTTGCTGTACCAAGAGCTCAAGCTCATCTTGTTTATTTCCCATGCTTTGCGCATTAGTGTACAGACATTGAAGTCCATTAATCATTCCCCCGTGTCTCTTATTTAAGGATTTTTTCCTCCCACCACTAGGTCTGCGTGCTGTTTGCTCCATTTGGTCTATGACATTTGGATGATCAACTTCATCAATTGATAGACTCCTA